TCTGTTTCTTAGTTTTCCTTCTAACAGTCTAGCCCCTCTGCTGTAGGACTGCTGAGGTCCACTCCAGGCCCTGCTTGCCTGGGGGTCACCTGCAGCAGATTCAGAACAGTAAGGGTTGCTACCAGTTTCTTCTTCTGCTATCTTTGTCCCAGAATGATGCCCGCCAAATGTCAGTCTGATCAGTCCTTTGTTAGGTGACTCTTTGGACGTATTGGGATCAGGGAGCTGCTTGAGGAGACGGTCTGTTCTTTATAGGAACTCAAGTGCTGAGCTATCAGCTCCATTGTTCATTCAGAGCTGCTAGGCAGGTACATTTAAGTCTGCTGCAGCAGGACTCATAAACACCCTTTTTTTCCCCAGGTGCTCTGTTCCGGGAAGTTAGGGCTTTCTTTATGAGTATCCATTGTGTTGCTGCCTTTTTTTTTTTCAGGGCTGTCTTGCCCAGCAAGGAGGCAGCCTAGTCACTGTCTGCAGAGGCTTTGCTGAGCTGCTGTGGGGTCCGTCCTGCTGCTGGCTCTGCCCTGCTGCCGTGTGTATTTCCCTGCAGTCCTGTTTATATGGGTGTGGTTAGAACTGCCTCAGAAACGTTGGCCCACCTCTGTAATGGCAGACTCTCTTTGTTATGGCGGGTTGCCTTGGCAACGGCGGGTTGCCTCGGCAATGGCAGGCTGCATCAGCAATGGCAGACTACCTCTGTAGGGGTGGAGTGCCTTGGTAATGGCGGACGCCCCTCCCCCACAGAGCTGGGCCATCCCAATTTTAGCTGTGCTTGCCGTGAAATTCTCAACTCCAAGTGTTTCCAATTGCTGGTTTTCTTTTTGTTTGTTTTTGTGGACGTGGGACCCACCAAGCCTGATCACCTGGCTCCCTGCCTCAGAGCCCTTTTTTTTAAGTTGAATGGTTGACTCTCTCCCAGGTGTTCCAGTCGCCTGCTAAAAGGGCACCAGGATCTGTGTGATTTCCTGTGCAGCGACCCACTGTGATGGCTGAAACAACGTGGCTGCCTGGGAATCTCCTGGCCTGGCTTTATGTTTCAGTCCCGTTTAATCAGATGAATGGGCTAATCTGCCTTCCTGGATCTCCAATTGCCAGTTTAACAGGGCAACCAGACCAGTGTATTTTGTATGGAGAGCCACTGTGCTGCAGCGCCGGCCGAAACAGTCACGCCAGCTGAAACAGTCACGCTGGCCAAAACAGCCACGCTGGCAACCCGTGGGGCTCCTCCACCTGGGAATCTCCTGGTCTGTGGGCAATAAAAATCCATCTGGAAATACGGCGTCCACTCAACCTCTGCGCTCACTGGTAGCTGCAATCCTGAGCTGCTCCTATAGCACCATCTTGAATCACCCTCAAAACCTTTATTTTTTTAATCTTATGCTTTTCTTGATTTTTTTCCTGTTTTTCTTTTCTTTCACACCTCTATAGCCAACACCTTTATTGAAGAGATTGCCCTTTCTCCATTGTGTCTTCTTGGTGACCTTGTCAAAGAATTAGTTGACTGCAACCGGGCGTGGTGGCTCACGCCTGTAATCCCAGCACTTTGGGAGGCCGAGGCGTGTGGATCACGAGGTCAAGAGATCGAGACCATCCTGGTCAACATTGTGAAACCCTGTCTCTACTAAAAATACAAAAATTAGCTCGGCATGGTGGTGTGTGCCTGTAATCTCAGCTACTCGGGAGGCTGAGGCAGGAGAATTGCCTGAACCCAGGAGGTGGAGGTTGCGGTGAGCTGAGATCGCGCCATTGCACTCCAGCCTGGGTAACAAGAGCGAAACTCCTTCTCAAAAAAAAAAAAAAAAAAAAAGAATTAGTTGACTGCATATGCTTGAGTTTATTTCTCTTCCATTGCTCCATGTGTCTGTTTTTATAAAGGCATGGATTTTTACTGCATATAAATTATACCTCAATTAACTTGATGAAAGAAACAAAAACAGAAAAATCCCCAGTTCAGCCAATGAACTTGTTCTTCACATGCACCTGTTTTTTGGAGCACGTTTGGTCTGCTGTCTCTCTAGCTTCAGCATCTGAAGGTTTCGCTGCTCCTGCCCCGGCCCCGAATGACACCTTTCACCTGGTTCGTGGAGACTCAGGTCTGCTGTCATGCCCCTAAGCAGGAGTATAGACGCCTCTCTCATCTTGCAGAGCGTTGTCTACGAGGTTCTGTAGAAAGGTGGTAGTACCAGGAACCAACTGCTCCTTCCAGCTTCTCTGTGCCAGGCTCTGTTTCAAAGGCCTCACATTTAGGCATTTGCTCAGTGTTTGCTGACAGCCTTATATGTTAGGTACCATTACGTGGGTTGATGTGGTGCTTTGTCAAATACAGTGTTAGGAAGGGCTCAAGGAGGAGCAACTCCAAACCAAGCCAGTCATGCCTCCATCCTGAGTCTAGGAGGCATGGGAGATCTCAAAAAGTAGCAGGCAATGACTGTCACCATTTTACAGAGATGAGGCACAGAGAGACCCAGTCATTTGCTGACACCCCTCCACTGAACTGGGTGCTCTTTCTCATAACTCACCCAGAGGCTAGCAAGTGCCTCTCCCCGACCAAGCTCTGTTGAACACGTGCCTTTGCCAGGCTGGGGTCCTGCGGCTGTCCTTGGAGCTTCAGGGTAGGTCTGTGTGTGTCTCTCTTCAAATTACTCAAGGTGAGGCTTTGCGTGTGTGCCTGGCACATACCAGCCTCTCCATAAATGTCAGTGGAACAGGTGAGTGAATGAGTCAGGGAGTCAAATGTGTGCTTTAAAAACAGAATGTAATGGAGGGAACCTGTACTGCCTTCCAGCCGCCTTGCTGTGAGAGGAAAGGGCATGGGCTCTGGGAACTGAAGGCTGGGTCACACTCAGGATTCTTTTTTTTTTTTTTTTTTTTCTGAGATAGAGTCTTGCTCTGTCACCGAGGCTGGAGTGTAATGGTGCAACCTCAGCTCACTGCAACCTCCACCTCCCATATTGAAGCAATTCTCCTGCTTCAGCCTCCCGAATAGCTGGGATTACAGGTGCATGCCACCATGCCCAGATAATTTTTGTATTTTTAGTGGAGATGGGGTCTCACCATGTTGGCCAGGATGGTCTGGAACTCCTGACCTCGCGATCTGCCTGCCTTAGCCTCCCAAAGTGCTGGGACCACAGGCGGGGCTGCTGTGCCTGGCATACTCTGGGTTCTTTCTTCACTAGCACAGCATGTCCTCAGTTTCTTTCACTTCCCTCCCTGTCTGTGGGCAGTTGTGGTGGATGTCAGAGGCAATATCCAGTTAGCACTGCCAATTTTACCCCCAACCCCATCTGATACTGGCGTCCTGCATTGCTCCTACGGGGTGCCTCAGAAGAGAGCAAGGCAAATCCAGCTATGGAACTCAGACACTGTTTTGACAATGCTGTTGATTCTCCTTGGAAAATCCAGCTATGTGAGTAACCATTAGTCTCTGTGCCTCTGCAATGATGCAAGGGGAGACCACATCCTTCCTGCCCCTCCTGGGGCTGCGACTGCTATAAATTCATTGCATTTCCTCTCTAGCTGTTCCTGAGACTGGCGTCTGGGTAAGTGCAGCTCTGTGGGGCAGGGTGGGCAATGGGACTGGGAGAGCAGTGGGGAGGTCCTGTTGAAAGGGCAGGGCTCGTCTCGGTTAGTGGGCTGGTAATTTCTTCTGCTAGCCTCCAAGTTTGTGCTTCAACAACATTTCTGGAATGTTCTTTATCATTACTTGGGCTCTATGGGTGTAAGTGCATGTGTGTGTTTGTGGTGGGGGAAAGGGGAAGGACAGAGGCAGCAACCTCAGGTTACACCACGACTTCAGCATGTTTGCCCAGACCGCTCCCCGGGGAGAAGATGGATGGGCTACACAGCAGGAAATGAACCTCCTTAAAACCCAAAGGGCAGCAGAGGTAAAGTTCGGAGCAGATGATTTCGCTGGTGTTAGGGTTGAAAGAGCACAGAAGAAAGGCTGAATCCTGGTGTGGATGGAAGGACTGATGGGGCCATCGCTGGGAAGGTATGCAGAGCCAGTCTGGCTGTCTGGAAAGCAGTCACCTCAGGATGCACAGGGCTGGGTCTGCAGGGCTCAGGAGGTGAGGAGCAGACGGGTGAGAATGGAGATGGGACAGGAGGTGAGGAGCAGACAGGTGAGAATGGAGATTGGACGGGAGGTGAGGAGCAGATGGGTGAGAATGGAGATGGGACGGGAGGTGAGGAGCAGATGGGTGAGAAGGGAGATGGGACGGGAGGTGAGGAGCAGACAGGTGAGAATGGAGATTGGACGGGAGGTGAGGAGCAGACAGATGAGAATGGAGATGGGACAGGAGGTGAGGAGCAGATGGGTGAGAAGGGAGATGGGACGGGAGGTGAGGAGCAGACTGGTGAGAATGGAGATGGGACGGGAGGTGAGGAGCAGACGGGTGAGAATGGAGATGGGACGGGAGGTGAGGAGCAGACGGGTGAGAATGGAGATGGGATGGGAGAGATAAGTGCTGGTGAGGTGTCTTGATGTTGAGCTGCAATCACATAAATCCCAATTCGGAGAGCTACCCCGTTTTCTAGGTTCTCTCCCTCCCTTGAGTGTTATTTATGGCTTTAGGTTGATGTCTAATCAAGGGATCAAGGAGGGAAGGAGTCCAAACAAAGCCACCTTATTTGTCCTCCAGTCTAGGAGGTACGGACGAGCTAAGGATACAGCAGGACTGCTAGTTTCTTGTGGACTCTAAGTCTAGTTAGGAAAACTATGTTGGTGAACACTGAGAGAAATACTTGTGATACATGCTGGGGAAGTGTGTATTTTAGTTATCCGTCCGTTTTGTTGTCTTTGTTTTTGTTTGACTGAAACAACTAGTTAAGTGACGGAGTGAGTGGAAGACATGGTCTCATACCTCTGGTCAAAATCCTGGCTCCAAAGCCCCGGGCAGGTTTCTTAGTCTCCCGAAGACTCAGTGTATGTGTCTATAAAATGGGGCTAGGAATATATATGCACCTCATAGAGCATTGTGCAGGTTAGATGGGAAAAGCCATCAGTCAGCGCCTGGCCTGTGGAAGGCTCTAGATTAATGTAAATTATAATGATTACAATTCTCAATTTTGCAAGGAGACATTAAAGGGACGTGCGTTTTATTGTGCTCCATCACACACTCCCAGATCCATCGCACTTCAATCCATTGGTTGATAGAGGTGCAGTCAAAGCCTGTCCCATCCTCTGCGGGCTTTTACATTCTCTCCTCCCTCCCAAGCCATGTCCTGCTCTGCTATCAACACATTTCCTCCTCTCCTGGCCTCCTTCTCTTCTCTCTCATTCATCTTCCCTCAGTCGAAACAGAAGCAAAGAGCCAGAGCCTTCAGTGTGGAGGAACTGAAAACATTCTCTTCTGCTTTCTCATTTGATAGATGAGGAAACTGAAGCTGAGGAATAGTGAAGTTTGTCCAGTGTCAGAGCCCCAAAATCAATGGGACCAAAGTTTTCTTGGCGATGTGTCAAGGTGGCGTCGTGCAGTGGTTTCACTCTAAACGGTAATGCCATCCTGTTTATGGATTTGTTTACACATCTTTCCCTCCTTAGGGATACCTTTCCTCCATGGCTCAGGACAGACTCCTGGATCGAGCCAACAGGAGAACTTTCTGGTAAGCATCTGCCTAACTTTTCTTTTTTTTTTAATTGCATTTTAGGTTTTGGGGTACATGTGAAGAACATGCAAGATAGTTGCATAGGTACACATGTGGCAGTGTGATTTGCTGCCTTCCTCCCCCTTTTCTCTTTTTTTTGATGGAGTCTCGCTCTGTCACCCAGGCTGGAGTGCAGTGGCACAATCTTGGCTCACTGCAACTTCCACCTCCCAGGTTGAAGTGATTCTCCTGCCTCAGCCCCCCGAGTAGCTGGGACTACAGGCTCACACCACCACACCCAGCTAATTTTTGTGTTTTTAGTAGAGACGGGGCTTTGCCATGTTGGCCAGGCTGGTCTTGAACTCCTGACCTCAGGTGATCCACCTGCCTTGACCTCCCAAAATGCTGGGATTTCAGGCACGAGTCACCACTCCTGGCCCTGGCTAACTTTTCAAAATTAAAGATGACTTGTTACAGTCTTGTGACATTTTTTTCCTTTCAGTTTTGCTAAGGTTTGGATAATTTAGTTCTCTCAAAGTGGAGACTTTAAAAGAAACTTATCTGTATGCTGCGTTCACTGCCTGGTGTTCACTACCTAAGCCTACGGACCCTGAAAGCGGCTGCAGATGAAGATGGCAAGCACCCGCTGCAAGCTGGCCAGGTACTTGGAGGACCTGGAGGATGTAGACTTCAAGAAATTTAAGATGCACCTAGAAGACTATCCTCCTCAAAAGGGCTGCATCCCACTCCCGAGGGGTCAGACCGAGAAGGCAGACCACGTGGATCTAGCCACGCTGATGATTGACTTCAATGGGGAGGAGAAGGCGTGGGCCATGGCCGTGTGGATCTTCGCTGCGATCAACAGGAGAGACCTTTATGAGAAGGCAAAAAGAGATGAGCCCAAATGGGGTGAGTCAAAGGAAGACTTTAAAAAAAATTGTTAGGCCGAGTGCGGTTGCTCAAGCCTGTAATCCCAGCACTTTGGGAGGCCGAGGCGGGTGGATCACGAGGTCAACAGATTGAGACCATCCTGGTCAACATGGTGAAACCCCGTCTCTACTAAAAATACAAAAAATTAGCTGGGCATGGTGGTGCGTGCCTGTAATCCCAGCTACTCAGGAGGCTGAGGCAGGAGAATTGCCTGAACCCAGGAGGCGGAGGTTGCCGTGAGCTGAGATTGCGCCATTGCACTCCAGCCTGGGTAAGGAGCGAAACTCCGTCTCAAAAAAAAAAAAATTGTGGCAAAGTACACATAATGTAGAATTTTCTATCTTAATAATTTTCGAAGGTACAGTACAGTAGCGCTAGGCACACTCACACCCTGCAGCCAGTCTTTAGAACGTTTTCCACCTTGCAGAACTGAAACTCCTCACCCGTTAGCTCTCCGGCGCCTCATCCTCCCAGCCCTGGTAACACCTTTCTATTTTCTATCTCTGTGAGTCTTATTACTCTGGGTACCTCCTGTAAGTGGAATCATGCAGTATTTGTCCTTTATGACTAATTTATTTCACTCAATATAATGTTCTCAGGGTTCATCTATGTTGTAGCATGTGTCAAAATTCCCTTCCTTTAATAAGGACTGAATGGCCGGGCGTGATGGCTCATGCCTGTAATGCCAGCACTTTCGGAGGCTGAGGCAGTGGATCACGAGGTCAGGAGTTCAAGACCAGCCTGGCCAAGATGGCGAAACCCCACCTCTACTAAGGTTACAAAAAATTAGCCGAGCATGGTGGCGCACACCTGTAATCCCAGCTACTTGGGAGGCTGAGGCAGGAGAATTCCTTGATGGCAGAGGTTGCGGGGAGCCAAGACTGTGCCACTGCACTCCAGCCTGGGCAACAGAGTGAGACTCCAACTCTTTGGTTCTGGCTTAGCTTGTTTGGGTTTTGTTTTGTGATATGGTTACCAACAACTTTCTTTACTTTCAGAATCAGTAGACAGCTGTTGGGGTCTTTTATGGGCTCGGCGTGGTGGCTCATGCCTGTAATCCCAGCACTTTGGGAGGCCAAGGTGGGAGGATCGCTTGAGCCCATAGTGAGAACCTGTCTCTACAAAAAATGCAAAAATTAGTTGCATGTGGTGGCATGTGTTAGCAGTCCCAGCTATTCTGGAGGCTGAGCTGAGAGGATCACGTGAGCCCAGGAGGTCAAGGCTGCCGTGAGCCGTGATTGTGTCACTGCATTCCAGCCTGGGTAGTAGAGTGAGACCCTGTCTCAAAAAAAAAAATCATTTATGTTGCTCATAGTTTGCTGCCCACTTCAAGTTATCTGTCTCATATGTTTCCCCTAGTGACTAAGTCTTGTTCTACCAACCCTGGATTTCTTCTATAGAACGTCTTTTTAGGATCTGTTATCTAGTGATGGTTTGGATTTGTGATTCTCAACATGGATGCATGTTGGAATCTCCTGGGAGGTTTTAGCATGTAATGGTTGCTGGGCCTCACCTCAGAGGGACTGAAAGAGAACATCTGGGCATGGAGTCCTGGAGTCTGTGTTTTTAGAGCTTCCCGGGTGATCTGAAAGTCAGCTAGGATTCCCAACCACCAAATCAGGCATGAAACACACTGGTAATTCTCAGTCTTGAAAACCTAGACTTCTAGACTTGACAACAGAAGACATGGTGACAAGGATTGCAGGCAACTGGGATCAGGGAAGGGTGACCCTTCTTAGCCCATGGCCGCCTTGGGGATATTGGAGAGCTTGGAGACGCCCCCACAGTCAGGCTGCCAGGGACAGCCAAAAGCAAAAGTTAACCTCCTTCACATGTTTGCTGATTAATTTCTGGGCCTGAGGAAGAGATTCCGAGACAGGGGACCCTCGGGACACAGGCCTGGCAGGTGGACAACAGAATGAGGAGTGCGGAAATGCTCCCAGCTAGACTTCTGACTGCACACCCGTCTCTGCAACTCAGAGCCACGTTTGGGTTTGGGCTCTCTTCTCCCACGCTGAGCATTAGGCCAGGTTTCCATTGCATCCGCTGGGATAACAGTCCTGGTTTTTGACACTTTTTTTTCCTTTTACCTTCAGATAATGCATGTGCTTCTAATCACACTGTGATATGCCAGCAAGACAGCATTGAAGAGGAGTGGATGGGTTTGCTGGGTTACCTTTCCAGAATCTCCATTTGTAAAAAGAAGAAAGGTAAGCAATTGAGCTGGTGCTGTGAATTGAGTTTTAAGACCTGGTTCAGGAGGCTCTGCGGAGCTGAGTAGCTGGGTAACTTGGCCTTACATACTATAGGTTCCTCCACTGAAGAGACAGATTCATGTCACCCCAGAGCCAGCGGGGTGATGAGGTGTTCCAAGTTTGAAAAGGCACGGGGTGCAAGTGACTTAAAGGAATAAGACTGATAAAAAGATCTTGGGCTGGTGGCTGCACATACAGCACTGGCCTTCTGTTCAACTGTGTGTATGAAAAGCTTGACAGCAGAGATTCCTGACACCTTTCCTACCCAAGCAGTGGGAGAAGCTGCAGCTGCCATTTCTCCATTCTAGTTACCACTCACTTCAGATTACCGGCCCCTGTTTAGGGCACATCTCTGGTGGACACATGTGGGCTTTTCCGCCTAACTTCCTGTCTTTGCCGTAGATTACGGTAAGAAGTACAGAAGACATGTGAGAAGCAGATTCCAGTGCATCGAAGACAGGAACGCCCGTCTGGGTGAGAGTGTGAGCCTCAACAAACGCTACACACCACTGCGCCTCATCAAGGAGCACCGCAGCCAGCAGGAGAGGGAGCAGGAGCTTCTGACCATCGGCAGGACTAAGGCAGGGGACAGCCCCGTGAGTCCCATTAAGATGGAATCGCTGTTTGAGCCTGATGCGGAGCACGCGGAGCCTGTGCACACAGTGGTATTCCAGGGAGCCGCGGGGATTGGGAAAACTATACTGGCCAGGAAGATTATGTTGGACTGGGCGTCGGGGACACTCTATCAAGACAGGTTTGACTATTTGTTCTATATCCACTGTCGGGAGTTGAGCCTCGTGACGCAGAGGAGCCTGGGGGACCTGATCATGAGCTGCTGCCCCGACCCAAACCCCCCCATCCACAGGATCGTGAGGAAGCCCTCCAGAATCCTCTTCCTCATGGACGGCTTTGATGAGCTGCAGGGTGCCTTTGATGAGCACATCGGGCCACTCTGCACCGACTGGCGGAAGGCCGAGCGGGGAGACATTCTCCTGAGCAGCCTCATCAGAAAGAAGCTGCTCCCCGAGGCCTTCCTGCTCATCACCACGAGACCGGTGGCCCTGGAGAAGCTGCAGCACTTGCTGGACCACCCTCGGCATGTGGAGATCCTGGGTTTCTCGGAGACCAAAAGGAAGGAGTATTTCTTCAAGTACTTCTCAGATGAGGCCCAGGCGAGGGAAGCCTTCAGTCTGATTCAGGAGAACGAGGTCCTCTTCACCATGTGTTTCATTCCCCTCGTCTGCTGGATTGTGTGCACCGGCCTGAAGCAGCAGATGGAGAGTGGCAAGAGCCTGGCCCAGACATCCAAGACTACCACTGCGGTGTACATCTTCTTCCTCTCCAGTTTGCTGCAGCCCCGAGGAGGGAGCCAGGAGCATACCCTCTCTGCCCACCTCTGGGGGCTCTGCTCTTTGGCTGCAGACGGGATCTGGAACCAGAAAATCCTCTTTGAGGAGTCCGACCTCAGGAATCACGGCCTGCAGAAGGCGGAGGTGTCTGCTTTCCTGAGGATGAACCTGTTCCAAAAGGAAGTGGACTGCGAGAAGCTCTACAGCTTCATCCACATGACCTTCCAGGAGTTCTTTGCTGCCATGTACTACCTGCTGGAAGAGGAAAAGGAAGGAGGGACGCAGAATGTTCCAGGGAGTTGCTTGACGCTTCCCAGCCGGGACGTGACAGTCCTTCTGGAAAACTACGGCAAATTCGAGAAGGGGTATTTGATTTTCGTTGTGCGTTTCCTCTTCGGCCTGGTGAACCAGGAGAGGACCTCCTACTTGGAGAAGAAATTAAGTTGCAAGGTCTCTCAGCAGATCAGGCTGGAGCTGCTGAAATGGATTGAGGTGAAGGCCAAGGCAAAGAAGCTGCAGATCCAGCCCAGCCAGCTGGAATTGTTCTACTGTTTGTACGAGATGCAGGAGGAGGACTTTGTGCAGAGGGCCATGGACCATTTCCCCAAGATTGAGATCAATCTCTCCACCAGAATGGACCACGTGGTTTCTTCCTTTTGCATTGAGAACTGTCATCGGGTGGAGTCCCTTTCCCTGGGGTTTCTCCACAACATGCCCAAGGAGGAGGAGGAAGAGGAGAAGGAAGGCCGACACCTCGACGTGGCCCAGTGTGTACCCCCAGGCTCTCTCACTGCCTGTTCCCTCGGGTAAGCAGGCTCGGCTCCAGCAGGCGGCAGAGCGTGCCCTCTGCCCCCTCTCCAGCTTTTGCTTGGCACCTGCCTCCTCTGGTGTCTTTTCATCTATCTTCCAAATTTAGTTGCCACAGCTGCGTAATGATGCCGCCACCACCCATTTCACACCCCTTCATGGGCAAAGGTTGACTTGTGGTAGGTGGATAAATGGGGTGAGCAAAGAAACAATGAAATAAGGAACAAGTGTTTTGGGAATGCTAGTTTAGCACAAGGGATGAGGGAGGTTGGAGGACTGCCTACAAAGGCTTGCCAAAAGAAACTGCTCGTCAGCTATTTGGAGCGCTAGTGCCTCATGGTCAGTCAATGTCTCTGGGGCAGGGCAATGCCAGACTCCGTCCCAGGAGCCCAGGGGACAGAAGGCCCTTAGAGCTGGAGGCTGGGGGAGGTTTCTTAGAAAAGCGCAATTTAAACCTGGCTTTAAGGGATGCTGGGACATGTGTGCGGGGAGAAGAAAGTAAAGGGATCCAGGCATTGAAGACCCACACAAGCAAGTCGGGAATGCAGTCTGAGAAGCATGTGCAGGTGGCAGTGGAGAGAGACTCGGTTTCCTTGGGAAAAATACGATAGCGATGAATCAAGGGAAACAGAGCAGAAAAGCTGAAACGCTCCTTCCAGGCCCCCATGTTGCTTTGCCCTGGGCTGTCGCCAGAAGTGTCTGCTCTAGGGTGTGCTCATGACTTGCTGGGCGGTTGGAAGCCAGTTGCCGAGTCTGTGCAGTGAAGCAGTTGAGTCAACTGACTTCTGTGTCCCTTCTGGGTTTCTTGTTCAGTGGCTCCTAAGAAGGACAGTGGTTGTAGGAAGGCGGGCACCCTGTGATGTGAGTTTAATCCGTAGAGAAGACAAACAGGAGGCTAGGCCCTTCCACTGGCAGCGGTGAGCTTCAGCTTCCTCTAGCCCTGACTCTGCCCGGCCAGGACACCTTCCTGGTCCTCATTTGGCCCAGAAGGACCAACTGCTCGCAGGGCTGCAGTGGAGGCTGAGACCCAGGTCCCTTTCATAGGGCTTGAGGTCCGTCATGGGACAGTCAGGAAACAGGTGTGGGTGTGTGTGCGTGTGCGCATGTGTGCACATGTATGTGTGTGCGTGTGCACGTGTTTGCGTGCATGTGTTTGCGCACGTGTGCACGTGCGTGCACGTGTGCGTGTGTGTTCATGCGCGCGTGTGCGTGTATGTGTGGGTGCATGCGCGTGTGTGTCACGGGCTCTGACAAGGAACCTGCAGAGTACCCAAAGCACAAGGGGATGAACCTGTTCACTTCTGCAGCGCGGGTGTCCCCCTCCGCCAGCTTCCAGAGGATGGGCGGAGTGACAGAGTGAGAGAAGGCCAGGGGCAGCCCAGGCTGGGGGTACAGAGTATTCAGAGGGGGCAGGCGTGGGAAAGCAGGGCCAGCAGTTCCGAGTGACTGGAAGAAGACAGATGTCTCCATCTGTCAGGCTGCCATAGCCAAATGCTGTAGACTGCTTGGCTCACAAAAAAAAGCAATGATCACTGTACAGTTCTGGAGGCGGGAGGCCCGTGGACGAGCACCGGCAGATGTGTTTGGTGAGACCTCATCAACATCACACACCGGTGAGGAAGCAGGGTAGGAGGCTCAGCACCCGTCCCTCTAGAAGGCAGCCCCATAGGGGAGAGGGGAGGGACACTGAGGGGCGGCCGCAGATGGCACTTTCTTGCTGCGTCCTCACAGGTGGAGGGTGAGGCAGCTCTCTGGGGTCCCTTTTGTCAGGGCAGCGATCCCACCGCGAGGGCTCCACCCTCATAACTTCATCACATCTCAAAGGCCCCAGCTCCTCATACGTCACGTTGAGGGTTGGGGTTTCAGCATATGGATTTGGGGCACACAAACATTCAGACCACAGAAACGGGAGAAGAGGAATAAGAGAGAGAAAAGCAGGCAGACCTACTTATTAGAAGTGAGGTGGAGGGTCAGGGAGGCCATGTCCGGGTCACACACCCGTGAAGAAGGCTCGCAGACTCGCACTGCTGCCCTGGCGGGGGCTCAGCACCCGTCCCTGTAGATGGCAGCTGCTGGCCAGGCGGGGTGGCTCATGCCTCTAATCCCAGCACTTTGGGAGTCTGACCGGGGCGGATCACAAGGTCAAAAGATCGAGACCAGCCAGGCCAACATGGTGAAACCCCGTCTCTACTAAAAATACAAAAATTAGCTGGCTGTGGTGGCAAGCACCTGTAGTCCCAGCTACTTGGGAAGCTGAGGCGGGAGAACTATTGAACCCGGGAGGCAGAGGTTTCAGTGAGCTAAGATCACGCCACTGCGCTCCAGCCTGATGACAGAGTGAGACTTGTCTCAAAAAAAAAAAAAAAATGTAGATGGCAGCTGCCTACCTCTGAGGACAGATTCTGACTGGAGCCCTGGTAAGGGCTCAGCACCCGTCCCTCTAGATGGCAGCTGCCTTCTCCCTCTGATGGCAGGAACTTGCTGTGTCTCAGCACTTTCTGAGAACCAGAAGCCTGGGCATCTGTTAGAAACGCAAAATTGTAGACCCAGTTGTAGACCCGGGGAGGAAGACTTTGCATCTGGATGACAGCTACAGGTGATTCAAAGGTAACTGCATGTGTGCTGCAGTGGCTCATGCCTGTCACCCTAAGTTTTTGGCAGGCCAAGACAGGGGGATTGCTTGAAGCCGGGAGTTCAAGTCCTGCCTGAGCTGCAAAGTGAGAGCGCTTCTCTACGGAAAAACAAAAGCAAAACGTGACTGCATGTTTGAGTCACCTGGACATTTTAAAAGATCCATGTAGCTGGACACAGTGACTCCTGCCTGTAACCTCAGCTACTGGGGAGGCCGAGGCAAAGGGGTTGCTTGACCCAGGAGTTTGAGTCTGCAGTGAGCTGTGATTGTGCCACTGTTTTCCAACTTGGGTTACACCTAAAAAAAAGTTAAAAAAATTCATCTGGTTCCACCTCAGAGATTCTGACTTTATTTCCATGGATGTGGCCTGGCCTTGGGTTTTTTTTTTTTTTTTGAGATGGAGTCTCACTGCCACCCAGACTGGAGAGCAGTGGCGAGATCTTGGCTCACTGCAACCTCCACCTCCCAGGTTGAAGTGATTCTCCTGCCTCAGCCTCCCAAGTAGCTAGGATTACAGGCGCCCACACCGGCTAATTTTTGCATTTTTAGTAGAGAGAGTGTTTTACCATGTTGGCCAGGCTGGTCTCAAACTCCTGACCTCAGGTGATCTGCTTGCCTTGGCCTCCTGAAGTGCTGGGATTACAGGAGTGAGCCACCGCGCCCCACCTGGCCTGAGGATTTTGCAAGCACTCCTGATACTATTGTGCAGCTGGGGGTGAGGACTGCCCTCTGAACACCCATCACAGAACGTTCGGGGCCATGTTGGGACAGCAGACCGATAAGGGAGAGAGGACACTGAGGAGCCGGCTGTCGGTGCCACAGTCAGCCAAAGTTATGGGCTCACGCGCTCCACCCCCAAGCAGGCAGAACTGGCTTTCCCAAGGCTCACCCGGCCCTCTTCATTTGTCTGGGAATAATTTTTGGTTTTGTGACCCATTTCTTAATTCCCGGAAGCCACTTCTCTGAACAGGTGCCAGGCACCCTGGTCTCTAGCGCCCGTTACTTATTGTTCAAGGCTGATTTCTTTTCTCTCTGTCTCCCTTCCAATTCCTAGGCTGGTGAACAGCCATTTCACTTCCGGCTTCTGTCGGGGCCTCTTCTCGGTTCTAAGCACCAACCAGAGTCTGACTGAACTGGACCTGAGCGACAATTCTCTGGGGGACCCAGGGATGAGAGTGTTGTGTGAAACGCTGCAGCATCCTGGCTGTAATATTCGGAGATTGTGGTGAGTGCCCATGCGTACGTGTGCATCTGTGTGTGTGCTGTGTGTGCAAGTTCATGAGAGAGAGAAACAGACTGGAGAAAGATCTCAGGACTAGATTGGTGGTGGCCGCTGTAACCAAGTGCTGCCTGAATGGCTTCAGCAATGGAAATGTATTTTCTTGCGGCTGTGAGGCTGAAAGTCTAAGGCTGAGGTGTCAGCAGGGTTGGGGTCTTCAGAGGCTGCCCTCCTGGCTTGCAGATGCCACCTGCTCCCTGTGTGCTGACATTGTCTTCCCTCTGGGGAGAGTGTCCTGGCCTCCTATTCTTAGAGGGACACCAGACACGAATGAGCGAATGTTGACCTCATCACCCTTTAAACACCCCATTTCCAAGAACAGTCACATGATGAGGTCTTGAGGATTAGGGCTTCAACATATAAATTCTGTTGCGGGGCCACAGTTCATCCCAGAACAAGTGAGAAGGTAGAACGGATTGGAAGCCAGTTCGGGAGATTTTGTGTGTGGAAGAATGAAGGAGGAATTGAAAAAGACAGTTCTTGGTGGCACCACACAGAGACCATGGCGTTCAATGTCTTCTGCTTCCTCACGGGCCATGCTCATAAATGAGAACTGGAGAATTTCCCGCATACAACAGTGCAACCTCAGCTAAAAACGATGACAATTCTTTCTCTTTTTCTTTTCTTTGAGACAGGATCTCCCTCTGTCACCCAGGCTGGACTGTGGTGGTGTGATCACGGCTGACTGCAGCCTCGATCTCCCAGGTTCAAGCAAACCCCCCACCTCAGTTTCCCCGAGTAGCTGGGACTACAGGCATGTGGCACCATGCTGGCTAATTTTTGTATTTTTTTGTAGAGATGGGGTCTTACCATATCGCCGAGCCTGGTCAGAATGCTTCGTACGGGTTGAAATGTCGCAGGGAATCTCCGGTGACGTTATTAATAACGTGCTTGCGTTCTGATTCCACACCACAAATCAGGTTCACACGCCCCACCGTGCAGGTCTGGGCCATCTCAGCAGCTCTGTTCCATTTTCTGCTCTCAGATGCATGCAGGCATCTGCACTTCTGAGGAGCTGCATGGCCAGTGGTAAAGCCTGCATTGCAGGACGTTTTCATACCTCCCTCTCTGGCTCAACACACTCACCTCATCACCCGTCTTATGCATTTTCCCTTCAACGCAAGCCATTTTCCATTTATCCTTGTCCTTGCCCCGACAGCCCAGGTCCAGCAACCGCCTTCACTTGCCTGGACATGCAGTGACCTCCTAGACCATCAGCTCCCCGAGGATAGGGTTTGCGTTTCTTTTGTCATCATCTTTACAGCGCCTGGACGGGCATCTTAGCACATGTCGGTGGTGAAAAGCATGAACTGAATGAGTGTTGGCTCTTTGGTCTCCCTGCGTCTGCCTTTACCCCTCACCAGACCATTCTCCACACAAAAGTAAGATGGTCATTTAGAAGATTCTAATTTGATCGCGTTGTTCTGTGGCTGAAACACTTTCTGTGCATGTGCATGCTTTGTTTAGCTCCCACTTGTGAGAACATGTGGTGTTTATCTGTTTCTGAGTTGTTCCACTTAAGATAATGGCCTCCAGTTCCATCCACGTAGCTTCAAAGGTGTGACTTCATTCTTTTCTATGGCTGAGCAGTATTCCACTGTGTATATAGATCGCACTGTCTCTATCTTTGCCCTTTTGATAAATTTCAAATCGTCTTGCCTGGAAGACTCTTTGGGGCACTTAACCTTAATTCTCCAGCTTCATCCAAAAATTCTCTCCCGTTGCCGCTGTGTCTGGAGAGTGAGACCAAGAGGAAAGGGTGGGTAATAAGACGTTTTGCAGATAAATACAGATCCATTTGTCCATTTGCTTGAAGTTGGTATAAAGATAGGGACAGAAAGGAAGGTGGTCTAACAGGCTCCAGGGCCTGTGAGTTTTGCCCTGGAAAGAAGCTGGAGTGTTGTTCTTGCCCCCATGATGTGAGTGTGTGTGTGTGTGTGAGTGTGTGTGTGTGCATGTGTGTGACTGTGAAACAAATCAAGTATCAGCTGCAGCAGAGTGCTGTGGCTCAAGCTTGGAATCCCAGCTCTTTGAGAGGCTAGGGCGGGCAGATCATTTGAGCCCAGGAGCTCAAAGCCAGCCTGACCAAGCTGGTGAGACCTTGTTTTTACAAAAAAAAAAAAAAAAAAAAAAAAGAAAGAAAGAAAGAAAGAAAAATTAGCTAAGCATTGTAGTACATGCCTGTATATGGATCTACTTGGGAGGCTGAGGCAGGTGGATTCCTTGAGCCCAGGAGTTTGAGGTGGTTGTGAGCTGTGATCTCACCACTGCGCTCCAGCCTGTGCAACAAAGTGAGACCCTGTCTCAAAAAAATAAAAAATAAAAGGAAAAAAGAATCAGAGCTGCTTATCCTTTCACTATACACAGAGGGTTGGGATTAACTCATCAAACACAGTGGGTGACAATGTTGGTCAAGACAAGAGAGTGCTGAGAACAGCCCTGGCGCAAGGAACAGGGGGTTAGGAGGTGGAATACACAGGTGCGCCGCCCGTTTCTCTCACAAACCAGGAGCACCATTCACTTGTCTGAGGGTTGATCACGATGCCCCGGGCACTGCTTATGGCTGGGAGCTCACGGATGGGTGCTCCCTCTGTAGCGGGCTGGGGAGCCTGGGAGCGACCTCCCAGTGCGCCTTGTGCTGTGCTCCAGAGCTCTCCGATGACATGTGTTCTGATGCTTTCCCTTCTGTTCTCGGCCCGAAGGTTGGGGCGATGTGGCCTCTCCCATGAGTGCTGCCTCGACCTCTCCTTGGTCCTCAGCAGTAGCCAGAAGCTGGTGGAGTTGGACCTGAGCGACAATGCCCTGGGGGACTTTGGGATCAGACTCTTGTGCGTGGGACTGAAGCATCTACTGTGCAACCTGAAGAAGCTCTGGTGAGTCGAGCCCATTCCCCTATGAAGCTCTGCTAAGGAGGTGTGCATTGGATCCTGGTTTGAGTCTGGGTGTGCGAGTGGCCTTGGCTGCTCAGGTGACTGCCGGCACTGATCTCTGGGGGACTGCTGGCATTTCGGTCAGTTCCTGTTTGTTGTGGGGAAAGCCACACACTAAACCCTGACAAGGAACGTAAATAATAATTTTAAAAAACGATGTCTGCCTTCAGGGTGCCTGCCGCCTAGCTGAGATAAAAGCAAAACCAGTGTAATGCATTGCGTTAGAGGAGTTTCAGAACCTCATGACAGTGGGGCCCTTGCTCCCCACACTGGATAGGAAAAACGGTTTGAAGCAATGCAGATGCTTGCTCGCTGCTGCATGCAACCCTTCCCTGAGTGCTTCTGTGAGACTTGCATTTTGAAGGAGAGAAGAAAGCACTTAAAAATGGAAGGGTCAGGCCGGGCGCGGTGGCTCACGCCTGTAATCCCAGCACTTTGGGAGGCCGAGGCGGGTGGATCACGAGGTCAACAGATCGAGACCATCTGGTCAACATGGTGAAACCCCGTCTCTACTAAAAATACAAAAAATTAGCTGGGCATGGTGGCGCGTGCCTGTAATCCCAGCTACTCAGGAAGCTGAGGCAGGAGAATTGCCTGAACCCAGGAGGTGGAGGTTGCTGTGAGCCGAGATCACGCCATTGCACTCCAGCCTGGGTAACGAGCGAAAGTCCGTCTCAAAAAAAAAAACCAACCAAACAAACAAACAAAAAAAAAAACAAAAAATGGAAGGGGCAGTTCACACCCATTAGGATGGCTGTTATAAAACAAAAACTAGAGGACAATAAGTATTGGTGAGGATGTGGGGAAACTGAGACCGTCCAGCATTGCTGGTGGGAGTGTAAAGGAAATGGTGCAGCCATGATGGAAAACAGCACAGCAATTCCTAACAAATCGAATATAGAATTACAATTTGAGCCGGCATTTCCACTTCTGCATATATCTGCAAAAACGTTGAAAGCAGGAACTGAAACATGTGATTTGTACACCCGCGCCCATAGCAGCACTATTAACAGTTGCCAAAGGTGGGAAATAACCCAAATGACCTTCAGTGGACGAATGGATTTTGAAAAATGTTATAAACATGCACACTGCTTTGAAGGAATTCTAGAACACGCTACAGCATGGATGAGCCATGAGGAGGACATTATGCTAAGTCAGATGACCTAGACTCCAAAGGGCAAATACTCTGTGACTGTCCTTACAGGGGGTGCTGAGAGTGGTCAGATTCGTAGAGACAGAAAGAAAGGTGGTTGCCAGGGCCTGGGAGGAGGCGTAATGGGAAGATGCCATGTAAGGGTTATAGAGTTTCTGTTTTGCACGTTGAAAGGAATTCTGGATGTGGGTGGTGGTGGTGGTGGTTGCATGAAATGTGAATGTACTGAAGGCCATTGAGTTGTGCACTTAAAAATGGTTAAAATGGTAAATTTTGTTTTACACGTGTTTTGCCATGATCAAACTGAATGCAGGGAGCTGGGAAGATGTAGTATTGGGACGAGCTTGGAGAATGCTTACTTGTTATTCCACCAAATGAGAAGGAAATCAGAAGTGCACACAGAGCTTGAGTCCACCCCTTTCCATGTGTGAATGGGAACAGAGGCCGTGGCAGGTACAGGCGCCTCCTTGCTTGCGGGGGAGCATGGTGAGAGGTGTGACTCGTGTTCTGCCATCTTTCTGCAAGGCTGGTCAGCTGCTGCCTCACGTCAGCATGTTGTCAGGATGTGGCATCCGTACTGAGCACCAACCATTCCCTGACCAGGCTCTACATGGGGGAGAACACTCTCGGAGACGCAGGAGTAGAAATTTTGTGTGAAAAAGCCAAGAATCCACAGTGTCACCTGCAGAAACTGGGGTGAGTGTTCAGCAGAACGTTAACTTCTTTTCAGAAGTGAATTATTTGGAAAATGTGTTTGGGGTTCCTCTGGTCAGGCAGAGTTGAAGGTAGAGGAAGGAGGAGAAACATCAGGAGTGCTGTGAAGGGCTGGATGCATATAGTGTACACCACTGCTAACAAGGTCGTTTAGGCTAACTCACGATCACAGAACTAGAGTTTCTTACTGTTGGAAGAAACCTTGGAGACGGTGTGGCCCAAATGCCACTGAGGGAAAAACTTCCTTCTAAGACACTTGCATGAATAGTCCCCATTTTATGTGTGCATGCTTGCGAGCATCAAAGTTATGGCACAGTGCAGCCTCCACACTAGGAGACGGATCTGACCCAGCAGCCTCCACACTAGGAGAAGGATCTCACCCAGCAGCCTCCACACTAGCAGAGGGCTCTAACCCTGGAGCCTCCACACTAGCAGAGGGCTCTCACACTGCAGCCTCCACACTAGGAGAGGGCTCTAACCCTGGAGTCTCCACACTAGGAGAGGGCTCTCACACTGCAGCCTCCACACTAGGAGAGGGCTCTTACCCTGGAGCCTCCACACTAGGAGAGGGCTCTCACACTGCAGCCTCCACACTAGGAGACGGATCTTACCCAGCAGCCTCCACACTAGGAGAGGGCTCTTACCCTGGAGCCTCCACACTAGGAGAGGGCTCTTACCCTGGAGCCTCCACACTAGGAGAGGGCTCTCACACTGCAGCCTCCACACTAGGAGACGGATCTTACCCAGCAGCCTCCACACTAGGAGAGGGCTCTTACCCTGGAGCCTCCACACTAGGAGAGGGCTCTTACCCTGGAGCCTCCACACTAGGAGAGGGCTCTCACACTGCAGCCTCCACACTAGGAGAGGGCTCTCACACTGCAGCCTCCACACTAGCAGAGGGCTCTCACCCTGGAGCCTCCACACTAGGAGAGGGCTCTCACACTGCAGCCTCCACACTAGGAGAGGGCTCTCACACTGCAGCCTCCACACTAGCAGAGGGCTCTCACCCTGGAGCCTCCACACTAGGAGAGGGCTCTCACACTGCAGCCTCCACACTAGCAGAAGGCTCTCACCCTGGAGCCTCCACACTAGGAGAGGGCTCTCACACTGCAGCCTCCACACTAGCAGAGGGCTCTCACACTGCAGCCTCCACACTAGCAGAGGGCTCTCACCCTGGAGCCTCCACACTAGGAGAGGGCTCTCACACTGCAGCCTCCACACTAGCAGAAGGCTCTCACCCTGGAGCCTCCACACTAGGAGAGGGCTCTCACACTGCAGTCTCCACACTAGGAGAGGGGTCTCACACTGCAGCCTCCACACTAGGAGAGGGCTCTCACACTGCAGCCTCCACACTAGGAGAGGGCTCTCACACTGCAGCCTCCACACTAGGAGAGGGCTCTCACACTGCAGCCTCCACACTAGGAGAGGGCTCTCAAACTGCAGCCTCCACACTAGGAGAGGGCTCTTACCATGGAGCCTCCACACTAGGAGAGGGATCTTACCCAGCAGCCTCCACACTAGAAGAGGGCTCTCACACTGCAGCCTCCACACTAGGAGAGGGCTCTCACACTGCAGTGCCTTCTCTGGTTTCTGTGCATTAGTCCTTGTGTTTCTCCCCAGGGATTGGAGGAACAATTCCAATTCCAGTTTCCCAGAGACAACACTCACTGTAGGTCTTATCTTGCGTAGTGTCTCTAAATCCTCAACAGTGACATGGCTCAGCACCTTCACCTCCATAGCCATGCTCTCCCAGGTGCAAGCTGGTTAGTATTGTCTCTCTTTGAAATGTGCTGCCCAGGCTGAAGACGCACGGTGAGTCTCTTACCTCCTGTTGCTGCTGAAGTCTGTGATTTCCTTATGATTTTTGGCAGCTGCATAAGACTTCGTTTCGCATTGGAATTCTGCAGCAAATGGTCATAGAGAATACCTACCAATAGATGCAAGTTTTATGTCCCATTGCTCTTTCATATTCTTTACATGGGTTATATCAGTTGGCTCCACAAAGAGGCTGTAGGGTGGGTATCGGTGTCTCCAGTTGAAATAGGAGAAGATAAAACTCAGGGATCCTCATACCTCTGTCCATGGACACTCAGATGGAAGGTAGGGGAACTGCGTGCAGGCAAATGTCTGTGACCCACCCCAGCCACTGCGTTAATTCACAGTGTCTTGCCTTAGGAAGTGTTGGTAATGGGCTCCCTATAGGGCTTCTTTTTCTGGCTCTCAGCCTAAGGGTGGGACCTCAAATTTAGCTTTGCTAAACCTCATCTTACCTGTCTTTTGACACACTAACGAGGCATTTTTGAATCTTGATTCTGTTGATAATATCTACAGATACAACAAGCAAATTGTGTAGATCTTCATTCACATTATTAAATACCAGCCAGATCAGCATTCAAGACAAAATATAGCAGGAAAGGGCTTCCCTAAGGAGTAATCCATCAGTCCATAATTAACAACCAATATATGTTCACAAAGCTCTGACACTTCCTTGCACCTGACCCATCAGCCCATCCCCAGATGTAACCGAATCTTTCAGTGACATCTTCAAGCAGCACCTTTCCTCGCTTTCTAGTGTTACTCTTCCTTAGCAATCTGGTTTCTACTTCTCTCGGTTTGTTCAACAGACGTGATTTGGTCCCTTTACTTTGCTGGCTTTCTGGGGACATGTGGTGGGCATTGTTTTAATATAATAGATTGTTATATAATCCATCCGTCTGTCCATCCATCATCCATCCATCTGTCCATCCATCATCCATCCATCCATCCATCCATCCATTATCCATCCATCCTTCATCCATCCATCCATCTATTATTCATCTGTCATCCATCCATCCATCCATCCATCCATCATCCATCCATCCATCCATCTATCCATCATCCATCCATCCATCATTCATCCATCATCCATCTATCCATCCGTCCATCTATCATCCATCCATCATCCATTCATCCAAGGGAGTATTGGAACTTTGTGAACACATATTGGTGGCTAATGATGGACAAATAGATTTCCTGTGTATGCTGATCTGGGTGGTATTTATATCAGTAATGTGAATGAAGGCCTATGTGATTTGCATGTTGCATTTGTAATACACTATCTGTTAGAGCTGCTGTAATAAAATACCACAAATGCAGCAGCTTAACAACAAATGTATTGCCCCTCAGTTCTGGAGGCCAGAAGTGTGAGATGAAGATGCCAGCAGGCTAGGTGCTTCTGAGGGCTGTGAGGAGTCTGTTCCATGCTTCTCCTTGGCTTCTGGTGGAATGTCATCTTGCTGATGCATTTTGACATTCCTTGGCCTGTAGCTGCCTCTCCCACAGCATTGCCTTTATCTCTACATGGCATCTTCCCTGTATCTGTGTGTCTTTCTCCATGTCCCAGGTTTCCCTGGTGAAAGAACACAAGTTGTGTTATATTAGTAACGCCCTCATCTTAACTCGTTACATTTTCAGTAACCGTATCTCCAAATAAGGTCATGTTCTCGAGTACTGGGCCTAGGACTTCAACATACAAAGTTTTGGAGGAAACAATTCAAACCCCTAGCTATTGAAACTAGAATCATAATAGAAATATTTTTTCTGTGATACCCCTTTTTTATTTATCATGGATAAATTTCCATGCTGATTTCTGTAGACCTCTAGATTGGGGCATAATATCCCATAGTGTGCTTTGCTATGATTTATTTCATCAAATAATGCATTTTGGGATAACTATGCTTTTCCACTATTGCAAACACTCTGCACATTAGTATATAAAGGTTTCTCCTGTGTATTTGCTTTGAGATGCATAGCTCTAAGTGGCATGAATCAGTCAAAGCTTGGATGCATTTGCTGTGTTAGGTGTAGCCATGTTTTTTCCCTGAACTTCGGGTCCTCATCTTGGGCTGCGTCTTGTGTACTGCCTGTCTCAATATTGCTCAAGTGTCACACGTGCTGAGCGCTTGCGAAATTGGTTTATCATACCCCACCTTCCACCCCCGTCCTCTGACCTGCTCCTGCCCTCTTCTTCCCACCTCGTTGAGTAGCGGGGCTTTCCAGGAGGCTGCCCAGCTAGTAAACGGAGGACAGTCCTAAATGCTCTGCTTTCAGTTCCCTCTACCACACATCGTTTTTTTTTTTCCTAACACAACACCAGAGGGAACTTCATAAAATGCAAATTTGAAAATATTGGCCCTTTGTTCAAAAACTTCACAAGTTCATCTCTGTGGTCAGAATGACATCTTAGCTTGCCACACAGGCTGTCCCTGATGCTGCCCTCTCTCCTACCGCACCTTCCACTCCATTTTGAGTCATCTTGGATGCGTTTTGTTTTGTTGTTTTGGGGATGGGGACTTGCTGTGTTGCTCAGGCTAAATTCGAACTTCTGGGCTTGTCCACATCCACACCACCCTGCATACCAGGTCTCGCCTGAACTCCTGGGTTCAAGCAATCCTCCTGTCTCAACCGCCCACGTAACTGGGACTGCAGGTGCACGTCACTGTGTCCAGCTATGAATCAGTTTTTAAACACCTTGGTGGCTCTTTCTTTTTTCTTTTTGAGATGGAGTTCTGCTCTTGTTACCCAGGCTGGAGTGCAATGGTGCGATCTCGGCTCACTGCAACCTCCGCCTCCTGGGTTCAGGCAATTCTCCTGCCTCAGCCTCCCGAGTAGCTGGGATTACAGGCACACGCCACCATGCCCAGCTAATTTTTTGTATTTTTAGTAGAGATGGGGTTTCACCATGTTGACCAGGATGGTCTCGATCTCTTAACCTCGTGATCCACCCGCCTCGGGCTCTTTCAATCTTCCTTTCCCTGCACGCTCTGCTCCTTTTGCCTGGAGGGTACCTCCACTTTCTCACTTTCTACCAGCTAAGGAGCTCCTGCCTATTTTTTAATTGCTCTGATCCTCACTTTGTCCATTGAGAAGCAGGGATAAAATAACATTCCCATCTTCAGTTGTGATCATGCAGTGAGGTAACCCTATTTAACACTCAAATACATGCCGAGCACACAATAAACACTCAAAAGTGTTAGATCTTCTTCCTCACTTTTCTTTCTTTCTTTTTCTTTTCCTTCCCTCCTTTTCTTCCTCCCTCCCTTCCTTTCTCTTTCTTTCTCCCTTAGATGAGTGGAAGAATGGAGGCGACCGACCAAGGCCTTTCCCAGGGTCTGGGGCAGGAAAATTCTTGAATCCGAGAGAACCAACCCACTACCTTAGTTTTTACTGGCCTGAAGGTCCGATGCTGGCTTGTCTTCCTGGGCAGACAGGCAAATCGGGCTGTGGAAAGGACACAGTGGGTAACAGAGTTAAAGGGGTGACGGCAGCAGAGTCGGCCCTTTGGTTCCCTCGGGCAAGGCTGTATTTTCCTTTTGATGTCCTTGCAGTGATCACACCTGCAGGGGAGCCAAATGGCCTGCAATAAGGCCCGGATTTCTTCTTTGTTTTTGATAGTTTTTCCAGCCAAAGTGAGAAGCCCGCGCTCCTGGTGAATAGCTCCATGAACGTGCACAGTTGCAAAGGCACACCTGCTGTCGGTGTAAATGTTGGTGTGTTTCTTCTTACCCCATCGGAGCGCCTGAGTGAGCAATTAACTCAGTCTTTTGCACCGAAGTTCCGGCCAGCAGGGCCTGGGCCCACACACTGTCCATTTCCGTGCTGACGGCCACCCCAGCCTTTCGCACTCTCTGTTCGAGGAAGCTGCTGCTCTCTGTGAACACAGTGGCATTGGCCTTCTCCAGGGGCATCCTGGAGGTCCGGGGGAAGCACTTTTTGGCATCGTGCACTGGTGTGGTCAGGTCTGGATCACCCAACTGTCTCAGGCAATAAGGACGACAGGACATGCAAATTCAAACACTAGAGACAAGCAGGACAACAGACAAGAGACACACAAATCCAGATGTTAGGAACAAAACAGGACAACTGACACCGAGGCAGATAAACCACCATGGCAGTTTTCAAGGACAAACAAAGAACTGGATCCTTAGACCTGGGCTCTGAGGTCCCCACGCACTCACACATGCACACACACATTCATTCAGAGGTTATTACAGTGCTTTTACACTTTGTAAACAGTTGAAACGCTGAAGAAATTTTGCCTTCTTTGTCAATGTTTTAAATTACACAGAACCCAGGGACCCTGTCCTCCAGCGTCCTGGAGTGGTGACAGAGTCCAGAGGGGTGCCCTCGTCAGGGCTAAACCCCTCTAGATCAGACAGAAGGACAGAACCAGGACCCCGGGCACTGGGAGTCCAGAACCAGACAGCCAAAAGCCCACAGAACCAGGAACTCTAGATCTCTAGAATTTAAAGACAGGAAAACCAGAACCAGGACCAGGGACTCCGGGCACCCAGAACCCAAGGTCACAGGGATCACTGGAGTCAATTCCAGCGTCCTGGTAACTGGATGATCCCTGTGACTTCCAGGAATAACCAGAGCAGGCCTGACTTACCTTCTCCACGGAGCAGGACCAGGGACTCTGCAGAATAATTTGGTGGGCCGCGCTGGGAGTCGATCCACTCTCCTCCAGCAAGGGTTGGTCTATGGGGCCCTGGGACGTCTCAGGGGGCACCTCCCCTATAGTCCTCTCCTCCCCCAGGGGAGCCCAGAGTGAGCCTGGTCTGCACCTGGTGGCGAGTATCTTGCTGGGTCCTGCAAATGTTTTAACTGAGTGAGTTAGAAGGAACGCGCCATGTGTTCTAACAACCAAGAGTCCTTTATTGATTTGCTGGCGACTGAGAGAGAGCTAATGCTCAAAATTCTCTCAGCCCCGAGGAAGGGGCCTGACTATCTTTTATACCTAGATTTAGGCAGGGGAGGGGAGTACCTAGCTGAAGCGGAATTTTACAGAAGCAGAAAAGCAGTTTAGAGGAAGGGGCTGCGGGCACAGGTGGTTTCCATACAATCACCAAGAAGGGGGCGATCAGGCTCCTTCTACAGGATGCTCAAAGGGAAACTTTTTTCTTACAACAGCAGGGGGGAGGTGTGCCGAGCAGAATGTGGTTACAATGGTTACAAGTGTTAAGAACAGATGCTTCAATGCCTCTAAGTGCAGCACGACCCAGTTATGCACCCAAAGGGGCTGTGGTAGGGAGGGGGAAGCCAGGTTGGAGTTTTTAAAAATTTTTTTATTTTTCTGAGACGGAGTTTCGCTCTTGTTACCCAGGCTGGAGTGCAATGGCGCGATCTTGGCTCACTGCAACCTCCGCCTCCTGGGTTCAGGCAATTCTCCTGCCTCAGCTTCCTGAGTAGCTGGGATTACAGGCACGTGCCACCATGCCCAGCTAATTTTTTGAATTTTTAGTAGAGACGGGGTTTCACCATGTTGACCAGGATGGTCTCAATCTCTTGACCTCGTGATCCACCCGCCTCGGCCTCCCAAAGTGCTGGGATTACGGGCTTGAGCCACCGCGCCCAGCTCAGGTTGGAGTTTACAGCTAAAATGGAGCCAGTGATGCTAGCCCAGGGTAGGTATTAGAACAGCCCCAGCTACAGCTTAGGAGGTCACAACGAACGTTCCCCTGTTGTCTTTCATGTTTCAATCAGCACCCAATTCCCACCAGGAGGATTTTTTTCCCTGTCTCGCTCTCAAAAAAAAAAAAAAAAGGTCTCTGCAGCGTCACATGAATTATCTGTTGATAATGGGATGTCCTTCTGGAAGAAGCAGTGCTGAGGAGCCCTCCTTACCGGAGGAAAACCATGTGCGGAGGAAGAGTATGGGGTAACTGGCTCCGTTTGCCTTGGCTCTTTCTGTCGTACTGATTCAGCAAAGCGCCCGCTGAGAGCCTCATTTGTCTCTCCTGTGGCAGCCAGGGACAGGAGGTCACACTCTCCTCAGATCGTATCTGAGAAGTGGCTCCTGGTCTCTGAACTGAAGGCTGCAGCTGCTGAGATAGGACAAGGCGCTGTGTGGGAGCAGCAGCACAGTGTTTGGGAAGAGCTGGGCACTGACGATGCTTCTCCCTGTCCTTCCACAGGTTGGTAAATTCTGGCCTCACATCAGCCTGTTGTTCAGCTTTGTCCTCGGTACTCAGCACTAATGGGAATCTCACGCACCTTTACCTGCGAGGCAACACTCTTGGAGACAAGGGGATCAAGCTCCTCTGTGAGGGACTCTTGCACCCCGACTGCAAGCTGCAGGTGTTGGAGTAAGTCCTTCAGCTCGTGACAGCGATGAGAGTACATGATGGCCAGGGTGGAGGGACGTTTAGACAGAACGACCACCAGATAATCTGTTCTTCTTAGAGTCTGCCCTGTCGCAGGGTCATGGGGCTGGGAGGAGTCCTCCTGGATGATATGAAGTTGGATCTCGAGTCCTTTCCCTCATGATTTTCTGTACCACAAAAGAAGGGGGCAGTATGACACTTATAGCTTGTGGAAATGTAGGGAAAGGCACAGAATTTGGTAAAAAGTCAATTAACAAACCACTGTTACTTTTTTTTTTTTTTTTTTTTGAGACAGAGTCTTACTCTGTCACCCAGGCTGGAGTGCAGTGGCACAATCTCACTGCAGCCTCCTCTATCCAGGTTCAAGAAATTCTCCTGCCTCAGCCTCCTGAGTAGCTGGGACTACAGGCACCCGCCACCATGCCTGGCTAAATTTTTTTAGTAGAGACGGAGTTTCACCATGTTGATCAGGCTGGTCTTGACCTCCACCTTGTAATTCGCCCATCTTGGCCTCCCAAAGTGCTGAGATTACAGTCGGGAGCCACTGCGCCCAGCCGTGCACTGTTACCAATTTCATCTGCACAATCTGGTGGACTTGAAGCAGATACTCCCATCTGACAAGGAGAGAAGAGTAACTCTGGCATACAGGGCTGTGTCAAGCTAGGCAGGCCTGTGCTCATTTTTTTTTTTTTGCATCTGAAACAATACAGGCTAAGATGCTAAGATCTTGGGGAGCCAGGGGGACGGTTAAGGGGACATTTTCTTTAAATCACCCCCTTTTTCTGCAGATTAGACAGCTGCAGCCTCACGTCGCACTGCTGCTGGGATCTTTCCACTCTTCTGACCTCCAGCCGGAGCCTGCGAAAGCTGAGCCTGGGCAACAACGACCTGGGCGACCTGGGGGTGATGATGTTCTGTGAAGTTCTGAGACAGCAGAGCTGCCTCCTGCAGAACCTGGGGTGAGCGTGCTCTGCAGATTCCGGGGCGGGATCCCGAGTCCTCAGGAAAAGTCGAGTGTGATCAAAATCCAGGGTGGTTCTGGTGTCATCTGCAGCCACTCAGCATTAGGCTGGGCTTGGGTCAGTTGTGGTGGATTTTTAAACACAGAGAACATGGGGCTTAAACTGCACATTCCACTTCGCTGAGATGATCAGATAACCAAGGTTAAGCTGCGTTTTATCCGTGTTCCTCAAAGAAACACAAGTCCCAGGGCAATCGTGGCCCAGGAGGGTTTTGTTCTACACAAGGAACCGCACGTCGCAGAACCTGTCTGTGGTTCATCCGGATTGGAAGGGTCTTTACATAGCGGGGATCTTGTTGTTTTGTTTCTGAGGATTTCTAAAGGGGAAAAGAATGCTCCAGGAACATCAAGCTCGGAAATGCCATGAAATTCAACAGTGTGCCGGGGCATTGCTGGACCACGTCTGTGTTTCGTGGTACCACTGAGGCAGTCCTTTCCACTCTAGTAAGAATTTCCTGGCCAGTCTCGTGGTTCTGTCAGCTGTGATGATCGCACTTTTCACTGAAGATGTTTTTACTGCTTGGCTTTAAGACCAACAAGCTCTCCTGGGTTTTCTCTATTTCGTTGGCCATCTCTACTGGGTTTCCTTTCTGGCCTTTTCTTCATCATCCTGACCCTTGTGTGTTGAATCCTCAGAGCTCAGTCGCTGGGCTAACTTTTCTTCCCTGCACTTTCTCCTTCATTTAAATTACCTAGTTTTCTGACTTCAGGATATATGTGCTGTGCCTTCCAGATTACATGTCCGTAAGTCCTGTGTCTGCATGCTTGTCTAATCTTCCTTCTTGGAGGTTTAATAAACCTCTCAGAGGCACATCCAGGTCCACACTGGTGTTCTTCTGCCTAAAACCTGCTTCTTCCCCATCTCAGGCAATGGTAACTTCCTCCGAGCTGCTCAGGCCAAAACATTTCTGGTGCTGTCTTCACTGTCTCTTTTTTCCCATGCCCGTGTCCCATGTGTCCCTGTTAGCTCTGCCTTTCCGGCTTGGCCACTTGCTGACAGCCTGGGCCGGCTTCACGGCTTCTTCCCTGGCTCAAGCCACCATCACGAGGTGTCTGGATGTCACGGTGGCATTCTGACAGGCCAACCTGCATCTTTTATCCTGAATTTAGCAGACAAGGGATGCAGCTAAAACGTGACTCAGACCATATCACCGTTTCCAACATCATCTGGTGACTTCTTATCACTGTTTTTTTTGAGAAAAAGTCACGCTCTGTTGCCCTGGAGTGCAGTGGCGCAGTCTCGGCTCACCACAGCCTCCGCCTTCCAGGCTCAAGCAATTCTCCTGCTTCAGCCTCCTGAGTAGCTGGGACTACAGGCAGGTGCCACCACACCCAGCTGATTTTTGTCTTTTTAGTAGAGATGGGTTTCATCATGTTGGTCAGGCTGGTCTTGAACTTCTGACCTTGTGATCCGCCTGCCTCAGCTTCCCAAAGTGTTGGGATTACAGGCGTGAGCCACTGCCCCTGGCCTCTTATCACTTACATAGTAAGAGCCACAAACTCATGGTGGCTTCCGTGGCCCACGTAATCTGGCCCCCACTGCTTCCGAAGATTCGTCTTCTCCTGGCCCTTCCTCATTCTACCCCCGTATAGGGGTCCCCTTGCTGGTTTGCAAGAACACTTTCATCTCTGGATTTTTGCACTTGCTTTTCTTCCTGCTTGGAACTTTCTCCCCTTCAATTCCATGTGCCTTATCCTCCACACATTCCTAAATTCTCTGCCTAAAGGTCTCTGTGAGGCTGTCTCTGACTCTCCTACTGAAAATGGAAGCCCAACATGTCCTTTCTTTTATCTTCTCATTCTCCCCTGTAGTGTTGCACATCTTATGTGCTCTGTCATTTTCTCATTTATTTATGATCTGTGCTCCCAAGATATAAATTCCTTTAGTCCAGGGACTTTGGTCCATATTCATGATCTCAAGGCTGAGAGCCTGTTGGAATGCAGGTCTGAATAAATAAAAGTTTGAATCAGCTTTGCATCCTCGTGTAGACATAATGGGGCATGTTTGCTGCCGGACAAGCCCACATTCCCAGAGCGAAGAGAGATAGAGGAAAAAAAGAGGGATTGCTCAGGCCAAAGCTGGGGACATTGCTTCATACAGAGTCACTGACCTAGCCCTGAGGGACGTTCAGGACCCAGGCCAAGGGTCAGGCTCAAAATAGGCTGAAGAACCCATGAATGCCATCAATCTGTTTTCTCAGGCTGCCATGACAAGCTGCTATAGACGGTGTGACTCAAACACAGAAAGTTATTTTCTCACAGTTCTGGAGGCTGCAAAGTCCAAAATCAAGTCTCTGGTGAATTTGGTTGCTGATGAGAGTCCTCTTCCTGGCTTACATGGCTACCTTCTTGCTGTGTGATCGCATGGCGGGAGGGGAGGCGAGGGAGAGAAGACGGGGGAGAAAGAACAAACTCTCTGAAGCTGCCCCTGTAAGGGCCTCGCCCTCACAGCTTCATCTGCCTCCCTCCCTCCCTCCCTCCCGAAGGCCCCACCTTTCAGTACCATCACGTTAGTGTTTCGGCTTCATCATGGGAGTTGTTAAGGAGGAAAACATTTGGTATACAACACAACCAAATTGAGATGCTCAGCAATGATGCGGGACAAATGGGCTGATTCAATAGTTAAGTTTCAAGGGAGACTTTGTATTAAAGAAGAGGAGGAACTTTCATCAAAGAAACGTGAGCGGCATCCTGGGCAGATGCAATGTGTAGACTTGATCGGGTTTGTGACTAAATGAATGTAACGTAAAAAAAATTACAAGACAGTTGAGGAAGTATAAATGCTGGCTGGACATACAGTGACACTAGGAAATTACTATTAAACAGTTTTGATGTGATGGTGATATTGTGATCCTGTTTTAGTGTCACAGAGTGAATTATTTATACATGTGTTAACTGCACTATTTAAAATAATCCATGGTGGGAGGAGTGGGTGGGTATTAGAGGAAACAGGTTGACATGACCTGTGTCATTGTTGAACTTGGGTAACGGACACAGGGGGTTTGTTATACTGTATTGTCTACTTTTACATATTCTTAAAATTTTTCCAACTAGATAAATTTTTTTTACTAGATAGTTAAAAATATAACAGAAACCACCTTGGGCACTGAGAGCTTCTGTTCTGTTTTTGTTTTTTTGTTTAACATTTTAGAGTTTAGAGGTGTGTGTTCAGGGAAATGAAGAGATGAGACTTTTAAGGTTAACGACTCTGAGAGACTTATCTGAAGAGTGCAACCCAGGCTTTCTGTTTGCTTTTACAGGTTGTGTGAAATGTTTTTCAATTATGAGACAAAACGTGCATTAGAAACACTTCAAGAAGAAAAGCCTGAGCTGACCATTGTCTTTGAGCCCTCTTGGTAGGGGCAGAAGCAGGGCTGCCAGACGCCAGTGTTCTCTGGCCCCTCCACTCCTTGGGTGCTGCAGTCCATCCAGCCCAAAAATCCTTCCAGGGGGGTGTTGGAGAAGAGAGCTTGCTGATGACGCCTCTGTGTAGAGAACGGGCATCTCCTTTATGCCCGGGTGAGGAAGACACGAGGGTGATGGAAGCTTCCGGATGTTCTCATCACAGCACCTTAATTAGAGGATGTTCCTCTTGGCGACCTTATGTAATTAGCTCATTCAATAAAACATTTTCTTTGTCTTTATTTTCCTCTCCTCACTGTCTCTAACTTTCTTTTTCCTATCTTTTTTTCTTCTTTGATCTATTTTTGCTCATATAATCATTCCTGCTATCTTTCTATTAACTGACCATAACACAGAACTAATTGACTATATATTATGTTGAAATTTTGTGGCAGCTACTTATTTATTTAAAAATTTTTTGTAATAGTTATGTTTTCTAATAAGAATAATTCATGCTTTTTGTAGCTAGTTGAAAATTCAGGAATATGTAAAACTTTTTTGTATTTATTGAATTAAATTGTTGCCTTTTCTTAATTTCAAAAAAGAGTGCCTAGACATTTTAAAAATTATTTATTTAAACCACTTAAGATAAATTAAATTGCTTTGTGCATTTTAAAAATCGCTTTGGCAAATGATTCAATTGTAGATAATTTTTAAAAAATTACCTCACACTAATTGTAATGAGTGGAATTTCAGCTTTGCTAGGATAAGAGCATGAAAGTCATAGAGGGAAAGGTTTCAGGGTTTTGGAGCCTGCACTCATAACCAGAAGTATTAGGCAGAAGATGCATCTTGCCTTCATTTGATAACAACTCATTTTGGATTTATCCCATCTGAGGAACGGTTCATCTATCATACTTCACAGAGCATTAAGTTATAAGGAAATATTTACTAATTGCCTCTCTACACATGGACAACTCTTGAACCGCATGGAATCGCTCAGGATGGAAATAGTATACAATTAACCATCAAAGTAGCCACACTTGGCTACTCAAGTTGTGGTCTAGGAGCTGTAGCTGTACGGAACTTGAATAAGATTGTAAATCAATCAAATTATCAAATATGCCCTTTGGATACGCGGACATTAAAAAAAAACCCTTCAGACTGTTTCCATAAGGGAAACAATATGAGATTTACATTGTGTTGCAAACTCTGCCTTGTTAGCACTTCTGAGCAGCACCGATTGGAGACGGGCTTTCTGCATCTTGGTGAGCTATTACTGACTGCCTTCCTGCTACAAACACTTTGATTTCCTGTGAAAATAATGTCATCAGAAACACATAGCTGAGCTTGAAAGAGAAAGACAACCTTTGGGCATTAGGGTGTTAAAACTGGCCAGGTTGCTAAGAATGCCATTATTTCATTCCTTTTTATGGCTGAATAGTATTCCATTCTCTCTCTCTCTCTCTCTCTATATATATATATATACATATATACATATATATATATGTATATATATGTATCACATTTTCTTTATCTGCTTGTTGATTGATGGGCATTTGGGCTGGTTCCATATTTTTCCAATTGCAAAATGCACTGCTATAAACATGCACGGGCAAGTATCTTTTTCATATAATAACTTCTATTCCTCTGGGTAGATACCCAGTGGTGGGATTGCTGGATCAAATGGTAGATCTACTTTTAGTTCTTTGATGAATCTCCACACGATTTTCCATAGTGGTTGTACTTGTTTACATTTGATGGAAAAACTTTCTATAGATGAAAATTTGAACTACAGAAAAAAAAGTCCAAAATCACAGGAAAGAGATACCAATCGACTTCATTCTTGGAATTGTTTGTAAAATTTGTGGAGATTTAAGTATATGGAGAAGAACACATATTTATTGTAAGTAAAATAAGTGTATTTCAGCTTCATCTTGTATATGCTTAAGAGTAATAGAAAAGAGAGAGAGAAACTTGAAAAACAAATGGGGAGAAAATAAAAGACATATAGGAAGAGGAAAAGAGAAAAGAATCAGGAAACCAGAAGTTAAATAATTCAACAAATACTTACTGAGGTCTATTTAAACAATTCTTGAAAACATATGACCTCTTAGAATTACACTTTTAAAATGGACTTTATTTGTAGATGTGGGATTTGGGGCATTATGACCAGAAGTGAGATGTTTGGGGACAGGCTTTGAGCTCTCTGGGTATTAACTCCTTAAGCAAAAGATGCTCTGAGCGCACAGTAGGTGTGTCCAGTGTTCCTCAGTTGATGGAGATGCCACATCTCAGGTCCTCTTTGAGCGCACAGTAGGCGTGGCCAGTGTTCCTCAGTTGATGGAGATGCCACAGCTCAGGTCCTCTTTGTCTGAGTGCACAGTAGGCATGTCCAGTGCTCCTCAGTTGATGGAGATTCCCCATCTCAGGTCCTCTTTGTCTGAGTGCACAGTAGGCGTGTCCAGTGTTCCTCAGTTGACGGAGATGCCACATCTCACGTCCTCTTTGTCTGAGCACACAGTAGGCGTGTCCAGTGTTTCTCAGTTGATGGAGATGCCACATTTCACGTCCTCTTTGTCTAAGCGCACAGTAGGCGTGTCCAGTGTTCCTCAGTTGATGGAGATGCCACATCTCAGATCCTCTTTGTCTGAGCGTACAGTAGGCGTGTCCAGTGTTCCTCAGTTGACAGAGATGCCACATCTCAGGTCCTCTTTGAGCGCACAGTAGGCGTGTCCAGTGTTCCTCGGTTGACGGAGATGCCACATCTCAGGTCCTCTTTGTCTGAGCGCACAGTAGGCATGTCCAGTGTTCCTCAGTTGATGGAGATGCCACATCTCACGTCCTCTTTGTCTGAGCGCACAGTAGGCGTGTCCAGTGTTCCTCAGTTGATGGAGATGCCACATCTCAGGCCCTCACCATCCACAGAGGCTCCAGAGCCTGGCCAGGAGTCTCCTCAGAGCTCCCTTCACTTCTCTATTCCTCAGGGTGTAGATGAAGGGGTTGAGAGTGGGGGTGATTATGGAATAGAAGAGGGAAATAAATTTGCCCTGCTCTTGGGAGTAGCTGGAAGGGGGCTGCAGATACATGTAAATGGCAGGTAGGTAGAAGAGGGAGACGACCATCAGGTGGGAGGAACAGGTCCCGAAGGCCTTGTGTCGTCCCTTGGAGGACTGGATCCTGAGCACTGTGCGGGCAATAAAGCCATAGGAGAGAAGGATGAGAGCCAGGGGCACCAACACAAAGAAGGCCACCAGCACAGCCAGCGTGGCATCGTTCACAGTGGTGTCAGCACACGACAGCTTGATCACGGCCGGCACCTCACAGAAAAAGTTGTTCAGCACCTGCCGCCCACAGAGTGGCAACCGCACAGTCAGGGCCACCTGCACCAAGGAGTTTCCGAAGCCACTGAGCCAGGCCAGAGCCACGAGCTGCTGACAGAGAGCGCGGTGCATGAGGACGGCGTAGCGGAGGGGCTCGCAGATGGCCACATAGCGGTCCAGGGCCATGGCGGCCAGGACGACGCACTCTGTGCATCCCAGCCAGTGGAAGACTGCGTACTGCACCGTGCAGCCTCCATAGCTGATGGTCTTCCTGGAACTGCCCATGTTGACCAGCATCTGAGGGACGGTGGTGGTAGTGTAGCAGAGGTCCAGGAAGGACAGGTGGCTGAGGAAGACGTACATGGGGCTGTGGAGCTGAGGATCCAGCCGGGATGCCAGGATGATGGCGACGTTCCCCAACATGGCCAGCACATAGGACAGCAGGAGGACCACGAAGAGCGGGAGCTCCAGCCATGGCCGGTCAGACACACCCAGGAGGATGAAGGCTTGAGGGAGGTCCCCTGAGAAGCTCTGGTTGTCACTTTTCATGTCGTGGCATTTTCTGGCGCCTGTGACACGTTGAGAATGTTGGAATGAATAATACCCGAGAAGAGGAATTAATCACATTCCTCCTTCTTGTATCCATTCTTCCCTACCCAGGTTATAGCCTGATTCCCCTTACCTCTGTGGAGACACTGGGATGTGGAGGGGCCAGAACTGGGAGCCCAGGTGCAGCCTCTGTGTCTTTGCTCTCCTTCCCACTAGCTGCCTCAACTAAGCCATTTAATCTTCCTGAACTTCTGCATCTGCAGAATAGGGAGAAATACCTGCTTCAATTGCAAAGACTTGGGGACGGTAGAGACATTAAGTATGTGAGAAAGTACCCTGTGAATGACAGTTGTGTTCCAGTTAGAGCGAAGCCCCCAGAGCTGCCATCACCGTCAGAATGTTTGATTTCTCTTCCATACACATCGACAGGGAATTATCCACCGTCGTAGGCGTTCCCGTCTCGGGAGGTAGTGGTAGGAGGGAGGTAGGTGGTGACGGAAGACAAGCAGGAGGGCTTTGTGAGCAGCTGGGGGCCACAGCCTCGCCCCTCCTTGGGCTTGCATCTGGCTCCCCAGCTCAGGCTGAGCTCTGCTCTCAGGACCCCACATGCACAGGCAGCTCTACCACTCTCACTGGCGGCAAAGGCAGCATGATTCTATCTGTGAGTCTCTGGAGTGTAGGAGCCAAGTTGTGTTCTACTTCAGCCCCTGCATTGGTCATGGTAACTTAATGAGACCCCAGCGCATAGAATTTTGAGCACAGGGAGAAAGTTCTTGATTGGCGTAAGAGAACTAGCCCTGGCGGGCGGATCACGAGATCAGGAGTTTGAGACCAGTCTGGCCAATGTGGTGAAACCTCATCTCTACTAAAAATACTAAAAAAGTTAGGTGGGTGTGGTGGGAGGCACCTGTAACCCCAGCTACCTGGGAGGCTGAGGCAGAAGAATTGCTTGAACCTGGGAGGCGGAGGTTGCTGTGAGCCAATATCGTGCCATCGCTCTCCAGCCTGGGCAACAAGAGCAAAACTCCATCTCAAAAAAAAAAAACAAAAAACAAAAAAACCCGAAAAAGACAAAAGTAAAAAAAGAAAGAAACGTAGCCCCTGGAATTGTCTGTGGAAAGATCAGACTGCCTGTAGAGGTAGGTTTTATCTGATGGCTTGAGTGACATTTCAATTTCCTGCACAATTTCTTTGCCAAACAGCTGTCACCTCTTAGTGATTGAAAACAATCAATTTGATTTCTGAAACCATTGCTGTTAGGAACCGACTGTGTTGCCACCTGCTGATTCGTGGGGCCTTTCCACTGCGCCATTGACTTTCAACTCAAACAGTGGAAACCTCACAGTTCCTGATGGGGATGATATGCCCCATGATAGGATTGAAAAATATTATTAATAAACAATTAATTAGAAATTATTATTAGCAAACCCCATAAGATACCTTATGAAGGATTTTCATTCTTGATTTGGTACCTTATGAGTAGACTCTAAAACTAACAGGGCCCTGCTCAGCTTAGCTGTTGCAGCCAGCGTTTCCTGCTGCCCCTGTTGATATTCTGAAGAACTCTACTGTGACTTGAAAACAACTCAAACTCCAGGGTTTGAATGGAGGAATAAGTGAAAATTTTCTTTCCTTTTTCTGTAGCTTCAAAACTGCATACTGTTCGTTAGAAAATTCCCACCATTCTTGTGAAACACTCAATTATTGCACTTCCTCCCAGATTCTATCAACAACGCTTAGGAGATAAACTTCACGGAATGTGATTTTATCTCTAATGAGCTCAAGATACCAGTCAAAACAGTAAGCTGTGGCCGGGCAAAGTCAAGCTAGCACATTTTTAAGCCTAGTTATTAAGAAGTAAAGGAATTATGACATTCCTTTCTCTGAGATTTCCGATTCCAAAGTTTCTTTTCAGAGTTTAAACTGGGAGAAAAGAGAGAAGTCATAGGGAGAGTGGAGGAAGAAGTGAGAGAATGAAGATAGCAAGAACGACAGAGGGTACATGCATGCTGCAGCTTATAGTAAAGACAAGTACTCGCCACTCATGATGAGCCAGGTACCGGAATAATAACTTTATGTTGCTTTAGTATCTCAGTAGGTCCATGTTTTCACTCCTAATTCACAGAGCGACTTGGGAGGATAACTGGTCTGTCTTATTACACAGCAGCAAATGGTAAAGCCAGGACTGACAGCCAAACTCTTGCTCTTTTTTTTCTTTTTTTCACCCAGGCTGGAGTGCAGTGGCGTGATCTCTGCTCACCGAAACCTTCACCTCCCGGGTTGAAGTGATTCTCCTGCCTCCGGAGTAGCTGGGACTACAGGTGCCGGCCACCACACCCAGCAACTTTGTACTTTAGAGACGGGTTTTCACCATCGTGGCCAGGCTGGCCTTGGACTCCTGATCTTGTGATCCACCTGCCTCGGCTTCCCAAAGTGCTGGGATTACAGGTGTGAGGCACTGCACCTGGCCTCAAACTCTTGCTCTTAACTACTATTGTCTCTAGAACTTTGCTTAAAAAAAAGAGCAGCTGGTGACATGGCAGCAAGAGCCATCGAGTAAATGACTGAGACAGAAGATGCTGGGAGGGGAGATGAGGGAGACAAATGTCACAGGAGATAACGGGTGGGGATCACAGAGGAGAGGTTTTTTTGTAATTTTAGTCCGCTGTACCATGCACACATATGCACACACGTGCACACACACACACACACACGCATGGTTTCTCCACAGCAAAGCTGGATACTGCCCAGCCCTGCCCCTCATGGGACTGACGCCCATCTGTTCAGGCCTTTCCACTTAAAGAGTTAGCAGGTGTCCAGCCTCTACCCTCCTTGACCTTCCTTGGTCTTCCTGCTACCCAAATACAGGTGCTCCTCAAGGCACAGCCTTGCTTCCCTGGATGAACACAGCAATTTCTACACACATCGCCGTCACATTCACAGGGAGACCCTCCAGACCTGTGTCTACAGCTGTCAGTTCCTCACTCACCTCTCAACTGAGGCATCCCAGATTTCACCTGGCAGCAATCCCCCCAAACTCAAACCAGCTCCTTCATCTGAAATGTGGCTGACTTCCTCTGGTCACTGTGACTCCAAGTATTGAGGTTCTTTCTAATCAGGTTCCACTCCTCATTCACTGTAGTTCAACACTGGCATTGCAGACAATATTGCACTGTTGCTGGCAAACACTGTATCCTCACCACAGTCGTCCCGGGCAGGAACGCCCACGTGGGCCCCTTTTAGAACCTGTTACCTGCCTCTCTCAGGCAGCTGCAACCCCTCACTCACCCTCACATGAAGTCATCCTTCTGAGACTCAGGACTTAAGAGCAAAGATATCTTTAAGAGTTTTCAATTACCAAAAAAAAAAAGTGCCCGTCACCCAAGCAGTTATCTGCTGATTGTGTCGTCCTCACACTGAATTCCCTGCCATTTCTTCTGAGGCCGGTCACATCCCTCTGCCTTAGCAGCCACCAAACAATATTTTAACAGCAGCACTTCGGGCAAGCCTGCTGGCAGGCTTGGCTCTGAACGTGCAGGTGTAGGATAGAATCCTTGTGATCAATATTTGTGTCTCTACATCTATTTTATCTATCTGTTATCCCTGACATCTGCTGCTGAAATCACATTGTCACCTACTCCACGACATAACATGGAAATCAAATTCACAGCAGTGTGTGCAGTTCCTAGGAGGCAGCTTATGAGCTGGGCAAACAGAGGCATGGCCACGGGTTTTACTGCGTGTTAGTCGAAGGGGTCTCTTCCTTCAGTCTAGAATGCAGCCTCTAATCCCACAATGCGGATAGCCTGGTCAAGGCCCTGTTCAACTGCAGAGGCCGTAATTAGGAGGATACTGCCAGAGACTGAGTCTTGGGGACAAGGCTTAAAGACACTGAGTCTTGGGGACAAGGCTTAAAGATGGCAACATTTTCCTGAACTGCTAGTAACAGGGACTCTTTGGTCACAGAAAGGGAAAGCGCCCTTTCCTTTTATTGCCTGGTTCCGGGCATGCTTCCTCGCAGGCAGGAGTCTGAGTTGAGTGCAATCCAGGCGTTCGCTGCACAAGCGCAGCCTCAGCTTCCCCGCTTCCTCTTCATTCTCGGTCTCACTCAGCAGCCTCTGCGACGGAGTTAGTGCCCTGGTCCACAGACAGTCCTTTCTCATCCTGCACCAGGACTTGGGGAATTGCACATCCTTCTGCTGGGAAGAGCAGGAATGTACTGGGAATACCATCTCTCATCTCCCTCCCTTCATGTCCCAGCTCGGTTTCACTACAGCCCAGTTTCCTTCCTTTAACTGCCCTCACTAATTAAACACTATTGATCGACTTCTGTATCTCCCACAGTACAAGGGGCTTTGAGGACCATTCATATCCCTACCGCCACAGCGGGCCTGAGGTCTAGTTTTTCATAACACTTTAATTTGAAGGATCAAACAAATTCCTAGCATTGAGAGGAGAAGCGAAGCCAGCCAGCCCTGGGTGAGCACTCGCCTGCTCTCTGTCTGTGCAGCAGGCACTACGTGTGTGCCGTCCACATGCCATTTCGATCACTGCGGAAAACCGAGAGGTTCAGAAAGATAGAGAAGTTCACCTCGTCCAGGGGCTGGAGTACGAGTCCACGGGGTAAGCTACTGAAACACCCAATGCTGGTCCACACGGAGAGGAAGTTGCTTCCTCATAAGGCTCCGGATGTCACAACCTATTGCTCTCAAAAGTAATGAACAGTTTCCCCTTTTTTTTAAAAAAAAAAAACAACAACTGCTTTATATTCATTTAAAATAAATAGAGATGGGTCTTGCTATTTCCCAGGCTGGTCTCTAACTCCTAGGCTTAAGCAATCCTCCCACCTCAGCCTCCTGAAGTGCTGGGATTACAGGTGTGAGCCACCTCACCCAGCCCAGTTGCCCTTTTTTTAAAAAATGTATTTTATATGGATTTAAAATAAATTGAGATGAGGTCTTGTCATTGCCCAGATTGGTCTCGAACTCCTCTGCCTCCCAAAGTGCTGGGATTACAGGTGTGAGCCACCTCACCCAGCCCAGTTGCCCTTTGTTAAAAAAATGTATTTTATATGGATTTAAAATAAATTGAGATGAGGGCTTGTCATTGCCCAGATTGGTCTCGAACTCCTCTGCCTCCCAAAGTGCTGGGATTACAGGTGTGAGCCACTTCACCCAGGCCAGTTTCCACTCTTACATGCATGCCCTTGTTAAAAACACCCTGTAAAGCTGGAAAATGTTAAAGGCCTCACCCAGTGGAACATTTTAAACGTGCTGTATCATTTGGTAATCATTTCCAATATGTTAATTTTTCACTTTTTACTGAGATCATAATTTCTTTAAAAACAAGAACATGTCTTACATATTTTGTTATTCACAGAATGAGGAATGCAATTAATTCACAAAATGATTATTGGTTTTGTTAGCAAATCTAAAAGCCTCATCCCTCAAATGGCTCCTTATTCCAGAGGGTAGAGTCCTCAGCCCCTTCAGTTATTCCTCCTAGTGCTGGGGAGGAGGGGAAGAGAGAAGGAGCTGGGACCCCGCGGCGATGGGTCTGTGGGACTGAGGAGAGAGGACACAGCGGCCACCCTCAGTGTGTGGCTCAGGCAGGGTGGGCCCCTCCTCCACATGCCTCCCTCGACCCCCGCCATGCCTCATTGCCTTTTTATGTGGTCTGACTTTTTCTTTTTCTTTTTTTTTTTGAGATGGAGTCTCGCTGTTGTTACCCAGACTGGAGTGCAGTGGTGCAATCTCAGCTCACCGCAACCTCTGCCTCCTGGGTTCAAGCAATTCTCCTGCCTCAGCCTCCTGAGTAGCTGGGATTACAGGCACGCACCATGGTGCCCAGCTAATTTTTGTATTTTTAGTAGAGACGGGGTTTCACCTTGTGGACCAGGATGGTCTCGATCTCTTGACCTCGTGGTCCACCCGCCTCGGCCTCCCAAAGTGCTGGGATTACAGGCGTGAGCCACCGCGCCCGGCCAGGTCTGACTTTTTCAGAGTTTTCAACTTGGAGCTTGCTTTCTCGGCGACTGATGCTATTCAGCTTTGCATTCTCTTTTTCTCTCTTTCCATGGCCCATCTCAGCTCAAAACTGCCCCTTTGACTGCGATTCAGCAGCCTCAAAACTAGGGGGAAGCAGAGGAAAGGGACTCAGGGTCCCCGTACACTCTGTGCAGTGTCTACTCTCTAGATGAGTGTCAGAAAGCTTGCCTACCTACAGTCAGAGGCGCCTGCTCCCAGCTGTCTTCTCTTTATTTTTATTTTTTAGACAGAGTCTCACTGTGTCACCCCAGGCTGGAGTGCAGTGGTGCCATCTCGGCTCACTGCAACCTCAGCCTCCTGGGTTCAATCAATTCTCCTGCCTTAGCCTCCTGAATAGCTGAAATTCCGGGAACCCACCACCACACCCGGCTGATTTTTTATTTTTAGTAGAGATGGGATTTCGCCATGTTGGCCAGGCTGGTCTTGAACCCCTGACCTTGTGATTCGCCCACCTCGGCCTCCCCAAGTGCTGGGATGACAGGCGTGAGCCACCACACCTGGCCCCGGGTATCTTTTCTAGATGAAACTGCACAACGCAATTGTATATTTGCTGCCTAATGCGTGGCCACTGTTCACCGGCCTGTCCGCCCTGCACCCCTCGTGCCCTTGGTCTCCAGCGCAGACCAGTGTGCATGCTGCGGCAGCGGCACCTCCACAGCCCGATACAGAGTTTAGTTTGTCTAGAGCTGAGGATGAACCACTGACCTGCAGGGTTCCCGGCTCCTATGGAAGACTTGGTCTGGGGCTGAAGGCGTCACTGCAGCCTGTTTTGGCCTTAGTTGCGGAGGGACATTTAAGGATGGACTTAGTAGAAATGCTCTTCCTCTTCCAGGAAGACACCGCTCATTCCCTGTGATGGGCCGCTGGGGCCTTGCGGCTTACTGGAAGCCCGCCCTCTGAGCCAGCCTGAGGGATGACTCTCAGTCTAGAAGAGTCCGCTGTCCTTGGGATAGCTTGCTGGGGAGACTCAGAGTTTCTGGACATTCCCTTGGCAGTGCGTGAGGTCCGGGGATCTGCCCTAACCTCGGTCCCCCAGACTGCTCACAGACACTTTGCTATGGTGGAGGTTCTTCCGAGGATAAAACTTGGAGGCAGTAAACCAAGCCCATGTCCTGCTCCCCGTTCATTTCAGAATCAGCCCTCAGGTTTAACCTGACCTCATCCTCTCCACTGTTTTCTCTAAGGGCCCAGTTCTGTTTCCCCTGACGCTGAGAGTAAAAACTCGCTCTCCTCCGGCTATGAAGTTGTCCCTGATGTTTTATTTAATTAATGTCTAAGGGCTTAGCTGATAATTAAGGTGGTGTGCGGGCTTGGAGTTCTTGCAATTAACGGCAAATCCTAGAATACTGGAAGACCAGAGGAAACAGACCAATAACGGGGACTGAGAACTCCTGCATGTGTGTGTGTGTCTGTGTGTGCCTGTATGTGTGTGTGTGTCTGTGTGTGTCTGTGTTTGTGTGTCTGTATGTATCTGTGTATGTGTACATGTGTCTGTATGTGTGTGTCTGTGTGTCTATATGTGTGTGGTTGTCTGTGTGTCTATGTGTGTGCCTGTATGTGTGTATCTGTGTGTATGTCTGTGTGTGTCTGTATGTGTGTGTGTCTATGTGTGTGCCTGTATGTGTGTCTGTGTGTTTGTGTGTATGTGTGTGTGTCTGTATGTGTATGCCTGTGTGTGTCTGTGTGTGTCTTTGTGTATGTGTGTGTCTGTATGTGTGTGTGTATGTGTATGCCTGTGTGTGTGTCTGTGTGTATGTGTGTGTCTGTATGTGTGTGTTTGTGTGTATATGTGTGTGTGTGTGTAACTCTTTAGGGTTGGTGTGTGGTGGGGGGATTACTCTAACGTCAGTGGCGTAGTAACTTAGCGTGTAATTCAGTTAGAGCAGGAGACCTGAACTGGCTTCAGCACCAGGTTCAGTCATTCATGCTGGGTGTCTTTGAGCAGGTAATCTGACCTATCTGTGCCTCACTGCATCAGCTGTAAAATACAGGAGACACTAGGATTGTTTTGTACAGTCAGTCTGTGACGAGGGGGGAATGAATTGGTATATGTAAAGCACTCAGAACAATGAGTGGCACAGAGCAATACATGCTGAGGTTTTTTTTTTTCTATACATTGTCTCAGCACCCTGTTCTATTTTTCACATGGAGTGGATAAAAAAGTCTTTCATGAGAGAGCCCACAAGAAGTAATGCAAATTTCATTTTATTTATTTTTATTTTTGTATTTGTATAACTTTAAGGGCCACTGGTAGTTTTGTTACATGGATATATCGGGCAGTGGTGAGATCTGGGCGTTTAGCATGGCTTTCACCCGCATCACATACATTGTACCCAGCAGGCAATTTCTCATCCCTCATCCCCTTCCACCCTCCTGCCCTTCCTGGTCTCCAGGGTTAGTGTTGCACCCTCTACGCCCCTGTGTACACATCATTTAGCTCCCACTTGTAACTGAGAACATGCGGTATTTGACTTTCTGTTTTTGAGTTGTTTAAAATAGTGGCTTAAAATAGTGGCCTCCAGTTCCATCCACGATGCAGCAAAGACACGACTATATTCTTTTATGGCTGAATAGAATTCTTGCAGCGCAAATTTTAATTCATGAGCTGTACTTCATGTGATGAAATGCTGCTGTGGGAACCATGTGAACAGTGGCACCTTGGCGCAGCGGCTCCCTCTCTAGGTTTTGACTTGATCATATTTGCCTCTAGCTTTAGATGCCTAGGTGGACGGAGGTGAATCATGGCCATGAGTTAGGGCTCTATATTTCTCTTCTGAGGATGGAGGGAGGAGAGAGAATATGTCCTAGAGGAAGATGGGGAGACTGTGCTTTGGCGATAAGAGGGAGCGCTCCTTGATTCTGAGCATGCTCTGTTGTACTCTCCCCCACGGAGAGCCGGATGAGGCATGAGGGACATCTTAGACACACACACTCTTTTTTTTTTTCATATTTGCTAATATTTATGTAAACACTTGCAAGTCATGATACAATCACAGAAGGAAACATATGAAAATATTTAGTATTTCATTGTATTTCCTCTACATATAAAATCAATTCAAATTGTCACTGGATTAGTAGGTTTGAAACTTTTCTGAATGTATTGAGCACAATCTTACTACTATAGCACATACATTTTCGATTAAAGGTAATTCACTCTAATTTTTAAAATAATCTACTTGGTCAGGAGCGCATTGCTTTGCTGGCGTCTGTGATCAGCTGGAGACGGTGGTGAATAGTAGTTGCATTTCTTGGAAGAAGATCTTTTATTCCGCTGCTCAGCCCAGGTTGAGCCTTCCTTAGAGACTGAGGATCATCCATCAGTTTCCCTGGAGAATGGCCTGCAGCCTCCCACTCAGGGCATGGCTGTGCTCATCTAGGCCCTCCCAGGGCTGGAAAGGGTGTCCCTGGTGATCCACAAAGGTGTCCCAGCAGTGCTTAAACTCACTGTATTTCATCATGGAAATTGGGGTCCCAGCTCTGTTCAGCCTGCGCAGGCCCTTTTTATATCCTCGTTGATAACCATAGATGCGGGCAGCGAAGATGTGCAGGTTCACGTGTGGGTTCTCTTGAAGGAATTCAGCCATCTTCTCAGCACAGCTGAAGCAGGGGCTCCAGGAGATGAAGCAGGTGACCCTGTAGCGCTGGGCCAGGTCCAGCTTCCAAAAGGAAATCAGGTCCAGGAGGCACAGCTCTGCATGGTGGCCTTCAGGGAAACCCGGATTATTTGAAGCCTCGTTGAATATGAAGGCCCTGGGCTGGTGCAGCGGGACCCAGGTGCCATTGTGCAGGTGCTCCACCTCGTAACACAGGTAGGTCTGGTGCTGTCCAAGGACCGAAGGGTCATTGCTAAAGTTGTAAGTGAATGTGCCTGGATCCATCAGGTGTCTGAGAACCTCCCCCAGCGTGATGCGCAGTAATGTATAATGTTTAGGCAGCTTATTCCAAGGCTTATACAATCTTTGGTTGCCCACGAACTTGTCCCAACAGTGTTGAAATTCGCCATAACTCATGATCTTCATGGTGGCATGTGGACTGTCTCTTCTCTGACACAGTCTGCGAAGCTCCTCCCGGTAATGTGGGTCCCAGAAGTAGTAGAGGCGGGCCACGAAGATGGTCAGGGTGACCTTCCCGTCCTCAGCCAGGAACTCGGCCACATTCCTTGCACACACTGGGCAGGGGCTCCAGGACACAAACCAGGTGACCTCGTACTCCTGGTCACTACGCAGCTTCCACTTTCGGAACCAATGGAGGAATCTCATCTCTGGGTGGTGTTGAGGCTTCGAATAGACCTGGCCTTGCAAGATCTTTGCAACCAAAGGGGGCCTTGAGCGGTCGTTTGTTTTCATTTTCACTTCGTAGCACAGCCAGACGGTGTTCCAATGAGAAAGGATGGGTCTATTATAAAAGCTGTAGAAGAATGTGTCTGGCTCCATTCGCGCCACCGTGTTTCTGGTCTGAGGCTTCATCTGTGGCCAGCTAGTCCCAACCATGATCTTTGTCTGAACCACTAGGGTTTCACTTTCGGCTACCCACACTTTTTTTTTTTGAGACGGTGTTTCACTCTTGTTGCCTAGTCTGGAGTATAGTGGTGCGATCTCGTCTCATTGCAGCCTCCACCTCCTGGGTTCAAGCAATTCTCCTGCCCCAGCCTCCCAAGTAGCTGGGATTACAGCCACCCACCTCCACGCCAGGCTAATTTTTGTGTATTTAGTAGAGACGGGGTTTCACCATGTTGGCCAGGCTGGTTTCGAACTCCTGGCCTCAGGTGATCCGCCCACCTCAGGCTCCCAAAATGGTGGGGTTATAAGTGTGAGCCACCGCGCCTGGCCTTGGCCACTGTCTTGTTACCCAGCTGGGATAATTTCCAGAGATTGGAGACGCTTAGATATCTGTGCAGTTGGGGAAAGAAAGGTGGAATAGGCAGTTTTGTGCTGAGAAAATCCAGATGCAATTGTTGGAAACTCTCACAACTGAGACTGACACAGGGTCCCAGCAGAATTGTGCTAATTGTCATCTTGATCATCTTTCTTCAAATATCTGTTCTCCCACTCTTATTGTTGGTGCCCCCTTTACTCCACACAGCAAGGTGCCCTGTGATGCGATTACATTTTCCGGGCTTTCTAACAGATAGAGGAAGTTATTGAGATAAAATTACTGGGAAAGCTTGGAAAAATATTAGCCAATCCTCCTTTCTCTATTTTTGTGACTGGAATGTAGTCTCGATGGCTAGAGCCCTAGCAGCCACATTTCACCTTAAAGCAATCTTGAAGAGGAAATCCGCACACTAAGAACGGCGGAACACTGAGAAGGAGCCGGGGCACTCGATATCTGGTGGCTACTGAGGAGCCATGAACTTGACCTCCAGTTTCTTCGACAGAAAAGTAATAAGCTTCCACCTTATTCACAGCACTGATCTGGGTCTTACGTCTCAGGAAACGGAACTCAGTTCTGGCAGTGATTTCAGGAAGATTTTCTGGTATCTGTTTTGTAATGTTACTGTGTTACAAGATACAACAAAGCTTTGATATTAGTAATTCCAACCTCTAGAAGAACGTGATCTAACGAAGTCTGTGCTGACATCAACATCACAGATTAACCGTTGAAAAATAAACAAATGAATACATGTAATGATCAAATGGATGATGACAAATACTTAACACAGTGTATACTGAAGAGGAAGGCAGCCGGGATTCAAAAGACATTTTATCTTTCCAGGCATTCTAGAATGAGAAAAGAGAAGACTTGTTCTGCCTGGTGTGAACTGGAGGGTTCCCCGTGGAGAGAGGGCGTGATATGAATTGCTGCATTCTAGAGTTATGTGTTATTTCAGCTGTGGTTAGTGTTTGAATAAAGAAAAGAAAGACTTGCACTGATATCCATAAGGAATATATTTAAGCTGACATTTAGTTAACAATAGCCCACTACATGGAAGTGGTGAAAATGGGCTTTTGCAGTCAAATGAACTGGATTCCAATCCCAGGCCTCACGTATTAAGCGTGGGACCTTAAATGACATAAGCCTTCTGACGCTCAGTCTCCTTACCTGTACCATAGAAATAATAATTTCTGACCACTGGATTGATATAAGAATAACTGAAATAATATATGCAAATATATTCATAAAGTTCCCAACACAAAACTTAGTAAGTGGCCGTCCAGACTTTCCTTCCATTCACTCATCAACAAATGTTTAAGAAATTCTTGGTCGGGCGCGGTGGCTCAAGCCTGTAATCCCAGCACTTTGGGAGGCCGAGGCGGGTGGATCGCGAGGTCAAGGGATCGAGACCATCCTGGTCAACATGGTGAAACCGCGTCTCTACTAAAAATACAAAAAATTAGCTGGGCATGGTGGCCCGTGCCTGTAATCCCAGCTACTCGGGAGGCTGAGGCAGGAGAATTGCCTGAACCCAGGAGGCGGAGGTTGCGGTGAGCCGAGATCGCACCACTGCACTCCAGCCTGGGTAATAAGAGCGAAACTCCGTCTCAAAAAAAAAAAAAAAAGAAATTCTTATGATGTGCCATGTGCAGTGACTGATGGTGAGAGGCAGTATAGGTGGAATATTTGTGCCCTCCAGGAAACTTTGGAGCGATAGAATTGTTTTACTAGTTGCTTGGAATGGTAGTTGCACAACTACTTACACTTAGCAAACTCATCAAATTGATTTTGTTATATGCAAATTATACCTGAATAAAGCTATAAGAGAGGATTTGGGCCCATGTGGAGCTACCGGAATGGTGCAGAAAAAGAGACATGAAGCAAATCGTTGCATAACTACGGAAGTATAGCTGTGAGAAGGATTAAGAAGAAAAAGAAATGACAACAACGGATGCTTAGAAAAGGACCTATTCCGGACTGGGAGAGGTGGAGGGCAGAGAACGCTTCCTTCTGGACGGGACGTTCAACCTGATCGCTGTCCTCATCAAGTGTAACGACTTCTGAGATGCCCATTGGTGAATACTAATCAGGGTGAAACACAGTCACACCTTGGAGCTGTGTCTCTGCTGACCCCACGAGGACGTCAGCACTGGCCCACGCCAGCGGGATGTGCAATCCGAGTGCTGCAGTGACAGAGTGTTGCCGCCCTGCCGGGTCCTCCCCCTGCTCTGACTGATGGCAGTGTCCATAGTATCCACACCATTTAATTTATTGATTGATATAATAATGTCTTCACTAGATTTATGGGAAAGACCTTCGCTCACAAATAAATAGAGAAGATCAGCCCAGGATTAAGTATCATCTATGATTTTGCCTCCTTGGGCTCTAATCAATTAAAATGAAAAATAACCAAGGTGCCCTTCTAAGACCACACAATTTGATTCACGATTCAATAAAAATCACATAAGTAATAAAGTCACCAGATGTTGTAACCAATTTCAGGCTATGTCATGAAAGTCACTGTGGGTGCAAATCAGTGGCTATGACTTCGTTTCTGCAGGGTATTGTCAATACAAACATGTGGATAGTTAGAAATGAGAGAAAAATGAAGGACTGCTTCAGCAGGAAAGTATCTCAAAAATTAGATTTAATGTATAAGAACTGCATTTTCAGATTAACCAGACAGGAAAAACCATGTTGGAAAAAAAATAAAGAAGTAAAATAAGATTTAAAAACTCAACATTTTTTTTTTTAAAAGGAAAAGAAAATGAGAATAGGAGGACTGGTAAAGAAGGAACTAGGAAGATTAAACAGTCCCCTTCGTGAGAGACGTAGTGTGATGGATAACTTACCACAACAGATTTTAATTTGTATTTGTGGAACATTATACTTTAAAAGCATTTCGGGTCATGTGAGAGTATGGCTCTAAATTGTAAACTTCATAACTCTTCGTATTTGCTGATGGATTGTAACTAGTGATATTTTTTCCCAAAATAATTAATTTATAATAACTTCCAAATAATTTATATAAGTATTAAATAAAGACGACAGAGTCCAGAGCTAATAGGTGATGTAAGGACTGTGCAATGCTTTACGTGAGTCTAGAGGAAAACACAAATAACAGCCTTCTCACTAGCTTTAGGGTGCATGATCATTGTGCCACAGTTTGCCACTTGTCCAACTTAAATTGAGTTAAATCAGATATTAAGTTAAAATTAAAAATTCTAGTTCAACAAATGGGTGGGAAGAGCTTTAAATAAAAAGCTTTATTCTTTTCTAAAAAATAAATTTTGTTGTGTATACTTAAGGCATACAACATGGTATTACGAGAGCCACATAGAGGTCGTGAAAGGTTACTATGGTGAAAGAATTCCCATAGCCATCACCTCATAGTTATCTGTGCCAGCTGATGGCAAGAGGAGAAAAGCAACTACAGTCCACTCAGTTAGCAAAAGCTCTGAATACAATGCACTATTAACTCCAGTCCTTATGTTATGCTGTGCGTTAGATCTTCCACCTGCTCATTCTGCATATCTACCACTTTGCATGCTTTCCGCTACCTCTCTCTATTACCTGAGCCCAAACCACTGTTTTATTCTCCAGATCTGTGTATTTGACCTTTTTTCTCGGATTCCACATATAAGTGAGATGATGCAGTATTTTTCCTTTTGTGTCTGGCTGATTTTCCTTAGCATGATATCCACCAGGTCTGTTGAAATAGTGGGTTAATGGCCGCATTTCCTCCTTTCTAAGGTGGTAAGATTCTTATATCTATCTAGCTATCTAGTTCACACGTGTATATTCATTCACTGACAGATGCCCAGGTTGTTTTCACTCTTGGCTACTGTGACTAGTGCTGCACTGATGTGGGAGAGCAGATGTCTTTATGAGGTGGTGATTTCAGTGTCTTTGGTATACACCCACAAAAGGGATTGCTGGATCATAGAGGAGTTTTCTTTTTAACTTCTTTAGGAATCTCCAACCCGTTGTCCTTAATGGCTGCAGCAATTTCCATTCCCAGCAACAGCATACAGGCTCCCCTCGTCCCACATCCTCACCGACAAGTCTCACCTCTCGTTTTTTCGATGATAGCAATCCTGACAGATGTGACGTGTTAGCTCACAGCAGTTTTGAGTTGCAAGAGTTCTTTATAAATGCTGGGTGTTTAGACCTTATCAGATCTTCCCCCCCAATCTACAGGTTGCCTTTTCATTTTGTTACTTGTGCCCTTTGCTGTGCAGAATCTTTGTAGTTTGATGTAGTCCCATTTATTTAAGGAAGCCTTATTACTATTACACCTTGTTCTATGGCGTTTATGAACTGGGGCTTTGCAAAGATGTAAGGAGTGGTGAACTGGTGAAAGACGCTGCCCAAGTGCCAGAAGTCCGTTGAGCAAAATCAGGGGCTCTCCAGATTTCTAGACTTATCCTTCTCTCCCTTTGCTTAAGAACTGTGTCTCCAGAACACTCTGTCCTCCTTGGCCCTGAAAACAAACATGTACTAGTGTTCTTCGGTAGAGTTCTTCATGCTCATAGAAGCACATCCACGTGTGCAAATACATGTACTAGTGTTCTTCGGTAGAGTTCTTCATGCTCATAGAAGCACATCCATGTGTGCAAATAAAACATGTGCTCCTTACATGACAGATCATATCATGTGAATGTAGATTATGTGTGTACAAGTTTAACTGTTCTCTACTTCTCATCTCCCTACAGTGTTTACTTTCGGATTAGCATCCAGACTGTACAAGAACATCAAAGGGGCGAACCTTTAACACAGTTATTTAATCAAAGAGAATTTAAGTGGATTTTCACATAAAAAGTAAATACTATAATTATATGTTACATATCAAGGTCAGTAGTAGCTGTGAATACATTTTGCCTGTTTCATAAAAGAGTTATTTCTTGTGCTGAGAAGTTAGTCAAAGGTGAATATACTCATATGTAAGTTTGGGCCTTATTATTAATTCCTTGTCAACTAAGAATGAGATTTACAAATGCCTTTTTTAAAGAAAGAGATTATTTCCAGGATCCTCAGTACCAGGATTTATCAAGAAGTGCTCTATTGCACAGCAAGGTGTCTATAGGTAAGAATAATGTATTCTATATTTTTGGTTGGGTGTGGGGCTCACACCTGAAATCCCAGGACTTTGGGAGGCTGAGGTGGGTGCATCGCTTGAGCTCAGGAGTTAGAGGCTAGCCTGGGCAACACAGTGAAACCTCCCCTGCCACTTCCATCTTGATTTAAAAGAAACAAATTTATATCATATGTATATTTTAAAAAAAGCTAAAAGAGGGAATTTTAAATGTTCTCATATCAAGAAATGATAAATATTTGAGGTGATAGATATGCTAATTGAATCCTTCCACAATGTATCATATATTGAAATATCACATTTTAATTCATAAATATGTAATTATTTGTCAATTAAAAATAAAATAGAACTTTAAAAATATTACTGTATTTAGCTTAAATAATTAGAGTGATATAAATTATATGCTATATTCTGTATTAAATCAATCACAAATATGATTATATTAATTATATTGAATGCATATCATGTTATGCATTATACTATATATTATGTGGCATATGATATTAGTCAGCATGCTGAGAAATGGGTACTATCATGTAGTTGTGGACGTTGCTTTCTTACTGTGGGCTGGTTAAGATGATATTCATCTTTTCTAGTGGCAGGACTCTTTCCTCCCCAAGCTACACAGTGGTGAAATCCTAGTGAATTTTCTTTACGTGGCAGTGATTTCAGTGTGAAATGAACTGCCTTTCACATCTTCATGGTTTCGCTGGTTTTACTCGGGGCTCTTTGGCTACTCTGCAATTCCAGTTATCTGATTCCATTGAAATCCTGTGTTTTGCTGTCTCTGCAGCCTCTTCCTCATTCTGCTCTGGGGAATATGTCAGATATTCAGGGCACACAGTACTTGCTTACTAAGAACCCATTCCCACCCTCCAAGTTATAAGATCAGAAACGAGGTAGGTACTATCCTTTGTCATCTTTCACTCTGAAGTAGAATAACTTCTGATATTCCCAAATGCTGCAGAAGCATTACAAGGAAACCGAAAACACACGTTTGAGAGATACTGCAGACGATCTGTTTCAACTTCCACGGGTTAGTTCTAAAACCAATCTGCCTCGGAGCCCAGGAGCCGGCTGCCAGTTCTTCTCTACTCCCTTTTCACAATCGCTCTTCTCCACTTCACAATAAAAAAGGATTTTAACCCTTCCTGAAGATGACTAAGAAACATTGCTCTATGGTCCAAAATCCTCACCAAAGGGATACTTTTTTAAAAAAAGTGTCATTTATGGCAGAGGGAAAGTGCAGAGCTTAGGTAGGAACGACTGAAGGCAGCATCGCCTGATGACCACCAGGGGGCGAGCATGCTGCGGCTCCGGGGCCCCTTCACCCCGCCTCGTGGTTAACCTTTTTCCTTCTCATCTTTGTTAATACCTATTTTAGAGTTAGAAACCAGGCTTGAAAAAAAATGTCACGGGGATGCATTTTCAGATTTGTATAAATGTAGTAAGTGCAGCTTTGAGACACGGATATGCTGCATGAGGTGAAGCCAGGGCGCTGAGTGTGACCATCACCTGCAGTGTACACCATGTCCATCCGGTCATTTTCCATCCTCGCCCTTCCCACTCGGACACCCTTCTGAGGCTCCGGTGTCTGTCATTCCACACTCTGTGCCCATGTGTACACAGCATTTAGCTTCCACTTACAGGCGTTTAACACGCTTAATTAAGAGTACACAGAGGCCTTTTCAGATGAAAAGTTGAGTGTGGTTGCCTGCCTGGTTTGAAAATGAGGACTGGATTTGCTCACATAGTTAAAGGGAAGGAGCTGTAAGGAGTTATAAAGATAAGAGATGAACCTGCCCATCCAATTGAGTCCAAATAAACTGTGGAGCTCTGATCTGATACCACCCCTGACTGTCTTCTCTGCCCTAGGAAATATTGGAGAGGGAGCAGACGTTCAGAGCCATGCCCACTTTGAGGCAAGATGCCTCATTACGAGCAAAGCATTTGTCTTCATCTCGAAAATGTTGGGCTGGGAAATCAGCTTCTGTTTAGATATGCAGGGGGAAAAAGGCATTTTATTTAGCTGGACATCATGGTGCCACTTGTAGCCTCAGCTACTTGGGAGACTAAAGCAGGAGCATGACTTGAGGCTGGGAGTTCAAGACCAGCCTTGGCAACAGAGTGAGATCCCGGCTGTACAAAACATAAAAACAATTAGCCAGGCATCGGAGTGTGCACCTGTGGTGCCTTGAGAGGCTGAGGCAGGAGGACTGCTTGAAACCAGGAGGTCAAGGCTGCAGTGAGCCATGATCCTGCCACTGCACTCCAGCCTGGGTGCTAAAGTAATATCTTGTCTCAAAACAAGCAATCAAACAAACAAACAAACAAACAAACAAACAAAAACAAAAAAACCCCGAAAAACAAAACAAAAAATGAAAAGGCGAGTCATAGACCACAGGCATAACCAGCTTTAAATTTAAATTAAATTCAATTTTTTGAGCCCAGGAGGAGTTCAAGGATGTAGTAAGCTATGATTGTGCCACCGTACTCCAGCCTGGGTTACAGAGCCAAACCCTTTCTCTTAAAAACAAACAAACAAACTGGAACAAAAGGGAGGCATTTCATAAAGGACAGGCTTGGAACTAGTTTCTGATGATATCTACCTTTAAATAATATTATGAGCAGAGCATAAATGGGTAGTATACATTTTTTTTTTTGCTATAAGTTTCTGGTTAACTTCCCCTCTATTTGTTATGAGAGATCAAAAGTAGGGATCTTCCAGGCCAGGCACAGCAGCTCACGACTGTAATAGTGGCACTTTGGGAGGCCAAGGTAGGAGGATCACCTGAGCCCAGGAGTTTGAGACCAGCCCAGGCAACATAGGGAGATCCTGTCTATAAAAAAGAATTTGAAAGTATGTATTTTAAAAAAGTAGGCATCATTCAGAAAAGGGAGTCTCCCATGGCTTTGGCAAGTGGTGAAAACACATTCAACAAGGGCATTGCACATTTCTTGAGCCCAGTAAATTGGGATCCCCTTTGCACCTTATTAATTCTCAGTTTAAATCTCTGTTCAATCACTGCTCCATGTCTAATGTCTTAGGCATTTAGAGCTTGATACTTATTGATCAATATACAATGGAAGAGAGCTGTCTCTAATCTCTAAAAGCATGCAATGAAATAGAGAAATTAGGCAAATGCAGATGCTGGCTCATAAATATATAAGATAAATCGAATCAAATTTGTCATAAATTAGTTGAAAGAAGTGAAGTGAATCTCTTATGGTGAGGTTGAAATTATTATCTCAAATAAATGAATGAGATGGATTGTGAGGGCATCGATGAAGAAAGAGTAAAATGAATTGTAGGATGACAAGGTGTTGGAGGAAGGAGAGAGGGCATAGGGTACTTGGTAACAGGAGAGGTTAGAATGAGTGGTTGGGTAGGACACAACAATCCAGTAAGTCTTTCTAAATATCTTCTTGGGGTCTGCTCAAGTGTCCTAGCAAACTTTCTTGAGAGCAGCTGGTAAAGGGGAGGAGTTACAGGAAGGGATTTGAATAGATGGCAGTGTTCACCCTCTGTAGGTAGGTGGACCATGCTGCCCATTGTGTCCACTGAAAGAAAGACATTTGGGAAGGGTCAAGAAAAACACAATGGCTCTATTTGGGATTCAGAAGATGACACCTTCGAGTCAAAAGAGCTTCTCCAGACATAAGCGTAGCTGATGTGAGAGATGGGACACTCTTTGGAGCTTGCGGACACTCATTCGGAAAGCCGACATGCTGTTATTAACAGATGCATGCAGGCAGCGATTCCGACATGCTGTTATTAACAGATGCATGCAGGCAGAGATTGCGGCACGCTGTTATTAATTGATGGATGCATGCAGGCAGAGATTCCGACAGGCTGTCATTAACGTATGCGTGCAGGCAGAGATTCCAACACGCTGTTATTAATTGATGGATGCATGCAGGCAGATTCCGACACGCTGTTATTAACAAATGCATGCAGGCAGAGATTCCGACACGCTGTTATTAACGAATGCATGCAGGCAGAGATTCCAACACGCTGTTATTAATTGATGGATGCATGCAGGCAGAGATTCCGACATGCTGTTATTAACGAATGCATGCAGGCAGAGATTATTTGGCTTTTCAAGACCGCCCCACCCTAGGATAGTAGGATCCTACTCCATGCCCTTTTCACATCCTTATTTCTCAGGGTGTAGATAAGTGGATTGAGCAGTGGAGTGACAATACAGTAGAAGAAAGACATGAACTTGGCTTGAGCATTACTGGCAGAGGGCTGGGGCGTCCTTCAGATTGCTGGCCCAAAGTACAAGATGACGACCACCATGTGCAGGAGTTCAGGTGGTAAGTGTGTCCCAAAATACGACTTTCATATTTCAATCTTCATATGCTGAAGCGCTAACCCCTAGTGTGACTTCATCTGGAGACAGGATCTTTGGGAGGTAACTAAGGTAATTAATGTCAAATGAGAAAACGAAGGTGGCACCCTAATCCAACAGAACTGTGGCCTTTTGTAAGAGGAAGTGCTCACTCTCGCTCTCGCTCTGTCTCTATCTTCCTCTCTCTCTTTCGTATTCTTTCTCTCTCCCCACCATGTGAGGACACAGAGAAAAGGTAATCTTTCACAAGCCAGGAAGAGAGTTTTCACCAGAAACCAAAACCTGACTGAAACTTCATCCTGAACTTTTTTTCAGCCTCCAGAACTCTGAGAAAATTATTATTATTATTATTTTTTTTTTTAAGAGACAGAGTTTCTGTCTTGTCACCCAGGCTGGAGTGCAATGGCGCGATCTCGGCTCACCGCAACCTCCGCCTCCTGGGTTCAAGCAATTTTCCTGCTTCCGCCTCCTGAGTAGCTGGGATTACAGGCACGCGCCACCATGCCCAGCTAATTTTTTGTATTTTTAGTAGAGACGCGGTTTCACTATGCTGACCAGGATGGTCTCGATCTCTTGACCTCGTGATCCACCCTCCTCGGCCTCCCAAAGTCCTGGGATTATAGGCGTGAGCCACCGCGCCCGGCCCAAATTTCTGTTTTTTTTTTTTTTTTTTAAGCTGTGGTGGCAATTTGTTAGGGCAGCCCAAGAATGCAAATGCATCATCTTCATTATATTGTCTCTCTCTGCCTCATTCATTCTTCTATCCTATCATTTCATTAAAAAACAAATCACTATGTAACATAAAGTCTGGATACACAGGAAATGTTTTCATTTGTTCCAAATTTTGAAGAATTTTTAGTCTCACATATGGGAAGAGAACATATGATCTAGTTTCAGAAAACCAATAGTATGAATTTGGAAACATAGTTTCTTGAAGGCTGAAAAAACGAAAACTATGAGTTAAGGTTTTAGAAAATGTTAAAAAAAAAAAAAAAAAAAAAAGGCCAGGCACGGTGGCTCACGCCTGTAATCCCAGCACTTTGGGCTGCTGAGGTGGGCAGATCATGAGGTCAGGAGTTCGAGACCAGCCCGACCAACATGGTGACTACAAATACATCTCTACTGCAAATACAAAAATGAGCTGGGCTTGGTGGTGCACACCTGTAGTCCCAGCTACTCAGGAGGCTGAGGCAGGAGAATCACTTGAACCTGGGAGACAGAGGTTGCAGTGAGCCCAGATTGTGCCACTACACTCCAGCCTGGGCAACAGATCAAGACTCCATCTCAAAAAAAAAAAAAAGAAAAAAAAAAAAAAAAGGAAAATGCTACAAAAATATAATTTTTCTTTATGTGGAAATAAAAACACACAAGGAAGAAGTAGAATAATCGCTAACTACAATCAATCTTATTTAGAAAAGTCAGTTCTAGGAGAGCATTTCAGCACCACATTGTCAAGCAATTAGGAATAAACACTTTGCATTTAACATGTGTTTAATTCTTTGGATTCGTAGATATTACAGCACAATATCTTGAATTAACTTGTAAATGTTTATGGTCATGGAGAATTTTTATCAGAAAAAGTATTGGCTGGGCGCAGTGGCTTACACCTGTAATCCCAGCACTATGGGAGGCCGAGGCAGGCAGATCGCTGGAGGTCAGGAGTTCGAGATCAGCCTGACCATCATGGTGAAGCCCTGTCTCTACTAAAAATCAAGAAAAAAAAAAAAAAATTAGCCAGGCGTGGTGGTGCGTGAAAGCAGAATCCTGGGATTAAACATTGACTAACATTGGTGATAAACTCCAGGGAGGCCTAGAGGAGATAAGTAAATACATAATCTTGTAATTTTGTGAGCGTTTTATAAGCATTTTGAGAAAGTGTGAGCAGTAGCAGCAAATGTAGGTAATACTAAGCAACATGAAAAATAGCATGATTTGCAGAATGTGGCTTTGGATGTTGATTGAGAGTGGGGACCACGGACATGGTCGGGACATGTGGTTTAGGGTGATGGACACAGTGTTTGTATCCCTGGATCAGTGTCACAGACACAGTGACACCGCATACATGGGGGCGAGAAGTAGCAGCACTTTGTGCTCAGTCTTCTTGCACAGAAATGCAGGAAATAATGTTCACCTCCTAAGGTTTGGAAATGATTGAATGCTTTAATGTATGGGAATAGAAGGCCTGATGAAACTTTTTAGAATGATGATTTCTTCATTCTAAAAATGATTTTATAATAAGAATATAATAATAAAATATAATAAAAATATAATAATAATAATAATAAAAGTAATAATAAAAAAAACAAGCAAAACCTTAACAGTATGCAAGAATCAGTGTGGGGAGAGCAGAAATTACGTTGCCATGTTCCAAGTACTACCTCCTACATTTTAACAGTTGCTGAGCCCTGGGCAATTCAGTTAGCTTCCAGCTGAATCTCTATTTTTTCACTTCTAGAGCAATAATTATCACAGTTTACATATTATTTCCACTTTAACTTGGTGCTAAATAAATGGGAAATATATGTAGCAAATGTAAAGGAAACTGAAGCGCAGAGACTTTAGAAAACCTGCAGGAGAAAGCAGAGCTGAACCATGACACAGCTGGAGATCACCCTCAGGCCAGAAGCCAGGGGCTTTCACTTCACCACCTCCTAAAGAGATGCAAATCTATGGTGATGCAAAGCTGGCTCATGCACATTACCCTAACAACAAAGAAGCTGATTCTGAGTAAAAAAGATAACACTTAAATAGATTTTGCTTTAAAATTCAATGGCTCCATTATAGGATAGGGGAAAGCTGGTTGGGAAATTGCAAGTGTAATAAAATTCTGACAATCTCTTTCCTTTCTTTTTCTACATTCAGTTTAGAAGGTTCTATGAAAGTTTTCTTTGATCACACATTTTAAACGAATAGAGCAATGCAGAAATTATAAGAAAACCTAATGAATTGTTTTCAATAATAAAAATACAATTCACGTAAAAATCTAATAAAGCTATGCATTCTATACTGTTAAACCATGGTTCTTTTGTTTGTTTGTTTGCTTGTTTTTTGATTGTTTATGTAACATTTTTTTCCTTTTCATTCTTTTTAGTTTTCAACTTCTGTTTTAGATTCAGGGGAGGTCACCTTTTCAAACTGAATGTTAAGTGGACACACTGGCGTGCTTGGGAGGGAGAGTCTGGAGACTTGCTATACAACACTCTCTTGGAAGGATTTGGTATTATTGGCAGTGCTACTGTTACACAGAAATAACATCATTTTCTAAATGAGTTCACATTTGGAAGGGAGGAACAGATACCTGAAATTTTTTTTTTCAGTAGGAAACTACTGAAAAAACTATTGAGAGGCAGGCATAGTGGCTCACACTTGTAATCCCAGCACTTTGGGAGTTGGATATGGGCAGCTCCCTTAAGGTCAGGAGTTTGAGACCAGCCTGGGCAACATGGTGAAACCCCGTCTCTACTAAAAATGCAAAAATTAGTCAGGTGTGGTGGTGCGTGCCTGTAGTCCCAGCCACTCCGGTGACTGAGGCAAGAGAATCACTTGAACTTGGGAGGCAGAGGCTACAATGATCTGAGATCATGCCAGTGTGCTCCAGCTTGGGAGACAGAGTGAGACCCTGTCTCAAAAACAAAACAAAACAACCCCCCCAACACACACAAATTTTTGAGAGGTCAATTTTGGATAAATAGGAGTTATTTACCACTGAAAGTAATTTGGATTTGGCTGGGCCACCAACTTTCGGGAATAGTGCAAAAAGAAGACTACTTCATGAAATTCAAGGGCGATTTAAATGGATACCTTTCACCATCTCCTTGTTCCCGTAGTGTTAGAATTCTTTTTTTTTTTTCACAGAATCTCACTCTGTTGCTAGGCTGGAGTGCAATGGTGTGATCTCAGTTCACTGCAACCTCTGCCTCCTGGGTTCAAACAATTCTCCTGCCTCAGCCTCCCAAGTAGCTGGGACTACAGGGGCACCTGCCACCATGCCCAGCTAATTTTTGTATTTTTAGAGAGATGGGATTTCACCATGTTGGCCGGGATGGTCTGGATCCTTGATCTTGTGATCCACCCGCCTTGGCATCCCAAAGTGCTGAGATTACAGGCGTGAGCCACCATTCCTAGCCTAGAATTTTTATCTATTATTGAGATCCTGTTTCCACAGACACCTAATCTAATCCATTCTTTATGCTTACCTGCTTGAATAATCTGCAGAAATTGCAATCCTTATTTTATCATTCAATTATTTTAAAGCCCACACGGACCTTCCAAAGAGCAACATGTGACAGCCGCCGTCATCTCTGACTCATGCCTCCTCTCTCACCAACCTCATTCTCTCCACCACTTGTTCCAACCACATTTAAAAAGCACATACTAGTTTCAGATAGACAGGAGGAAGAGGCTTTGAGATCTGTCGCACAGAATGACTATAGTAAATACGGTGTATTATGTATTTTAAAATGGCTGAGGGAATATTTCAAATGTCTCACCATAATAAATGATAGGTAGGTGAGGTGATGGATATCTCATTAGCCTGACTTAATCTAACTCAGGGGCACAGAATCCTTCTCCCTGCATGCCTCCTCCTCCCCCACCCACCGCCACTCAGTGAACAGTCAGCATATTCTCTAGAGCATCAAATTTAACAATTCCATTTCCAAATGTAACCACTCCTAGGAAATTAAAAAAAAAAAAAGCTTAAAGGGTGTTACTTTAGTCGTCTATTTTTAACCTATGTAGTGCACTTTTTAACATCTAGAAAGACTAGATGTTTCAAATAGGACTTGAGTTTTCCACTACATACACAGTAGCATTGAAAAAATGGTGCATATATATATCACAGACCAGAATTTGAAACTATCTTCTAAATAGGAACATTCTAGCCTAGGACTCTGCCCCTTTTGACCTCTATCAACTCTGTGGGCAGGTACAAGCAACCGTAATGTTTAGAGGGGAATTTAGCAAGTTCGCTTCTGTGCTTTTAAGAACAGACTTTCCTATTAATTTTTAACACCACATGTAGTCCATGTATTAGTTTATAGCTCTACTTTTTTCATACACTGGCAAGTTCTTTGACATCTAGAAAAACTAGCTGTTGTAAATTAGGACTCGTCTGTCTTTTATATACACTGCATACACAGATAGTAAAACAAAATGCACAATCCTAAGAAACAATGGCGAGTGTTACCTCACTGCAAGTGCACTGGCTTCGAGCTCTCTGCACTTCCTGCTCCTCCCGGAGCTGGTCCACAATCACCATGCCGCCCCACCACAAAATAACGTTTCCTGTGAATTTTAACGAAAAGTTATTTACAAAAAGTGTCATTTTACTACCTCTAATTTTAACATACATCAGGCACTTCAGAACATCTAGAAGGAATAGGCATTTCGAAAAAGCTTAGCGTTGTTAACTATCTATACAGAAGTGAGCAGTAAAATGCACACAAAACAATGGATAGAATATGAAAATGTCTTGTAACCATGAGCCGTCAGGACTAGCAGGTCTCCCGCAACTCGACAGCGTCGCCCAGGACGTGCACCTGCCGGCTTCGTGGCCTAAACGTGTGGCCGAGCCACGCCCCTGGAGCTTCCCTCGTCCTCCACAGCCTCACGGCCTCAGAGTGCATTCTGGTGGCGCCACGTTTCCTCCAAGCTCACCCCAGGCGCAGGGCCGAGGACTGGGAGGACACGGGGGGCTCCGGTCTCCCCACATACTCCCAGCATTATCAGAGTTTATTATCCATGGAGGGTCCTGGAATCCACCCCCTTAGCATACTGAGGAACAGATGTATAACAACGAATGAAGTTTACAAAACAAGATGACAGTCAACATGTGTATATACAGCAAAACCCAACAAAGACAAATTAAACTGTGATAATTAACAAACAATACATGTATTTTCTTGGTCTGGAAGTGGTGTGAGCACACTGCTTTCAGATTTCCATCTACCTTGAACGCAAACAATGTTAGAAGAAAACGACATCCCAAGTACCCTGTCCTCCAAGGCCAGTTTGCTCGATGTGAACTTGATGTTCCTCCTCAGAAGGGGCCGGAGTCTCTCAATCAGTGCCCGTAGGCCTGCAGAGCCGCAGCAGTTCTCTAACACGGTGTGCCGGAGGGCGTTCCTCAGGGTGTAAATAAGTGGGTTCAGCGCAGGAGTAGCTACGGTGTAGAAGAGAGCTATGAACTTGCCCTGCTCATGGGAAGTACTCCTGGCTGGCTGGAGATACATGAACACGATGCCCCCGTAAAACAGGAACACCACGGCCACGTGGGAAGAACAGGTGTTGAATGCCTTTCCCCGCCCTTCTGCGGACTTGATCTTCCACACGGCCCGGGCAATGTGGCCGTAAGAGACGAGGATGACCCCAGAGGCAGGACAACGAAGACAAAGCTGGCCAGGTGCGTCTCCACCTCATTGAAGCTGGTGTCCACGCGAGCCAGTTGCATGATGAGGGTCATCTCACAAAACAAGTGGTCGATGCGATTGTTCCCACACAGCGGTAGGAGCATGGTGAGCGTGGAGCCCACCACGCTGGTGGTCAGACCCCCCCAGCCATGAGGCCAAAGCCAGTCCAAGGCAAAGCTGTGGGTGCATAATGACAGTGTAATGGAGTGGCCTGCAGATGGCAGCATAGCGGTCATAAGACTTGGTGGCTAGCAGGACACACTCAGTTGCCCCCAGCCAGTGGGAGATATAGAACTGGGCCACACACCCTCCATAGCTTATGGCTTTCCGTGGTCCCCACTGGTGGGCCAGGAGCTGTGGGACAATGCTCGTGGTGAAGCTAATGTCCAGGAAGGAGAGGTTGGCTAGAAAGAAGTACATAGGTGTGTGGAGGTGCATGTCCACACAGGAGAGCAGAATGATGATGCCATTGCCTGAGATCGATACCACGTAAAAACCCAGGACAGCTATAAAGAGGACAGTTTCTAGCGAGGGTCGTGCAGAGAAGCCCAGGAGGACAAAGACTTTTGGAGAACTCACACTGGCTATTTCCATCATCGTATGCTGGTGGTGGGGATCACATGGAGTGATCTCATCAGTTAGCGAACATTACAAGTAAATTTTATTTCATTTTATCTTATTCTCTTTTAGAGACACAGTCTCACTGTGTTGCCCAGGCTAACCTCAAACTCTTGGGATCAAGCAATCCTCCCACCTCAACGTCCTCAGCAGGTGAGACTACAGACATGCCACCAGGCCTGGCTAAAAGTAAATTTTATACCCATTGTTTTCAAAAGCACCCACTCAACGCCTCTGTGGATGGCATTGTATTACCTTCCTCAAGGCCACTTTGAAATGTATAATAAAAGACTGGGGGGTGTTTATTATCTGGGGAAAAAGGACATTCATGCAAAATCCTTAGCACTTTTTAAAAAAATTGAAATATTACTGATAGTAGCAACACCCAGAGTCAACCTAAATGTTTAGCAATGAAGGGTTAACCAGGTAGAAGGTGGTCTTCATGTGATGGACCACTGAACAGGCATTGAAATTGTGCCCTCTCAAACCCCACAATCCTGCAAATTTTTGCTGCCATTAAATATATGCAGTTTTTTATCCCTTCTTACCACCTCTGCTACTGCCACTCTGGCCCATCTTGCCATCACTTATCATCTGAATTTTGATCTAATATTCTGGCTTATCTCCCTGCTTCTCCTTTGCTCCCCTTCCAAGTACTCTCAAAAAAGTGTTGGGGCTCAGAAAATGATACCCAAAATGAAGGCCTCAGGAGCAAAAGTTTCTCTTTCTCCTGCTTTGTCTTCCCTGGCCCCTCATTCTACCCTGAGGCTAGCCACAGAAATTAGAATCCCTCGTCCCCACGTCCCCACGGTGACTCATAGAAACCATAGGCCCTTTTCCTCAAAGGCAAACATAAAACCTAAAGTTGTGACTCTACCTCTACCTTTCTATGCTAAAACTAGCAGTCAATAAATTATCTGACATATCTTATTGGATTGTAGGTCGTAAGACCTCCATTCCAGAGAGGTCTTACTCCATACCCAAGAAAGAAGTGCCTTATACCCCAGAACGAAGGCACACTGCGCAGAGAGGCCAAAAAGAATCTCACAAAAGGGCCTTGCTGGGCTTCTCCGCTCGGTCCATCAGCATTAGATCACGCCCTTCACGTTTAATCGCATTTCTACACAGCTGTCCATATGTCTTTGAACCCAAGGATAAAAATGGAAAGTTTCTCCTGTATCTTTGGGTTCTCATCTGAAGGCTCCTCTGTCATGTAAAACTATGATCAAATAAGCTTGTAAGTCTTTTCTCCTACGAATCTGCCTTTTGACAGCTGATTTCCATGAAATTTCAGAGGACAAAGGGGAAATTTTCCCTCATGCCTACAAAAGCAATCAGAGGATTACATTAAGACATAATATGATCATGTCAGTCGGTTGCTCGACACCCTCATTTTCTGGGTACAAGGCTTGCAGTTTGCCACACTCGAAGTGCTTTCTCCCCAAGATATCCACACACCCCTGTTCTCACCTTCTTCAGGTCACTTTTAAAAGTCACCTTCCAACGGAGGCCCTCTGTCACTGAATTACACAATATTGAAAACCCTCACAGCTCCCTGCTGTCTCTTTCCTGAATTTTCTTTATGTACGGTAATAACTTATAACAAATAAACCACTCTTATTTCTTTTGTTTGCTGCCTGTTTTGTTCTATTAGACCGTAAATTCCTTGGAGCCACAGTTTTCTCTTTTGTTTACCTCTGAGTCCCCAGTGTCTGACCTGCAGTGGTCCCTTAACCAATATTCATGGATGTGCATTGTGAAGCAGGTTGCTAGAATGGCTCTGTGGGGTGGGAGAGGCAGGACTAGAGTAACATAAAGGCATAGTGGAAGGACTCAGTGTAAACCTTCAGCAGTGTTGTCGGAAAAAAGCTCTTGAAACTGCCAGAGGCATGCAGAGGGGTCCAGACTCTCTTCTGTTTTCATACAGGTGGAATAAAACAAACTATCATTTAGCAGGGGGAATGCATAAAGTCAGAAACTGGACAATTTCAGGGTGCTTCAGATATCCCTGAAGACCTCTGGGGTCCTTCTTTGCAAAAACATTAATTTATTCTAGCCTGTATTTTAAAAAGAAGAATCAATCCTGAAGTTAAAATTCCCCATTGTAGTTGGGGGACAGAGAAGCTGTGAACTTAACTATCAGCCCCCTTAAAATCTCAGAGTAGAATTTACCTATCCTTGTAACTGGAAGTCAATCAAACAACATAGACATGAACAGACACGCACATTCACAGTTTTAAAAATACACGTAGGTTTTCCATTGTGCATATATAGAAACGGAGCTCAGAAAATTCAAGGATTGCTAATATTTACATGTGGAAGCTGTCCCAGTGTGGACTTACTGTGTCGGAACACTGAGACAGTTCTGACCTGTATATAGCAGGCCAGGGGAGCATCAGTACTGTGGGAGACGTCATCCGGGAGAATACATTCCAACCTCCTCCAAATCAGGGAGGCAGGCAGGGGGTGGTGGCTCACACCTGCATTCCTAGCACTTTGGGGGGCCGAGGTGGGGAATCACTGGAGCTCAGGAGTTTGAGACCAGCTTGGGCAACACAGTGAGAGATTGTCTGAACAAAAAATAAAATGACCGAGTGTGGCTGTGTGCCTGTAGTCTCAGCTACTTGGGAGGCTGAGGTCGGAGGATGGATTGAGCCAGGAGATTGAGGCTGTAATAGGCATGATTGTGTCATGGCACTCCAACCTGGGCAACAGAGCAAGACCCTGTCACAAAACAACAAAGAAACAAATCAGGGAGGTTGTTGAGACCTGTCAGAACGTGGATGTTTTCATCATGTGAATGTTGGAGAGATGGATTGGGATTGGGATAGTTAGGTACAACTGAGTCAAAGTGGGTGTGCTATATGCAGAGTCACTGCAGAGGAGCTGAAAAACAACAGGTTAAACTGACAGCTGCATCATGACCCGTGGGTGTAAGTATTATATCCCCTCTGTGGAGAGATAAAACTTTTAGCTCACAGTTGATAGCATGTGGAAAATGTGTAAATGATGCCAAGAGAGGAACCACAAGGTCACTCATGAGGTAATAGTTTAGTAAAATTTTTGAGGAAAAAGAGATCTTTGTGATGATCTATTTCTAGATATGTTTAGTAACTTATCTAAAGCCCCAGAGCTGCTTAGTCATACTGGAGCTATACCCACGATATTCAGATTCTTAGTACAAAAATAGCATTTTCAGTAAAGGAAGAGTTTTGCTTACCCACAGAGATTCACCAACATTGTCAAAATTAAAAACTCACTTTTCAAAATGCAACCGTATTCCAAGCACTGTGCCATTAAGACAGAGATAGTATTCTGAAAGTTAAGGAAACATCTTGACTTCAAATTCTGCCCGAGTTAACTATGTAGCCACAAGCTGTGTCCCAGAGCATAGGCGAGCTGCTAAAATATCAAAGGCCACATGAGAAAATCAGATCATTTCAATGGACCAGTGATCATCAATCTCAATGGAAATCACCAGAAATCTGAGCTCCCAGTTTACCTTCAACACTTAAATCCCACAAACAACAGCAACAAACAAACAAACGGCAAACTCCAAAACGTCACTCACTAGTGAGGAGCCAGCAATGTCTCCATTTGTGCAGGCTGGAAACCTTGCAAAATGGGCAATATTTTATTCCAAGGACTGATAACATTCATGAATTCAGTGCATGTGGCATTAAAAAATAGGAGATTAGCCAAGGGATTTTAAAGCACCTCAAACAGTGGAAATCTCTAAGTCCGTCGTAGCAGACGGAACTTAGCAGAACACGCTAGATTCTGTTCAAATTCATGTCTGTAGGGCACATTCTTAAGTATTTAAATCACAATGGGATTGAACTAGAAGAAAGCACTGAAAATGTTTTGTAAGAAAACTGATAATCAAAGGAGTGAGAATGGCTCACAGTGTTTCCAGAATGAAATTATACGCTGATTCCAAAGGGCGAAGTCTTACATAAAGTCCTTAGAATTATAAGACATTGATTGTAACCCCTGGAGCCTTAAGGAGGGAGCCTGAGGGTGATGGTATATATCAGGGGAGGGAGTCAAAGCAGAGGGAAAAAGCTTTTGGGATTTCTTTCCCTATTGGGTAATTATAATTTTATCGTAATACACACAGAGAATGGTTTCTTTTTTTGACTAGAATGTTATTTTAGGCTTGTATACTGCCAAACTGCTTAGAGAGTGTAAGGATTAAGTCTCTCTATCATGCAGTGGGGGAGGTAGTCAGATACTTGTTCATTCTATTAATTTTGGCATATGCTGCTATAGACTCTTTTTTAAAAAAAAATACATTGATTTTATTACTGGTGTATACATCAGAGATAACGTTTTTCCTAATAGGTTAAATTTATTTTTATTTTGTTAAAATACAGATAACACATAAATTTACCATTGTAACTATTTTAAAGTGTGGAAGTCAGTGGAATTAAGTTCTTTCACAAGACTGTACCATCACCTCTATTAAGCTTCAGAAGGTTTTCATCACCTCGAATGGAAAACCTGGACCCATCAGACAGTCAGTCATTCATTTGCCAGCTCTCCGCAGCCCTGGAAACCACTGATCTGCTTTCTGTTGGTATGGATTTTCCTACTTTGGATATTACATATACATGTTGTGTCTGGTTTCTTTCATTTAGCATGATATTTTCAAGATCTATGTTGTAGCACGTGTCAGTACTTCATTCCCTTTTATAGAGGAATAATATTTCATTCTATGGCTCTACCACCTTTTGTTTATTCATCTGTTGACATACACATTTGGGTTTGTTTGTTGATGAATACTTGTTTCTACCTTTTGGTTATTGTGAATAGAGCTGCTATGAACATTCATATACAAGTTTTTGTTTGAACTCTGTTTTTAATTATATTGGGTATACCTGGGAGCGGAATTGCTGGATCTTATAGAAATTCTACAAACAACTTCTTATGGAACCAGCAAGCTTTTCTGCAACAATTAAACCATTTTTACATTCCTACAAGCAATTTGTGTTCCAGTTTCTCCACGGCATCACCAGCACTTGTTATTTTCCACTTTTTTTTTTTTTTTTTTTTTTTTTTTTTTGAGACGGAGTTTCGCTCTTGTTACCCAGGCTGGAGTGCAATGGCGCAATCTCGGCTCACCGCAACCTCCGCCTCCTGGGTTCAGGCAATTCTCCTGCCTCAGCCTCTATTTTCCACTTTTTAAAATCTGTGTTTCCCTTTTATGGCCATGATAGTGGATGCAAAGTGGCATCTCATTGTGGTTTTGATTGGTGTGTCCCTAGTAGCTAATAGTGTTGTGCATTTTAATTCCTTGTTGTCCACTTACTTGTCTGCTTTGGAAAAATATCCATTCAAGTCTTTTGCCCATTTTTTTGATTGGATTGTCTTTTTGTAAGTGTTCTTTATACACTCTGAAAACTACACCTTTATGAGATATAGGATTTGCAAATATTTTCTCTCATTCTGTGTATTGTCTTTTAAGTTTTTTGACAATTTCTTTTTGATGAACAAAAGTTTCTAATTTTGAGGAAGTCTAATTTATCTATTTTGTTGTTGGTATTTTTTGGTTTTATGTCATATTTAACAAACCAGTGACACTTCCAAGGTCATGAAAATGTACTTTTAAGAGCATTATCATTTTTTGCTCTTTCTTTTAAGCTTTTGATATATTTTGAGTTACTTTTTGCATATGCTGCAAGGTAGGGTCCAACTTCATTCTTTAGCAGGTGTCTATCCAGTTGAGTTGAACTGGATATACAGTTGAAAGGATTATAGTTTCTCTATTGACACCCTTGTCAAAAGTCAATTGACATAAGCCCATAGATATATGGGCTTATTTCTGTCTATTCTTATGTCAGTATCAAACTTTTAATTATTGTAGCTTTGTACTAAGTTTTGAAATCAGGAAGTATGTGTCCTCCAACTTCCTCTTTTTCTGTTTCAAGATTGTTTTGGCTAGTCCAGGTAACTTATATTTCATTATGAATCTGGTAATTTTTTTTTAATTTTTGTAAAAAATAGCCATTGGGTTCTTTTGTGCATTAGTTTATTGACTCAGTTTTTGTGTTACGTGTGGCTCCTTTAGGATTTTTTATATTTAAGATCATGTTACAGACTAATAAAAATAGTGTTATTTGTCTCTTTCCAGTTAGGAAGCCTTTTATTGACTTAGGTTGCCTAATTGCTTTGTCTGGAGCTTCCAGTACGATGTTGAATAGAAGTGGTGAAAGGAAGCATCCTTGTCCTGTTCCTGATGCTGTGAGGGTAGGCAGTTAGCCTTTCATAATTGAATGTAACATTAGCTGTGGATTTTTTTTTTTTTGAGATGGAGTTTTGCTCTTGTTACCCAGTCTGGAGTGCAATGGCGCGATCTCGGCTCACCGCAACCTCCGCCTCCTGGGTTCAGGCAATGCTCCTGCCTCAGCCTCCTGAGTAGCTCGGATTACAGGCACACGCCACCGTGCCCAGCTAATTTTTGTATTTTTAGTAGAGACGGGGTTTCACCATGTTGACCAGGATGGTGTCGATCTCTTGACCTCGTGATCCACCTGCCTCGGCCTCCCAAAGTGCTGGGATTACAGGCGTGAGCCACTGTGCCCGGCTAGCTGTGGATTTTTAATCTGTGGCCTTTATCATGTTGAGGAAGTTCCCTTCTTGTATTACATAATTTTATTTTCATATATTGAAAATACCTTTTTATTCATGGAATTCCACTACCCTTTTATTCATGGAATAAATCTCACTTGATCCTGGTATATAAACCTTTATGATTTATATTGAATTTGGTTTCTTGCTAGGTTCTTTTTTTTTGCTAGCATTTTGCAGAGGATTTTTGTAATTATCTTTATAAAGTATATTGTCTGTAGTTATTCTTTGATGTCTTTGCCTGTTATACATTTTTATGTAAAGTATGGGAAAATACTAGTTCACTCTATCTATGTATCTATCTATCTATCTATCTATCTATCTATCTATCTATCTATGTATCTATCTATGTATCTATGCATGTATGTATGTATGTATCTATCTATCTATCTATCTATCTATCTATCTATCTATCTATCTATCTATCTAATTTTCCTTCACTCACACAGGCCCACCATCATGTGGCACGCTGTGGGGCTGGGCTTTCTAGGTGCATTGTTCTGTTTAACCCTTATGAGTGATATCTATTTATTTTACGTGGTAGCATACATGGGTGGGATGCGGTGGTTTGTTACACAGGTAAATGTGTTCCATGGTGGTTTGCTGCACCTGTCAACCCATCACCCAGGTATTAAGCCCAGCATCCACCAGCTGTTTTTCCTGATGCTCTCCTACCAGCTGCCTTCCCCCAACAGGCCCCAGTGTGTTGTTCCTCTCATGTTTTCTCATTGTGATATTTTTTATTTTTCTAGAAACGGACTCTAGTTGCACCATAGCAAATTTACGCTTACCTTTGTGTAGTAAAAAGATCCTGGACTGGCACAATTCCTAAGAATTTGGCCCCTGCAATCAGTCAGGTCGGGGTTTGTGCATTGCACTAACTTGTTCTAGTAGTCAGAGCACTAGTGAAACCTGTTAAAATTACTTGGCTTCAGTTTTTGCATTTGTACATTAAAAGGTTTGCAAAATGTGATCCTAATTCTTAAGCTCTGTGAGGGTAAAGTTTGTGTCTGTCTAAATAACTATTATGTTCCCTGTCGTCCTAATATATGACTTGATACCTGGCATGCTGACAGCATCTAATAAATATTATTATTATTCATTATTATTACAAGTCAATGAATGAAGAATTCTGCATCTAGTCTGTTAATTGGTATGTATAGTCATGGAAAGTCAGTATTAAATTATGTGACTGACAGCCTTCCGGCTACAAACAAATATGTCATTTTGCAACAACAATAATTTTATGTAATCTTTGAGTCTTTCCTGAATGATTCAAGTTGCTCCTAATGTAACTGCACAAATAACTGTTATTAACTCCACGTCACAGATGAGGTCACTTTGAATGGGTAAGGGACTTGCTCAAGTTCACACGGCTATTGAGTTGTGAAGCAAGAATCACGCACAAGTACCAGTTCTATTTACATTGCTTTAAAGGAATATTTGAGGCTGGGTAATTTATCAAGAAAAGAGGTTTATTTGGATTATTGTTCTGCAGCCTATATAGGAAGTGTGGTGCCAGCATCTGCCTCTGGTGAGGCCCCAGGAAGCTTACAATTATGGCAGAAGGCAAAGGGGGAGCCTTTGTGTGTTACATGGTGAGAGACAGTGAGCAAGAGACAGGTGCCAGTCTCTTTAAACCAGCTACCTTGCTTGTGAACTAATAGAAAAGGAATACAATCATTACCGCAAGGAGGGCACCAGGCCATTCACAGGGCTCTGCCCCCTGACCCAGACACCTCTCACTTGGCCCTACTTCCAACACTGGGAGTCACATTTCAACATGAGATTTGAACAGGACAAATATCCAAATTATATTAACTCCTAAGTAATATTCTTTCCTTAGTGATGTTGTCTAGTATCTAGTCTAATGGGTCCAAATACGAAACATATTCTGAAGATGCTCTGAATTCTATTCCTGGCCAGCACCTCTATGCTACACTTTAGATTCATATGTGTAGCTACCTATACTACGGCTTCATTTGGATGGTGTTATGAACCAAATTGCGCCCCATCCCTATTCATATGTTGAAACCATAACCCCAATGTGACTATATTTGGAAATAGGGCCCTTAAGGAGATAATTATGAGTAAATGAGTTTATAAAAGTGGCAGCCTAATGCCATAAGATTGAAATCCTTATAAAAAGAGGAAGAAATACTAGCTGTCTTCCCTCTCAACCTATCCGACTCTCTCTCTCTCCACAAGTGCACAGACGAAAGGCCAGATGAGGACACAGCATGCAGGCAGATGGCTGCAGTTGGAAGAGAAGCCTCATCAGAAACCAACCCTGAGGGAACCTTGATCCTCAACTTCCAGCCTCCAGAACTGTGAGAACACATTTCTGCTGTTTGCTGCTACCCAGTTTGTGGTATTTGTTATGATATCCCGACCTGCCTAATACGGACAGACAGCTGATGCAAAGGTCCAATGCATCACTTTAGGAAATGAATCCTGCTCCACACCCGACCTTCTCCAGCTGCAGCCTCCTCTTCTCAGGTGATGACAACTCTTTTATTCCAGTTGCTTAGTCTAGAAGCTCGGAGTCCAGGTGGCTCCCAACCAGGCCTGTTCTGCCAGTGGCACAGTATGCCAATCACTGAAACTGTGAGCTTTGCAGCAGAGAATGAGTTCATTTATGAGGCAGTCAACTGAGAAAGCAGGAGAACAGGTCTCAAATCAGTCTCCCTGAAAGTGGGATTTTAGGGATATTTATGAGATTGAGGAGTAAGGTGGTCCAAGGTGTGGGAAAATGTGATTGGGGCAGGAAAAAAATGAGGTAATCGGTAAGCTGCTCAAATATAGTCCAACTTCATAGCTCCTCATAGCACACACATTCACAAAATGGTGTTGTTAACACGATCTGAGGGTGGAGTTTGGGCACTGTGACATGAAAAGGTCACCCCTTGGGCATTCATGCAGGCCCATTGGGAGAGATAGTGGTTTCAGCTAGCTTGAACTGGACAAGAGTTGACCCCCAGTTCCTGAGAAAGAACTTAAGCAATGGTTGCTGCAGTGACCTGTATGTGAGAGATGGTATCTGTAAGGAAACTGGTGGAAGTTTTATTATGTATCGCTTAGCTGCGTGACTTTTAGCTTTGTAAATCTTAAAATAAACTAGAAGCAAGCCACCGACTAAAAGCAAGCGACTAAAGCCAGGGAGCCAAGTCAAGTTTGGGCCTAATCAGGGGAGCCCTTGTTCTCAAACACTGACCTCTCTAATTTCCACATTCTCTGTTCCTCACGTAGAATCTGTCTGCAAATCTTTTTGACTCTACTTTTAAAGATATCCAGATTACAATCATTTTTACAACGAGTCACCCTGTCTCAGCTAGATCGTTTGTATTAGAATCACAACCATTTTGCTTCAAAACACTTCCCTGACTCTGTTTCGATAGTCCATGAGGTACACACCGTCTGCATACCCATCACCCTCCACACCCATCACCTCTCTGATCCCACTTCCCACCACCTCTCCCACTCCTCCCTTCACTTCAGCCTCATGGGCCTCCTTGACCCTCAGACACGCCAGGCTCCTGCCGGCTATGCTGCTTTTATCTCTGCCAGTTCCTCTGCCTAGCATAGTTTCTATGTCTCTCTTTTTTCTGACATGGAGTCTCACTGCAACCTCTGCCTCCCGGGATTACAGGCACCTGCCACCACGCCTGGCTGATTTTTTGTATTTTAATGGAGACAGGGTTTCATTATGTTGGTCTCGAACTTTTGACCTCATGATCCGCCTGCCTTAGCCTCCTAAAGTGCTGGGGTTACAGGCATGGGCCACTGTGACTGCCAGTTTCCATCTCTTCAGAAGAACTTGGCTGAGGCCTTCCATCCGTCCTTAAGCTTTACCTCAGAGGCATTTTCCCTGATGCTGTTACTTGGAATTGTCTAACTCACCCTTTTCCTGCTTCTGCTCTATTTCTCTGCGAGCACTTTCCCCACTGATTCAGGCATTCTATATAAGTGTCTTGTTCTGTCAGAACAGAAGCTCCTGAAGGCAGTGATGCCGACCTTGGTGCTTGTGCAGCCCCAGTTTCCGAGCATGGGCATGAAGACGCGGCTTAATAAACGAATGCTGATGAGTGAGCAAATGTGCTGAACTCAAGGTGGGGGCAGCAACCATGGCGGGGGGGGCGGTGTAGGGGGGAGATGCATGCAGTCAGTGGAGGAAGGAATCTTCACTTTGTGCAAACAAGCAGTCTTTCTGCACCTCGCGAGGCTGGTTAGAAAAGACAAGATGGGCCGGGCGCGGTGGCTTACACCTATAATCCCAGCACTTTGGGAGGCTGAGGCGGGTGGATCACAAGGTCAAGAGATCGAGACCATCCTGGTCAACAAGGTGAAAGCCCGTCTCTACTACAAATACAAAAATTAGCTGGGCATGGTGGTGCGCACCTGTAGTCCCAGCTACTCGGGAGGCTGAGGCAGGAGAATGGCTTGAACCCAGAAGGCAGAGGTTGCAGTGAGCCGAGATCGTGCCATTGCACTCCAGTCTGGGTAACAACAGCAAAACTCTGTCTCAAAAAAAAAAAAAAAAAAAGAAAAGAAAAGACAAGACAAGACTGTACTCTGGGTTTTGAAGTCTCTCTTCTCTTTTCAATTCATGTGGAATACGATCACTCCACTACCAAGTATTCGTCATTCACACATGTACTAAACTGCAACTACCTGCACAGAAAAAACTCAAGAGTGCATATGCTCATTTTTATACATTCTTCATTTCTGTTTAGAAGACACTGAATTCCTGAGTAAAACTGTAAGATAAACCGATTGCTGAAAATAATTTATTTTTTCAAAAATAAAACAAATATTCTTTTAAGTGATAATTACACTACTCAATACTTTCATTTTTTTCACTCAGGCATTTCTTTACCTATTTGGTTATAGTTTTGTCTAAATATGTATTGTTTTAAGTTAAAATACTGTGACTATTTTCTTGCAAAAGTCTTTTTCAACTTGGGAAAAAGTCTTTTTCCTTGACTTCTAGGAAAAAGTCAAGTTTTCCTAGAAGCTATTAAAACCAAAAGGAAATGCCTCTTGCTACAGCAATGCATTGCTTATAATTAATTTCTTTTGGCAATTTCTCAGCAATTGAGCTTCTCAGAAACCAAGTTTCTATGGTATATCCTTGAGCAAAGCAGTGGGTTTGGCCGCCCAGGTCATATAGATCACAGTTGGTGGGGCAGAATATTGAGGACTAATTCAGCTACTCATTATATGTCGGTATTTTCAGCACGATTTCATCATGGTCCATATGGAGTACTCAGTCTAATCTCAGATGGCTGAAACTGGGGTGCAGATGAAACCAAGGTGGAGCCCAAATAAAAAATCGGGTCTCCTGGACACAGCAAATGAATGGTGTTTTCAAATCAAACTCTAAATCAAAAAAGACACAGACACTCCAAATTTGAGATGTTGGCCTGAAACTCAGCTGCTTCTTGAAATAGAAAACCCTTAGGTGAGTAGTAATAGGGATTTTTATTTTTAAGAGTGGTGGAGGACTCTTAGAAAAGATGGATAGAAAAACTTGGCTGCGCACAGTAGCTCATATCTGTAATCCCAGCACTTTGGGAGGCCAAGGTGGGAGGATGACTTGAAGTCAGGAGTTTGAGACTAGCCTGCCTGACGTTGTGAAACCCCATCTCTACAAAACATACAAAAATTAGCCAGGCATGGTGGTGTGTGACTGTAGTCCCAACGACTTGGGAGGCTGAGGTGGGAGAGCTGCTTGAACCCAGTAGGCAGAGGTTGCAGTGAGTGGAGATTGTGCCACTGCAGCCCAGCCTGGGCAACAGAGTGAGATCTTGTCTCAAAAAAAAAAAAAAAGAAAAGATGGATTGACAAACTAATAACAAATAAATATACTTGTGTTTTCATACTGCAACTTATTTTAGAAAAAAATGCATGCCACGCTGGGCATAGTGGTGTATACCTGTATGCACTGGGGAGGCTGAGGCAGGGGGATCATTTGAGCCCAGGAGTTATAAGCTCTAGCACGCTCTCATCATGTGTGTGAATAGCCAGTGCATCCCAGCCTGGGCCACACAGTGAGACTTTGTCTTTAAAAAAAAGGAAGAAAGAAATAAAAAGCAAAGATAATGAAAGAGAATGCATGCCGGTATGGTATCTTCAGTGCAAAGCAACAGCTTTTAGAATACTGGTGGTCCAAGGAGCAGCGATGGAAAAGGCGGAAGGAAATAGTTGCACAGAAAATCCTGAAGTGGTTCAGTCAGTTTTTGTAGGTATATTTTGTTCTAAACTTTGCATTTTTTATGTACTTTGAGTGTCCAAATACCGCAAATACAAGAGTGACTTGCTGTCTAGGTTTTTGGTTTATGCAAACCCGAGATTTTCAGTATCAATAAAAACCTTTAAATTTTACATGCTATGTACTCTATGAAGGGAGACATTGTAAATTTACCTAAACTAAGCCTCAAATAGCTTTTTATTTTTAACTACAGTATTTAGTCACCCTTGTGATATGAGAGCTCCTCTTTGACAAAGAATGGCATGCATTTAGCAAACAACAGCTTCTAATTTAATGACTATTTGCCTAGAGCTATTAAAATACGACTTAGTCCAAAATAAAATCACCAACAAGAATATGTAAAATACATAGGAAATTTAAAAATAAAATTTGCCCCGGATAATCAGTGGAGGAGTAATTGTCTATAATTAGTTGACAGTAAGCTGCATGAGCTCTGGTAGAATATGGAGAATTTGAAGGCCTCTTTCATTAACTGAAGGCTCAGTGGATCTGCTCACAGGAGTGAGCTGATTACCATTTTGAAGATCATAGCATAAGTACACAGGAGGTAACTTACATCTCTTTCTGTCCACTCCCATCTACAGGTCACAAAAATTAACTTTTTATTTTTCATTCTTTGTGTTGCGTTTGTGTATGGCAAAGTGTGATGAAAACTGTGTGAATTAGTTTGGTCAGGTGTCCTTAGCAGAGCACCACAGACTGAGTGGCTTAAACAACAGAAGTTAATTTTCTCACTGTACTGGAGGCTGGAAGTCCAAGATCAAGGTGCTGGCGGGGTTGGTTTCTTCTGAGGCCTCTCTCCTTGGCTTGAAGATGGCTACTTTCTCATTGTGTCCTCATATGTTTGTGGCTCCTCGTGTCAACTTGTATATCCAAACTCCCCCTCTTTCTAAGGACATCAGTAAGATTGAATTAGGACCCTCCTAGGGCCTTATTTTAACTTAATTGCCCCATTAGAGACCCTGTCTCCAAGTACAGTCACATTCTGAGGTCTGGAGGGTTAGGAATTCAGGAGGGAAACAATTTATTCCATAACACTGTGATTCTTCAAGTTCGAAAGCTTACAACTCTGGTCAGTGTCTTAAAAGAGAAGTATTCCAGTTAGTTATGACAAGATCCAAATCTCCTATTTATGCAATGAATACAGAAATAATGTAGCCCTTGATATTCGAGGAAACAAAGTTCATGTAGAGACAGCTTCATATCTGTGTGCATGGATGTGCACACTCAGATACACACAAATGCAATGTATGTTTGTCCTGAATCTTTGCTGAAATGCAGACAGTGGTATCTGACTATGATGTGGTCGACCTGCAGAACTCCAAAAACATTCTTCTAATGCAAGCAATTCCATCAGAGCTCCTTGGTGCTTGGCTGACTTATTTGATTGCTTTGCTGAAAAGACGATGTTCCCATGGACTTAACTGAGGCCTAAAGTAAAAATGCTCATCTCTAGTCCAGGGATATACACAAGGATTTTTATCCTGTAGTAAATGTTGCATCTTTCCCAATGAGAACCTTTTCAATCATGTTCTTCCCAATAGATCACAGTCTCGTGACCATTGCCACAAGTTCAGTACAAATGACCCAAACCAGATCCTTCACTGTCCCGAATCCACTGTCCAGAACATGATGCTATGCATTAATATCTTTAATAACTCCCTCTGGACTCAATTCCCTGCTATCCTCCAGGAAGAGGAGGAGATCAACCACCACCTGCGTTATGCTTCCTTTCCTGTGACTTAAAATAGCAAATCAGGGACCTACGGTGGGAAAGGTGAATGATGAGAGTAATCATTTGCATGAGGTGTTTCCACACTGTTCTTTGATGCTTGCTCAAGGCCAGGGCATGAATAGCACAGGCATGGCATCCTTGGGGAATATTTGCAATTGCAGTTTTGTGGGATTGCAGGATGAAGTATTAGAAAGAGAGTTTTGTATACTGCTCTCTGAAAGAACGTGCACATTTTACTGAGTGGAAACTGTATAAGGCAGTGTAGTTACAACATCTAGATTCTGTGTTAACAGGTTTTTGAAGGTTAGTTAAATTGATGACCATAGTTCATTTAATCAGAGATGAAGGATTATTTTGTGATTTTAATGAGCGAAGGATACATCTTGGTCTTATGGTAGTGGATTACATGACTATTTTTTTCTCTGTTAATAATCACAAATTAAGCAAAGTGAGAGTCAAACTAAAGACAATTCATATACTATGAACACCTCTTAAGTAACAAGTACTGAATGCAAAGAACGTATTTCCAAAAAATAGCCAATGCTTTTGGGACAGTCACCATGTAGAGCTGTAGACCAGAATAACATGAGGAAGCATGTATTCTGAAACCAAATATCTGCCCTTGGCTTCTCTAACTGCAGGATCTACTCAGCAGCAGAGCCAGCAGGGAGTGCCAAGCTGGCCTTACTGAGTCTCATTGCTAGAATCAGCACCCTTGAAATATCCATTATTTGGATATAATCAAAGGAACTGTCTCTAGTACAGTACGTCTGCCAATTGGAAGCATAAGAACAAGATATTCAAAGGTATTATTAAGCATGTGTCAAAGCACTCGTTATTGATATATTAGTATTTATTATTTCAGTAGTCTCCCCTTATCAGTTACCTGAAGTGCAGAACAATAAGGTATTTTGAGAGAGACAGAACACACATTCACGTAGATTTTATTACAGTGCATTGTTGTAATGGTTCTATTTTATTATTAATCTCTTGTTGTGCCTAATTAATGAATTAAACTTTATCATAAGTATGTATGTATAGGAAAAACAGTACATGCATGGTTCCATAGTATCCATGGTTTCAGGCATCCACTGAACTGGGGGGGTCTTGGAAATTATCCCCATGGATAAGGGGAAGACTGTACTATAGTAATTATTACAGACAAAGCAGAAAGACAAAATAGCTGGTTCTAAAAAGAATTTGAATAGGGACTTACATATAGTTATTCCAGAAACAAATATCAAAATTAAGATTACTAAACTATATATAAATGCATTTTACTTTCTACTTTTTTATCTTCTACTTAAATCAAAACTACTTGCTTCTCTGCCAGCCGTAAGTTATTGGTAATAATGTATCCATTTCTGCAGGTTAATCTCTAATCTTATTAAAAAAATTTTTAGAGACAAGATCTCACTCTGTTACCCAGGCTGGGGTGCAGTGGCATGATCATAGCTCACTGCAGCTTCAAACTGCTGGGCTCAAGGGATTCTCCAATTTCAGTCTCTGGAGTAGCTGGGACTGACTACAAGTGTGTCTCGCCCTGGCTTAACTTCTAATCTTATGTGAACAAGAGAACCTTTATAAGTTGCGAATTCTTGGTGTCAAAGAATTAAAACAATGAGCACCAGAGCACTGAAAAACAAGCTGAGTTGATCACTGATAACTGATGGGACCGCATGTCACTAAAAGAAACACATCAAGAAGGCTGCTGAGGTGAAAACTTCATGTAAAGTTGTAGAGAGAGCTCACAATGGCTGTGCTGATGAAAGGTCCAAATTCTGCATACGTGGAAGGACAGAATGAGGCCCCAGATCTGTAGGCAGTTTGTTAAGCCGAATTGTATCGTTTATCAGTCAGGAAAACATTTTTAGTTAGGTCCTGATGCTAAAAGAGTCGGTAAATAAGACCTTTCCAAGTTTTTCAACACTATTAGCTTTGTGTTTTATATCCTTTGATGTTTCTGTTCACATAACAGCTTCTGCTGGGCAGCTGCAGGTAAGATAAACACAACTCTCAGCTATGATATATTTAGGCTAGTGGTGTCATAAAGAGAAGCCTCTTTTTTACATTTGCAAATATATCGTGACCACAAAGATACAATCCCCACAAGTTCCACCTGAGGATCAAATAAGTTAATGAGAAAAGTCTTGTCTGGGCAGTGTGGCTCACACCTGTAATCCCAGCACTTTGGGAGGTGGTTGGATCACTTGAGCCCAGGAGTTCAAGACAACATGGCAAACATGGACAACACAGAAAAATGCTGACTCTGCCAAAAAAAAGAGAAACAACAATTATCTGGGCATGGTGGCATACCCTGTAGTCCTAGCTACTTGGGAGCCCAGGGCAGGAGGATCACTTGAGCCCGGGAGGTTGAAGCTGCAGTGAGCAAAGTTCACACACGGCACTCCAGCCTGGGCAGCAGAGTGGGACCTGTCTTCAAACAAAAAGCAAAACAAAACAAAAACAAAAAAGAAAACTTTTCATATGAAATAATAATAAATAACCAAGCAATCATCATTTTGCCTTTTGCCAAATTTGAGGTACTTTTTTTCTATCCTTCACTAAATATAACAAGATTTAAATGTAGTCAAGCAATGACATTGAAAACATTTGAAGCCAAATATCCTGTTTGGTGAAATGTTAGCTTTTCAGTGGTGAATTCTCATCTTATTGGTCATTCATTAAAAATGAAATAATGGAGTCACATCTGAGAGTTTGTTTCTCTTCCCTGTACTTAAAGAAGGAATTGGTTTTGGTTCCAGTATTACCTGAGATGAGAGCGACTAGCTGTCAACAGGTATGCACTGTTTCACCTCACATGCTTGGTCAGGCTCCGTGCCTTATAGAAGTGACTGAAATAAGATCTCCCACACCTCTGGTGCACGACTGCTGTTGTAGATTTAATGTTATGAATATGTACAATTTCTTATACAGGCAAATTTGCCAGCTAGTATTAAAAATTATAAGCACTGTCAACAATACTAAGTCAAAATTTATTTGTAAGAATATTAACTGTAGCATTTTTTGCAACAGAAAACTGGAAATAACAAAAAAAACTGGTTGAAAGCAATCATTATGATGATTATACAGAGGGGTACTTTGCACCCATTAGTAATGATATAAAGGAAATGTATTTAATCATAGTCATCCTAATGGGCATGAGATTTCTCATCATGGTTTTGATTCGTATTTCGCTAATGATTAGTGATGTCGAATATCTTTTCATAGACCTGGTGGCCATTTGTATGTCTTCTTTGGAGAAGTGTCTATTCAGTTCCTTTGCCCATTTTCAGAACTGGGTTATGTTTATTTATTTATTTTTGCTATTGAGTTGTGTGAGTTCCTTAAATTTTTTAGAAATTAATCCCTTATTAAATATATGGTTTGCAATGTTTTCTCCCACTCCATATGTTGCCTTTTCACTCTGATTGTTATAGCACAGCACCTACAGTTAGAAACAAGATACTGTGTACTTAACAATTTGTTAGGAGTGTAGATCTCATGTTAACTGTTCTTACTACAAAAAGAAAAAAGAAAAAGAAATCACAAAGAGATACAAGGAAACTGTTGGAGATGATATGTATCTTTATTACCTTGACCGTGGGTAACATAAATGCATGCACATGTCCAAACTCACCAAATTGTGTACATTAATTATATTCACATTTTTATATATCAATAAAGCTAGGAAAGAAAGAAAATAAATTTTTGTTTGTTTTGATTTTTCTAATGATGGAATGGTCTTGCTCTGTAGCTCAGACTGGAGTACAGCAGCTATTCACAGGCCTGATCATTGCACACTATAGCTTCCGACTCCTGGGCTCAAGCAATCCTCCTGCTTCAGCCTCCCAAGTAGATCCGACTACAGGCACATACTACCACACCTGGCTGAGAAAATGGCCTTTGAAATGCATTTAATGGCATGAAAACACTTATGTGGAAAGGATGATCCTAGTTTTGGAAATTTTAAAACCAGTGGGTGCATGTTTGTTTTCACAAAGCAAAGATGGTAAAGGTGTGCATCGGAATTCACAAGGGCTGAGCGTGGTGGCTCAAGACTGTAATCCCAGCACTTTGGGAGGACAAGACAGGAGGATCACTTCAGCTCAAAAGTTTGAGACCAGCCTGGGCAATGTAATGAGGCCTTGCCTCTACTGCAAATTTTTAAAAAAGATTAGCTTGGTGTGATGGCAAACACCTGTAGTCCCAACTACTTGGAGGCTGAGGAGGGAGGATCGCTTGAGCCTGGGAGGTACAGGCTGTGGTTGAGCCCTGATATGCCACTGTGCAGCAGCCTGGGCAACAGAGCAAGACCCTGCCTCAAAAAAAAAAAAAAAAAAAAAAAAAAAAAAAAGGCACGAGAGGGTAGTTGAAGGTAGTAGAATTCTGGGTTATTTAAATATTTTATTTTTCTTGTACTTAATTTTCTACATGGCACCGAGAATGTAAATCAAGTTGAATATCGTTCATGTCTTTGTTCTCAAACAGCAGCCATAGCCATAATCATGGCAGGACACCTACGGCTTCCTAAGACTCTTTCACGTACCCCCTATTCGTTCAACCGAAGGAGAACTCGAGTTCCAGGAGATTTGTTTACCAGACCAATTTGTGCTAGGATGGGACAGATGGGAGTTAGAGATGCTGAAAAAGGGAAAACCTTTCGTGTTACCACATTTCTGTCATTCAGTGCCTAAAAACCAACATGGACCTACTTACTTGAGCATTTGAGGATTAATGAGCTTATTTGTGAGTAATCAGAGTAAGAGAAAGAAAGGTTTATTTCAGTAGCTCTCAAATTTTAGAAGGGAACAGGAGGACCCCACCCCCGAGAGTTTCTGATTCAGCAGGTTTGAGGTGGGGCTTGAGAATCTTCATTCCCAACAAGTTCTCAGCGATGCCCCTGTTTCTGGTCAAGGACAGCAGTGGTGGAGCACCCTTCTTAGTGCCTTGCTGCTCTGTGGATTGGCTGGAGTGGCATCACCTGGGAACTTGTTAGAAAGGCAGAATACTAGGCCAGGCGCGGTGGCTCACGCCTGTAATCCCAGCACTTTGGGAGGCTGAGGCGGGTGGATCATGAGGTCAAGAGATCGAGACCATCCTGGTCAACATGGTGAAACCCTGTGTCTACTAAAAATACAAAAATTAGCTGGGCATGGTGGTGTGTGCCTGTAATCCCAGCTACTCGGGAGGCTGAGGCAGGAGAATTGCCTGAACCCAGGAGGCGGAGGTTGCGGTGAGCCGAGATCGCGCCATTGCACTCCAGCCTGGGTAACAAGAGCGAAACTCTGTCTCAAAAAAAGAAAAAATAAAAAAGAAAGGCAGAATATTGATCCCAGTTAGAAAGAGTCTGAATATGCATTTTAACAGGATCCTCAGGTGATTTTCTTACATGCAGAAGTTTGGGAAGCAGCACTTTCATACGTAGGTTGTCAAATATGAATTAGATAAATCATAAATCTGAAATGGGGTGTGTGACACTCCTGCTTGTAATATATTTTTCTCATGTTTATGACAGATAAATAAATAATACAAAACTTACAAATAATTATAGAGCACTCCAGACTCCTGAATTTTGCTGCTCGTTAACAGTCACTGAAACTTCCTCAGTTCTGATTTCCTCACCGGGGGAAAAAAAGGTTCAAATAGGTGAGCATGTAGTTTCTAAATCCAGCAAATAGATTTTGTGTTGGTTGGAAACTGAAGAAAATCAACCACCTGTGGAGCACAGCATTGGGCAGGAGACACTGTGAATAAGCGATTTCAGTCTCCTGACAGCAACAGCCAGAGTCAGCTGTTAGCTAATCTCCTGCTGCTGATATTGTGGCCTTGAAATTATCACTAGAACCAGCTTGTGCTTTGTGGCTCTGGTGGGCGGCGTAGGGGAGGAAGTGGGGGACCAGATGCTGGCAACAGGTCTTCCAGGCCCTGCGTTTTCCCCATTGTGAAGTTAGCCTTCCAGCTGACAACCAGAACAATGGCTTCTTAACCTACCCCAAGTAATTTTGATAACCTTCTGTTCTCATGCTTTGTTTTCCTCCTTCTTTCCCATCTTGTCTTTGGGAGTATCAGACCTCTGAGGAAAGGATATTGACATTTGATCCGATTATCATTACCAGAGTTGCAAAGAGAAATTTTATTTCTAACTTTGTTTTTTTTTTTTCCCAAGAAGAGGTGTTCTCTTTGTATGTTTGGAAGAGGACAACCTATTTGGAATCTCGAGATCTCAGATCTCCATACTGTAATGAACAGTGTGCCTAAAAAATCATGAATCTGGATTTATCATTTCTATTCCAGCAAAAACGCAACTCTCTTATTACCATTCTTGTGTAATCTTATTATGCTCATTTCTGAGGAATAGGGAAGTCCTTACCTTGTTTGATCTTGCAATACTAGAATTTCCTTGAAAGCAAAGTGAACCTGGAGTGTTAGATTCACTCATGTTTCAGCCTGTTTTTTTCCCACTGTACGCCCACGTGTGTGCATGAGCGTGCATGTGTGTGTAGGCATGCGCACACACACACTCACGCTTTCCTTTTCGCCTCCCCTTTTGGGCTCTTCCTGCCTTCTCTATCACGCCCAGGCCCCTGGCAGCTTGTGGCTGGCAGGGGCACAAACCAGTGGTCAGATGCAACGTCCTGCCTCATGCATTTTGCCTCTTGGTGCTTTGTTCAGAACTTCCCCAAGTAGAGTGAAACTCAGGAGCTAAGAAACCGAGTCACCGTGAAAGGATGGGAAATTATCTCCTGCGAAAACTCAGGTGAGTCTGGACTCTGGGTGCCGACTTTCTTGGGAGAAAGAGAACAGAGATAGGGAGGCTGGACACATGCATTTGTAAGGGTGTGCTTCAGGAAGGCTGAGCTTGAAGACAGCACCCTTTCAGAGCACACAGTGATGCTCGGTTGACTCCTTCTCTTGCCTTACTCTCGAACCATGATAGGATGCTAGATGTGGAAAACTAAAATACTGGATGCTATGTCACATTCAAATTTCAGAAGAACAATTTTTTTTAGTAAGACTGCCTCATATAATATTTTGGGCATTATTACATGGGTTGTATTTTACTAAAAAGTTATTCATTGTTTATCTGAAATTCAAATGTGGCAGTGCATCTGGTATTTCATCTGCCAACCCTAGACAATTGCCACTTGAATTTTTCTGCTCCTTTTTCTCTTTATGTGGGTGCAGAGCTCGCCTTCCCATCTAACAGCTTTGTGGGTTGGTATGAGAATGAACTGTCAGGTTCTTGCAAATTATGGAGGCAGAATATGCATTTGAACGCTTTTGACCTTAGTCACACCTTTTTTTGGTAATGTTTGGCCTTATACTCTTCCAATACTTCATAACTTGTAGAGTGTATACAGATAACAGCAATTATTGTTCTTACATCTTGCTTCATCTTAAATGACCGAGCGTACCACATCCCACCCCTCTGTCCACTTTCCAGTCCCCTTCCAGACAGGGTTGCTTGTGATGTGACTACAGTGATACGCCCATGGAAAAACTCTCATCACGCCACTCCTGTGCTCCAGTGGGTGCCGTGTAAAACATGACTGGACGAAAAGGATATGACCTAATGCTAATGGACTGAGTGGAAAATCGCAGGAAGTCTTGTTCTGTCTGTTTAGATTCTTTTTGACCTCTCTGTGCAGCGTTCCTTACTTACGAGTATGGGGCAGAACACTCTCTGGAATGGGGGGCTTACGACCTATAGTCAAACAAAGTAGGTCAGAGAAGATGTCTTAGTGAGGCAGCAGATTGTCTTTCCCACACCTGCTAGTTCATGCCATCTCCCTCGACCGGGTTAAAGAGCACTGCTGTCCCTTGACTTCTTCATTTAGTCTTTCAGTAACTTCCTATTTCTCAAAGAGCTTAAGGGTTTGTGGATGGGGAAGGGCCATCACAGTCAGGATGAGGATGACTCTGGGCAGTAGACGGAGGAAAAATGACACAATTGTGCTGAGAGGTAAATTCAAATATTTATCCTGAAGAAAAAAAGGCTTCCCTTCTTTTAAAGTTAATCAGGGTTTATGGAAAGCCTATGTAAGACAATGGTCTTGATCTCAATAAAGAATTAAACATGGAAAGAAAATAGATATGGAAGCAAATTTTAAAAATGGATAGGCCCCTTCAAAGAACATAGTACCTGATCATTCCGACTCAGCTTTAAGAAAATAGAGATTATGTGGCTCAGATAATCAAAATTACGAGAAAATTAAAACTTGTCAAGGTTACCTTTGCTATAAAATTATGAATCTCACGTGTAATTTATGAGGCCAAGTCATCTGTCATTTCTGTTACACCACAATAGCTTCTATTTCAGATTAGGCGGATGCTAATGTGTTCTGTGTAGAAGCACAAACAGTGCACTATAGAAACAAGAGGAAGGAAGGAATGGAATTCTGATTTGGGATAGCAGGAATGAAGGACATGTTTGAGGAACTGCCATTTGGATTGTGTTGTAAATGTTAGGCAGACTTACAAAGTAGGAAAAGACAGTCCAAACAGAAGGGACAAACTGAAAATGTGTGAGGTTCAAGTATATGGTATTATTATCAATAGGAGGACACACTGTTCAGAGATGACTCCAGCAGCAGAAGAAATTGAGAATGAAGTTGGGGGTCTGTTAATGAAGGTCCTTCAAAGGCACATAGGAAGCGACACATGAGTGAACATTTATAAGCTGGAGAAAGATGCAGTGTGGCATGCATTTTAGGAAGAAATATCTGTCTTCAGTGAGTATGGAGGAATGACAGAGATATAGACCGTTAACAAGCTCTTAAAATATACCAAGAATGATGTCGGGGCAATGGGAAAACTTCCCCTTTGCTCCCTGAAGGTTCTCTGAAATCAACTGAGAAAAGGCACATTAATTGGACAAAAGACATACAAATTTATTGATCATTGTTTTATGCGACACAGGAGCCTGAGAATGAAGACCCAAAGATGCAAAGGAAACTGTCCATTTCTATGCTTAGGTTCAACAGATTATGGATAGCCATGTAGAAATGTGATTGGACGAAAAGGATATGACCTAATGCTCATAGACTGAGTGGAAAATCGCAGGAAGTCTTGTTCTGTCTGTTTAGATTCTTCTTGACCTCTCTGTGCGGCGTTCCTTACTTATGGGTGTGGGGCAGAACACTCTCTGGAATAGGGGCTCATGACCTACAGTCAAACAAAGTAGGTCAGATAATTTCTTTATGGCTGGTTCTTACACAGAAAGATAGAGGGAAAGTTAGAGTCATCTTACTCATTATATATCTGGCTTTGGACAAAAGAGGTTCTGGTATGAATCACCTCAGGGAAGAGGGATTCTAATTTCTATGACTAGCCCTGGGGAGGAATGAGTTGCCAGAGAGAGGAGGGCAGGAGAAAGAGAGAGCTGCTTCTGAGGCCTTTATTTTGAAGTATCATTTTCTGAGCCCCAACAAAGAGATGGTAAAGAGCTGAAACTCCTAAGGAACTACCAAAATGAAGAGGAAATTCAGTAAATGCATTCCCAGAGAGTCACCTTGGAATTTGTCAGTCATTTGGATCACAGATGCGGTGTGAGAGGAGGCTGGAGAATGGCCTCCACGACACTGATGCAGAGAGCCTCTTGTGGCTCTGACCCTGCTTGTCAGAGGCCTTACCTTGGGCAGTGCCTCATTTGCAGCCTGATACTTGGCTGCCAATGAGTCTGGGGAAGGTAGCTGCTGCTTTCTAGCCTCTCTGGCTAGTGAGAGGGTGACGTAAATGGTGACATCGCCATGGGCACTGTCCATCACACACTCTCTTTAGTTTTTATTTCAAAATTGATTTAGTTCTTTGAAGACTTTATCCTCCCGTATAAACTTATACACAAAATCTGAATTTGTGTATTTTATCAAAAGCGCCAGCCTGAACTTTGATTGGGATACCACTGTGAATATACAGATGTATTTGCAAACTTCTATGTTTATGCAGATATACTATTAATACTCCAATCAAAACAATTATTTACAACTACATTTATTTAAATATTCCTTAATGCTTTCTAATAGTTTAATTTTTTGTTTTTCTTTTATTCTTTGTTAGATTGATTTCTAGATACCATATGCAACAATAATAAATCTATGAGTGGCATTTTTTCCTAGCCCGTTGTTGTTGGAATCTTATTGAATTTTGCAAGATGATTTTGTATGCACTAGCCTTGTTCAATTTCTCATTTTTTTCATGGCTTTTAAATCCTAGTGAAATTCATAGAAATTTTACATAGTTTACATTGTTAATATATCATCTATAAAGTTAAAGATTTTTCTGGCAACTCATTCCTCCCCAGTTCTAGCCATAGAAATTTTACATAGTTAATATATCATGTATAAAGTTAAAGATTTTTCTACTCTTTTTCATTTCTTATAAATCTTATAGGTACCTTTATCTTATTTTATAGCATAATTATGTTTAACAATGTCAGAATTCTTAGGCATCCTTGTCTTATAACTGATCATAATTTTTTCCCTAAATTGTTTTCATTAAGTTTGCTGTATAGTTTTGACATTTATGTTTGGCATTAATGTTTTTGGCATATTGCCTCTATCAAAATAAGAAAATTCTACTTTTTTTTCTAATATGTAGAAATGCGACTTCACTGTGTTGCCCAATCTGGTGTTCAGTAGCTATTCACAGACGCAGTCAGAGTGCACTACAGCTTTGAACCCCTGGGCTTAAATGATCTTCCTGCCTCAGCCTCCCAAGGAGCTGGGATTATAGGCATTCACCACTGCGCCCAGCTCTTTTGAGGGTTTTTATTGTTAATAAGGACCAAACATTATCAAATGCTTTTTTTTTTTGAGATGGAATTTCGCTCTTGTTACCCAGGCTGAAGTGCAATGGCGTGATCTCGGCTCACAGCAACCTCCGCCTCCTGGGTTCAGGCAATTCTCCTGCCTCAGCCTCCTGAGCAGCTGGGATTACAGGCACACGCCACCATGCCCAGAAAATTTTTTGTATTTTTAGTAGAGACGGGTTTCACCATGTTGACCAGGATGGTCTCGATCTCTTGACCTCGTGATCCACCCGCCTCAGCCTCCCAAAGTGCTGGGATTACAGGCTTGAGCCACCGCGCCCGGCCCAAATGCATTTTTAAACTATTGGGATAACCTCATGATTCTTCTCTTAGACTTCTAAAGTGGTTAATTATATTAATAAATATTTTTGCTGACTACCTATCCTTAGATTTCCGGGATAAAACCCATTTGATTGTGCTGTGTGCCATTTTACTATAGTTTTAGATTTAGTTAACTTATATTTTATTGAGGATTGTTGCATCTATTTTCATGACTGAATTGGACCTGCGATTTTTAAAAAATTTGACTTATTTAATTTAAAATTAAAGCTTACCAATCTCATTAAATGGGTTGGCATCATTTTACATTTTTCTACTTTCTGAAATATCTTATTTATGAGAGTATATTTGTCACCTGAAGTTGGGTAAATTGTGTATGCGGCTGTGTAAGCTGGAATTGTTTGTTATTGATGGCATTCATGTGCCAGATTTTGCATTTTATTTTTTCCAAGGTATTCATTCTAAGTCATCATATTTATTTTACACAATTATTCATCACGTTTGTTTTGTGTCTCTAATGCTTGTTCTGAACTTCCTGTATTTCTGTCCCTCTTCCTTATTTCTTTGTTTGGTCTTTCCAGACTTTGGCTGTCTTGCCGATATTATTATTTTCTAAGATCTGGTTCCCTGTCATATTCATTTTTACTTACAACTTTCTTGTTTCCTTTGTTTCTCCCAACTTTTTAAGACAAATGCTTACGTTGTCATTGTTAGTTATTTATATGTTCTTATGAATGTATTTTCGCAGCCTCTTTTCTTCGCACTTCACTTTATCCTGCAAATAGTCCTGTGTAGCTTGCATTATTATTTATTCCGTGGTTTTGGAAGGTTCCTTTGTGATTCCTTCTTTAGCGTAAGGATTACTTAGTGTACTCCTTATGCCGAGACATGTACACTTTCAGTTATAGCTTACTGAGTTTCAATTTTACTGCTTGGTAGTTGGAGAAATAGTGTGCACATTGTTGCTTCTGGGTGATGTTTATTAAGACTTTCTTTGTGGAGTTATAAAGTCATAAGTCAACACCCAACATTTAGAAAGTTTAAAAACAAGAAGAAAAAACCTAGAAGGTATAAAAAACTACCCATAAGCTTAATTCTTTGGCCAAGATACATTTAAAGCTTAATAAAATGCCCATTTTTAAAACAGTAGAGTATTCATTGATTTGTTTATTTGGTCAACAAATTTTTGTATATCACCTATGGCCTGATATTATCTGAATTCCTCTTGATTAAGAAAAACACTTTTACTTTATTCACAGTAGAATTCAGTATCCAGTTATGTTCAGTAATACTAATGGTGTGGAATTCCAATTAGGTCCCTACTGATGTTAAGTACTTTCCTGTCTTGTTTTCAACTTTAAAATACAAACACCCTTTGGGGGTATAAGTCAGTGAACCATTAATAACCCCAAAGACAATTATTTTACCAGATTCTTTATTGACCAGTTTAGAAAGATGGAATCATGAGAAAATTGGATTCTGGGAAAAGGGGGAGAAAAAAAGGAGACACTCTTTACCTGATTTACAATCTATACTACATTTATTTTTATTTTTTACTTTTTTGAGATAGAGTCTCACTCTGTTGCCAGGCTGGAGTGCAGTGGCATGATCTTGGCTCACTGCAACCTCTGCCTCCCGGGTTCAAGTGATTCTCCTTTCTCAGCCTCCCGAGTAGCTGGGACTACAGATGCATGCGACCAAACCCGGCTAATTTTTGTATTTTTAGTAGAGATGAGGTTTCATCATGTTGGCGAGGATGGTCTCGATCTCTTGACCTCGTGATCCACCTGCCTTGGCCTCCCAAAGTGCTGGGATTGCAGGTATGAGCCACTGCACCTGGCCCAATCTACAATATTAAATAAGCATTACATCCAGATTTGACTGTAATTGTGACTATTACACAAAATCTCTCCATCAGCAACTGATTCTATAAAAATGCCCCCTCCTCTGTAAATTGACATTATTTTATATTTAACGAATACATTCTTTGCTTAGTGGCCTTGTGTGTTGATATGTAGCGATGTTTCCTGAACATATACATATAAGCTATATTCAGGGAAGGCACTTTCTCAGCCTTGGTTCCAAATACTTTCCCTGAATACTGCTGGTAAGCAGAGGTGAGGCTCGTACGTGCAAAGCTACATAGAAGCAGAAGGATAGACCAGTGTTGCAGCTGTGATTACAGAGGAAAAGAAAGCCACTCAAAGAAATGCCATGTTTGGACAACTGGTGTGGTAGAAAGTTTGATGAATCAAGTCACAAACACAAGTTGCTAACTATTGTGTTAACCATGCAAATCGCCTGATTTCTCAACTTCATCGTTTAGTGTTTGCCTGATTATCGTAAAGATGATGATAATTGATGGCAAAACACCAAGAGTAATAGAAAAAATCAGCTTTTCTGAATGTACCTAAAGATCCTGGTGTCTTATCTGTACATGGATGTCCACATGCAGCAGGGCCCGGCGAAGCTTGCTGTGGTTCAGAGGGCCAAGACTGACAGTCCTCATACACCGCAAAGGTGTGTGCAAACCTCATCTTGCCCTGGGTTGTTGCAGAGGCGGCACCTCCCTGTTGCTAAGGTCTTTGCAGCTTCTTGGGAGCTCTAACCTCCTCTGGAGATTCAGGAAGTTTGCATATTGGATCATGATAAATCCCAAGACCGAGAGAATCGAAGGTCAGACTGTGGGCATTTTGTCCCTTCAGCCTGATCTCTGCGGTTAGTTTCTGATATACATTCCATCTGTGACTGCTTATTGATTTTTTTTTTTTTTGAGACGGAGTTATGCTCTTGTTACCCAGGCTGGAGTGCAATGGCGTGATCTCGGCTCACTGCAACCTCCGCCTCCTGGGTTCAGGCAATTCTCCTGCCTCAGCCTCCTGAGTAGCTGGGATTACAGGCACGCTCCACCATGCCCAGCTAATTTTTTGTATCTTTAGTAGAGACGGTGTTTCACCATGTTGACCAGGATGGTCTCGATCTCTTGACCTCGTGATCCACCCACCTCGGCCTCCCAAAGTGCTGTGCTTATTGATTTTTAAGTAAAGGGAAGTTTGTCACAAAGAAAGGGCAGGTTTGGTTTAATGGTTCAGAAAGTTAGAGAAGAAGGTGAAAAAACTTGGAGGGTAGTAACAGTCTCTCTTTTTTCTTGTGTGTTTCCATATAGTTGCCTTGGAGAGAATCAAAAGAAGCCCAGAAAGCGAAACCCAGATGAGGAAATAAAATGGTAAGAGCAGAGCATGTCAGTTTTTTTCTTTGCGATTACTTCCAGAGTGGCTGCCCCACTAGAACTAACACCTCTCAGGGCCACTATAATAGAGTTCTCTGGTGATTACCTGCATGCCATGGCAGCAGGTTAGACATTGACTAGCGCACACGTTTTCTTTCTATTGATTGTATAATGCAAGTGTAGAAACGTAAAGCTAGAATTCCAAGCGTAGAAAGCTAGAATAAGGGATGTTTTGTTAGGGTTGGCTATATGTGGTGGCCATGTTTCCCACCTTTTCCTCGTGAGTAGACAGAATAATCTTCAAAAAACGTATCTCATCATGCCTTTTCCTTGCCTGAGACCATTCAATGGTTCTTCCTTGCATCCAGAATAAAATGCAGACTCTTCACCAGGGCCTACGATTCTCTAAGAACTGGATTCTGCGTATCTCTCCAATCTGGTTCGTCTCCCTCTCCCTTCACTCACCCTCTTACAGGCATTCTCCTTTTATTTGGTGTTCCTCAAGCCACCAAACTCAGCCTCACCTTAGAGCAGTTATACAAACTACTTTTTACTGCACAATTAAAAAAATTTTCCCTATTTGAACTTGGACTGATTGATAATGTCTCTTCCTGGAGATGCTGGCTCTCATGCCCTTCTCTGAAAGACCTCCCTCACTAGATTAGGGAGGAACTCTGCTTCTGCACCCCATGGTTTTTTTTTTTTTGTGACAGAGTTTCGCTCTTTTCACCCAGGCTGGAGTGCAATGGCGCGATCTCGGCTCACCACAACCTCCGCCTCCTGGGTTCAGACAATTCTCCTGCCTCAGCCTCCCGAGTAGCTGGGATTACAGGCACGTGCCACCATGCCCAGCTAATTTTTTGTATTTTTAGTAGAGACGGGGTTTCACCACGTTGACCAGAATGGTCTCGATCTCTTGACCTCGTGATCCACCCGCCTCGGCCTCCCAAAGTGCTGGGATTACAGGCTTGAGCCACCGCGCCCGGCCAACCCCATGGTTTTATGACAGTAGGACCTGCATGTATTTGTTGTGGCCTTTATCTCCACTTGTAACTATACGTTGCTTGAGCTCTTTACAGTCCACTTCCTTCATAGACCATATGCACATTAACGTCATGTCATTTCACTTCCTAGTGCGTATCTGTTACCCAACCCTTACAAGACACTCAATGGAAAAAAGAAACAAAATGGAGTGGAAAAATAGTAGATATCTTGATGTTGATATCTTCCCTCAGCTTAGACGAACAGAAACACCCTGCCTTCCTTGTTGGTTAACCTTAGGCTTTTCATACTTTTGCAGTAGCCTCTTTTTTAATAATTTCATCTCAATGTCTTGGTTTCTGTCTCTGAGATGGCTCTTCTCTTCCATGGTATGAAGGGACAGAGGATGGAGGAGATGAGCCAGGTATCTGTTGGTGATGTGAAGTGAGGATTGCAGGCATCAGCCCCTCCCAGATGTTTGAATGAGGACAGTTTCCTGCACAAAGGAGAGCTGACTTCATGAGTCAGCCCTCAGGGACAGCGGAGTTGACTGTGCCTGTCTTCTAACCCTTTCTCATGCTCCCCCCAACTCCTCTCATGGTTTGTAAGTGGAGAGGAGGTAGCAATGATTTGGCGATGTTATTGAACCGAGGTTCTTTTATCAGCTGCTGTGAATCAGTTCTGTATAATATCTTTTAAACACATAAAGCATTTAATTTAGGCAAAAACTAGTCATTTAAACTAGGCTTTTGTTTCATCATGTCTAAAGTAAGATCTGCACTAGATGTCGTTTCCTAATATTTTTCTGTTAAAGAAACTGAAGTGTTAACATTTTCAAACACCAGCAAGTCTTTATTACAAGCAGACATTAACTAAATGAAGATGAATTAAGTGTCTTTAGGGTTTTCCCATGCAAGGAAATTTTATAAGCAAGACTCATAGAATTTTCACTAGTCAGCATGGTGAGGAAGATCTGAACCATTCTACTATTCTAGTGAATTGCAGTCAAATATGTATGTTTCATGTGGGCTAAGAAGTTGATTTTCCTTTTGGCTAATTTCACAGGATGATGTCTATTAAATAAAGTTGGATTTTCTACATCTTGCCGAGTCAGTTTTGATATTAGATTTTTACCAGAGTATTATTCATTTAAACACATTTACAGAAAGAACAGTGTGAGCTCTTTCAAGTCACTTGGCTTTTAAGATTTAGGTTTATAGAGGTATAGCCCAGTAAAATTCACCCTTCTTATATGTCCAGTTTGATACGTTTAGGAAAAACAGACAGTCATGTAATCACCACTATCAAGATATAGAATATTTCCACCACCCCCCCTTTCCCTTCAACCCCTGGTAACCACTGATCTGATTTCTGTTTTGCTTTTTTCCAGGATGTCGTAACATCATTGCTTTTATCTTTATTACAGTTTTTTTTTTGCTTTCCTTAGTTTTTAAAGTTGTGGCTTTTCTAATTGTTTTGAATTCAAAACTTAATAGTTTTCTTCTCAAATTTTTCTTGTTTAGGAATGGAAGCGTATATGAACATAAACTTTCCCTCTAAATAATATTTTACCTGTATTCTGTGTGGCATTAAAGGAAATACTATTATTGTCTAATATTTTGCAAATTTTAATTTATTCTTGGACCTGAATAGATTTTAAATTTCAAATATTGCTTTGTAGTCTTAAGTATAATTTAAATTTTATTTCATTGTTACCAGTGTCTGCATGGTCTGTGTTATTTCTGCTTTATGGATTTTATTAAAGTCTTCTTCGTCCTATATGTTAGCTTTGAGGCAAGTTACTTACAGTCTCTAAATTTTGGGTTCTTCATATGTAAAACAGCCTTAAAATACTACAAGTTTAGCTTCTGTTTGTGGGAAAAGAAATAAGTGCACATTATTATGTACACAAATTTTGAACATATATAATCTTTTGTTCAAAGATTGTAATTTTGAAATTTGTCTGCAAGAGAAACCTTATTGTGTATTTCAGATATGCTCTGTCATTATTTTTCCTACTTTTTATCAGCTGAGAGAAATTAATCTACTGTTTTGAGTTACCTTTCATGCGTTCTTTTTCTTTCTTTCATATGGATTCTAAATATTTTGGTGTGTAGCAATTCATGACAGTATTAGTGTTCGTTGGTTTTAATCTTTATCATGCCATCTCTGTCCAGCTCCTTTTCTGTAATGAGGGGCTTGCTAAAGTCTCATCTTCTGGAGTGTGAGAAGGTCCCTGTGATGGGATATCAAGGACACCTGAGGACATTGCAGGCAGCAATGTATGTTAACAAGTTAAGATATTTGTTACCTCCTCACACAGTTACCATTACTTTTGTGTGTGATGAGAATGCTTGAGCTCCACCCTCAGTGAATTTCAAGCACTCATCACTGACTATAGTCGCCATGTCTCAGCATTCCTGTGTCATTAGTATTTTTCCTCCTGTGAAGTCAGTTTTCAGACTTAAGAATTTATTTTTTATGCCTTTTCTCTCATTATATCTTTGAATACTTTTGTTTCATTTGTTTGAATCTGTTTTTTGAGATAAAGTCTTGCTGCTGTCGCCCTGGTTGGAGCGCAATGGCATGATCTCTGTTCACTGCAACCTCCGCCTCCCTGGTTCCAGCAGTTCTGCCTCAGCTTCCCGAGTAGCTGAGACTACAGGTGCATACCACCATGGCTGGCTAATATACACCTTTTTTTGTACAAACAGGGTTTTGCCATGTTGCCCAGTCTGGCCTCAAACTTCTGGGCTCAAGTGATCCACCCTCCTTGGCCTCCCAAAGTGCTAAGATTACAGGCATGGACCACCATACCTGGCCTGTTTTTAAAACTGATATATCATCCTTGTATATATTTTGGGGGTACCTGTGATATTTTGCTACATGTATACAATGTGTACTGATTAAATCAGAGTACTTGTGATATCCATCTGCTCAAACATCAATTTTTTCTTTGTGTTGGGAACATTACAATTCTTTTCTTCTAGCTCTTTTGAAATGTATAATAATTACTGTTTTTTTTTTTTTTGAGATGGAGTTTTACTCTTATTGCCCAGGTGGGAGTGCAATGGCATGATCTTGGCTCACCACACCCTCCGCCTCCCAGGTTCAAGTGAATCTCCTGCAGCAGCCTCCAGAGTAGCTGGGATTACAGGCGTGCGCCACCACGCTGGGCTAATTTTGTATTTTTAGTAGAAATGGGGTTTTATCATGTTGGTCAGGCTGGTCTTGAACTTCCAGCCTCAGATGATCCATCTGCCTTGGCCTCCGAAAGTGCTGGGATTACAGGCGTGAGCCACCACGTCCGGACTAAATTATTCTCATCTACAATTTTCCTCACTGTGCTATCAAATGCTAGAACTTATTTCTTCTAGCTAACTATATTATTGTACCTATTACCTATTAGCTAACTTTTATACCTATTAGCTAACTTCTCTTCATTCTTTCCTCCCCTATTAGTGTTGTTTTAATTTATATACAAATGTTATCATTCTCTACGATTATTTTCCTGGTTTAGGCAGTCCACTTTCCTCCTCCATTTGTTATTGTTAATGATTATTAACAATGTTACATTAATAATTATTAACAATAATATATGTTATATTAATAATATATGTTATAAATAATTATTAACAAAAATATATATGCTATATTAATAATTATTAACAATAATACATATGTTATATTATTAATAATTATTAACAATAATATATATTTTATATTAATAATTATTAACAATAATATATGTTATATTAATAATTATTAACAATAACATATATGTTATATTAATAATTATTAACAATAATATGTTATATTAATAATTATTAATTATATATATATATTTGTTTTGTTTGTGTTGTCCAGTTCATCTTTGTAACTGTGTGCTTAGTATTCTGAATGAAAGGAGATCATTTGTGAGATAAAACTGTGTGCATGCACAGGTGTGTATGCATGTGTGTTTAAGGAGGGTGCCGAAGAGAAACAAGCTACAGCTGTCACTGAACCAAATGAGGGCAGCTCACCTGGCACTGTAAAGGGAAACATCCACATGGAGGTTCGCTGCAGGACAAAGGAGGTGTCTATTTGCGGGTCTCAGGCTTAAGACCCGTCCTCTTCAATGGCTTACAAGCAAGGGTTTTTAAAGGCAGGGGTAAATTTCAGGAAAGAAGAATTTACAGGCAAAATTGTAAATCAATACATGGAGATTACAGTTCGTTTGGCTAAAAAGGTGAGATACCTTGAAGCTGAGGGGGAAGGGTGCCTTATAAATCATAGGTGGTCGTTTGTAGGGACATGGATGAATCTGGAGAACATCATCCTCAGCAAACTGACACAAGAACAGAAAATGAAACACCGCATATTCTCACTCATAGGCGGGTGATGAAAAATGAGAACACATGGACACAGAAAGGGGAGTACTAAACACTGGGGTCTATTGGGGGGAAAAGGGGAGGGCCAGTGGGAGGGGGAGGTGGGGAGGGATAGCCTGGGGAGAAATGCCAAATGTGGGTGAAGGGGAGAAGAAAAGCAAAGCACACTGCCATGTGTGTACCTACGCAACTGTCTTGCATGCTCTGCTCATGTACCCCAAAACCTAAAATCCAATAAAAAATAAAAAAAAAAAAGAAAAGAAAGATTCTTTGATGTGCAATTGTTTAAGAAAGCAAAGCTTTGTCTAAAAGTATGGGGTCAAGAGAAAGGAATGTTAAGGTCTGGCCCCTGGGCATGATTTCCTCCAGGCTCCTCAGGAAGAAATTTAGACAAAGCCTGGCGGTGGGAGCTCAGTCCTCAGCTCCATCGTGCCTGAGGTCCGTGTGCCAGATGATGTGTTTGTGGAGGTCCAGGCTTCCTCCGGCTGATCAGCTGCTCATCTACTTCTCAGGGCTCTCTGGGTGGCTGGAATTTCCGTTGAAGGAACTCATGACTTTCCTTTATTTCCTTGCTTGTGGGTGCCTGACAGGCTTCCAAGAGGGGGGGTCTCTGCTCTGTTGCAAAGCCCAGGCTTTGATTGTGGCATGTCGTTTTAGAATACTTCCTCCCCAGATATTTTCACTTAGCCCAGGCTCATCTCTGTACTGTGTGTGGAACTGGCTGTCCTTGAGATGTGTAGCTTATTACAAGTTGTCTCCTTTTCCCTTAAATTTAGGAGTCTGAGTGACAGAGAAATAAAAGGTGATGTGCTGGCAACCCCATCTCCTCCCCACTGCCTCTGGCTCCTCTTTATTGTGTAAATTGTGTTCCTTTGGAAATAATCTCTATTTCTTTAATCACTGGCCCACACTTATTAATGTGTACGACTGTAAAGTTTTAGTTAGAATTTGTAAGACTCTCTTATTTACCTTTAAGGATTTATACACCCTCATCAAGAATAGCAGAGAAATAAATGTCAAAACTTCTAATTTTCTCTCTTGAATTGTTCTAAATTTCACTATATTATACATATGTTTTTATACATGTGATAATACGTGTGGTCTGATAATCTAATAATTTCCTTGGCTCCATGCTCTATGGAACTTTGTTTTCCACTGTTCATTGTTTTCCTAGATTTTTGTGGTTTTTCAAAAAAGGGTAGAGTAAGCAGCCTTTTAATTTTATTTAGAATTTGCGTGGTAAATCTAACAATGGCCTTAGGTTAAGGGTGACCAAATGCTTTGAAAGGCATTTTCAGCTTCGGAGAACCTGGAGTATCTCATGTTACTGTCTCTTTCCTTGTAGGGAGGAAATGACTGCGTTTGAAAGAAAACACCAAGATCAAGATAAGAAAAGTAAGTCATTGCTCCATGATATTTTTCACAATGGGGAAGTGTAAATTGAAGCATCCAGTTATCAGACGCCTTTGATCCTATTGTAATAAAAGACTGGAGAAGAGGCTGCTTGGAGTTCTTACTCTATCAGAAAACGGATCACATCGTTCTTGGAATTAAAGTAATATTTGTATATTATTTTTTTGATCAGCATTTAATAACTTTTGTGGGAAGAAGTTAACCAAAATTCTCTTAATTTTAATTTATACACTGGTGTTTCAAAATAGGGCCTTTGAATGTTAGCAGGTGATAAAAAACGTACTTTTTTTGTTCTCAAGAAGTTGCAAGAAGCTGATGGTACACTCCTGTAGTCCTAGCTACTTGGGAGGCTGAAGTAGAAGGATTCTTTGAGGCCAGGAGTTAGAGTCCAGTCTGAGCAATGTAGCAAGAGCCTGTCTCTTAAAAAAAAGAATTTGCTCTGTTTGCCATAGTATACAGGTATAGTAATCATGTAATTACTCAAAATCCAAGGTTATGAATAACAGGGCTCAGCCTCTGTGGACAAGCATATTTAAAGGAAACTCTCTGTTTCTTTTTCACCCCAACTTTATTGAGGTATAACTGACAAATAAAAATTGCCTAATATTCAAGGTGTGCAATGCGATAATCTGACATACACACACACACACACACACCCCTTGTGTAATGATTACTACATCAAATTAATATATACATCACTATACAGAGCTACCATCTTGTATGAATGTGGGAACATATGGACACTTGAGATCTATTTCCTTAGCAAATTTCAAATAAAGAATACTACATTGTTAACTAACAAGCAATGGGAAAGGATTTCCTATTCAATACATGGTGCTGGGTTAACTGGTTAGCCATACACAGAGAATTGAAACTGGACCCCTTATGCCATATACAAAGATTAACTTAAGATGGATTAAAGACCTAAATGTAAAATCCAAAGCTATAAAAACCCTGTGAGACAACCTAGGCAATACCATTCAGAACACAGAAACAAGCAAATATGTGATGGTGAAGACACCAAAAGCAATTGTAACAAAAGCAGAAATGGACAAATGGGATCCAGTTAAAGTGCTTCTGCACAGCAAAAATAACTCTCAAGAGTGAACAGATGACCAGGCATGTTGGCTCACACCTATAATCCCAGCACTTCGGGAGGCCGAGGCAGGCAGATCATAAGGTCAGGAGACTGACACCATCCTGGCTAACATGGTGAAACCCTGTCTCTACTAAAAATACCAAAAATTAGCCAGGTATGGTGGCATATACCTGTAATCCCAGCTACTCTGGAGGCTGAGGCAGGAGAATTGCTTGAACCCAGGAAGTGGAGGTTGCAATGAGCTGAGATCGCGCCATTGCACTCCAGCCTGGATGACAGAATGAACCTCCATCTCAAAAAAAAAAAAAAAACAAAACAAAACAATGAACAGACCACCTGCAGAATGGGAGGAAATTTTTGCAAACCATGCATCTGACGGAGGTCTAATATCTAGCACCTATAAGGAACTTAAATTTACAGGAATAAAACAACTCCATTAAAAACTGGGAAAAGGGTTGGGCACGGTGGCACACGCCTGTAATCCCAGCACTTTGAGAGGCTGAGGCAGGTGGATCATGAGGTCAGGGGTTTGAGACCAGCCTGACCAACATGGTGAAACCCTGTCTCTACTAAAAATACAAAAATTAGCCTGGCATGGTGGCATTTGCCTGTAATCTCAGCTATTTGGGAGGCTGAGGCAGGAGAACTGCTTGAACCCAGGAGGCGGAGGTTGCAGTAAGCCAAGATTGTGCCATTTCACTCCAGCCTGGGTGACAGAGAGAGTCTCTGTCTCAAAAATAAAATAAAATAAAATAAAATAAAATAAAATAAAATAAAATAAAATAAAAAGTGGGAAAAGAACATAAACAGACACTTTTCAAAAGAAGACATACCATGTGACCAACAATCATATGAAAAAAAAGCTCACTATCACTGATCATTAAAAATGTGTATCAAAATGACAATGAGATGCCATCCCACAGCAGTCAGAATGGCTATCATTAAAAAGTAAAAAAAACAAACAAACAGATGCTGGTGAAGTTGTGGAGAAAAGGTATAAGTGTAATTTAGTTCAACCATTGTGGAAGACAGTGTGGTGATTCTATTCTGCCTAAAGACAAAACTACCATTTGACCCAGCAATCCCATTACTAGGTATATATCCAAAGGAATATAAATCATTCTATTATAAAGACAGTTGCATGTGTGTGCTCACTGCAATACTATTCACAATAGCACAGACATGGAATCAACCTAAATGCCCATCAATAATAGACTGGATAAAGAAAATGCTGTACATATATACCATGGAATATTACAGAGCCATAAAAAGGATAAGATCATGCTCTTTGCAGGGACATGATGGAGCCAGAGGCCATTATTCTTAGCAAAGTAATACAGGAACAGAAAACCAAATACCATATGTTCTCACTTTTATAAGTGGGAACTAAATGATGAGAACACACAAAAACAGAGAGATATACCACGTGCTGGGGCCTAGCGGGGTGCAGAATAGGAGGAGGAAAGGATCAGAGACAATAACTAATGGGTGCTAGGCTTAACACCTGAGTGAGGAAATAATCTGTGCAACAACCCCCCATGACACAAGTTTACTCATGGGACAAACCTCCACACGCACCCCAAAATTAAAATAAAAGTTAAAAAAATGGAAAGAGAATACTACATCGTTAACTCTGGTCACATGCTGTACACTGTCTTATTCATCTTATACTGCAAGTTTGTGTGCTTTGACCAACATTTTCCCATTTCTCTCACCTCCCAGTCACTGGCAACCACGGTATTACTCTCTGCTTCTGTAAAGAAGCTCAGTTTCTTGTTGCGGTTGTTTCCACTGTCTTCTCATGCTTTTTGAAATAATTGTATAGCCTCATTGTTTGGAACTTTGCATTTCCCCATCACATCTCAGATCACAGTAAGTTGCCTTACTCCACTGCCACTCCACTGAGCAATTTCCATGGGCTACGAAAGAAATTTATTTAAGAAAACATCATCATGACCATAAATATAATAACATATTTAAAAAGCGTCTCAAATAAAATTGTTAAATGATGCTATGATTTCTATTCATGTATATGTATGTGCTTTTACTAAATCATGGTGTAAAATACATTGCTAACTGTGAGTCAGGTTCAGAAAAGTTGAATGCATTTATCCAATGGCAACGACTGACTTTAAAGAACAATTTCCAATCTTACTCTTTTTTTTTTGAGACGGAGTTTCGCTGTTGTTACCCAGGCTGCAGTGCAATGGCACGATCTCAGCTCACCACAACCTCCGCCTCCTGGGTTCAAGCAATTCTCCTGCCTCAGCCTCCCGAGTAGCTGGGACTACAGGCACGTGCCACCATGCCCAGCTAATTTTTGTATTTTTAGTAGAGATGGGGTTTCACCATGTTGACCAGGATGGTCTCGATCTCTTGACCTCGTGATCTTGAACTCGGCCTCCCAAAGTGCTGGGATTATAGGCATGAGCCACCGCGCCCGGCCTCTAATCTTACTCTTAAATGCCCTTTCTCTAGTATTTGTAAGTGTTTCTCAAGCTCTACCTCCTGAAAGTGTTGCTTCCTTGATTTGTTGGACACCACACTGTAGTCTTGAGATCCTCAGTTGCTGACCACCTACCTACCACTCTGTCAGCACACTTTCTTTGGTAAAATATAAAACGATGGTGCTCCTTAGTGATCGTTCTTGGAATTTTTCTACTCTTTTGAAGTGTTTGTGTGTGATTGATCTTATTTCTTTTTCTAATTTTTAATTGAATTTTTTGGTGAAGGCATTTGGCAGAGTGGCATGTATTGTAAAGAACCCTTTTTTTTTTTGAGATGTAGTTTCAGTCTTATTGCTCAGGCTGGAATGAGGTGGCACGATCTTGGCTCACTGCAACCTCCACCTCCTGGGTTCAAGAGATTCTCCTGCTTCAGCCTCCTGAGTAGCTGGGATTACAGGCATGTACGACCATGCCAGGCTAATTTTGTATTTTTTGTAGAGATGGGTTTCTCCATGTTGGACAGGCTGGTCTCAAACTCCTGACCTCAGGTGGTCCACCCGCCTTGGCCAATCAAAGTGCTGGGATTACAGGCATGAACCACTGTGCCCGATTGTAAAGAATATATTTTACGTATAGATACAAATGCTTTGATAGTTACATAGTATTCATATTTTTTGTTTCATTTGGCCAGCTTTGCAAATTATATTTATTTTCAAATGTTTCCTTTCAATTAAAATTTCAAAATCCTAAGCTTAAAATTGTTCACCATATTCTCTTATGTATTTAGTATTTGCAGGATTTATGTGATGCCCTTTTATTTGTTTCTAACATTGTTTCTTCTCATAAATAGGAATGGTTGCCATATTTAGAATTCTGTAAATTCTAAAATTTACAGAATTAAATATAGTAAAAAGTTAGTAGTGGATTTCAGATTCACACATATGTAAATTGCTTCAGCATTCATAGATGGAATTAACATCAATCTGCATATTTGTATGTAACTTGAAATAGTTACTCATGTTATTTCTGTACCTATCTCTATAGTGAGTGTTCATTTTAAAGAATTGTATGATTTTCCTGTGATATTTACATAAAATTTAAATCTTAAATTTGCAACTGTAATCATTCTTTATGCTTATCATATTGCATTGACATGGCATGTTTATGAACAATTTTATTACCAAATTTTGAATCCGTTTTATTCAGTACATTAGATGTGTTTTATTTACACAAAGAACATACTGTTGATGCTACCTCAGAACACGTGTTCTTTATCTTGTCACTTAGTCTTGAGAACTTCAATTATAAGATGGGGTCATGTCAGATACTTAGATAACAGGCCTCCGCAGTTTTATTACTACTACATTCTATTTTTTTCACCTTTTCCTTCAGTCTGTGATGATGCAAAATAACACTTTCCTTTTTTTTTTTAAATCCTCCAGGTCAAGAAGTTTCATCCACTTCTAATCAGGTAATTAGAAAACAAAAAGCAAGACAAAAGAAAAACACAAACTTTTATTATGTTTGTCTGATAAATGTCAAAATACAGATGATTTATTCAAGAATAGCATCTGTCTTCCTTTATTTGTAATTTCTAAATATACTTTTAGAAATCTTTCATATTTTAAATAATTTATGTGGTAACTGTAATGCAGAAATGAAAGGAAATAAAAAGTATTTTAACTGATCTAGATGAGTAGCAAGTTCTTATTGTTTTGGCCTCAATTCTGCTGAAGCATTTATTTATTTATTTATTTAGGGAGAGTCACAAATTGTCACCCAGGCAGGAGTGCAGTGGCACAATCTCGGCTCACTGCAACCTTCACCTCCTGCGTTAAAGTGATTCTGTGTGCCTCAGCCTCCTAGGTAGCTGGTATTACAGGTGTGTACCACCACCCCTGGCTAATTTTTGTAATTTTAGTAGAGACAGGGCTTCACCATGTTGGCCAGGCTAGTCTGGAACTCCTGGCCTCAAGTGAATCCACTTGCCTCAGTGTCCCAAAATGCTGGAGTTACGGGCATGAGTCACCATACATTTTGGTATGTTTTTGCAGTGGCTGGTACTAGTTTTTCCTTTCCATATTTAGTGCTTCCTTCAGGAGCTCTTGTATAGCTGGCCTGGTGTTGACAAAATCCCTCAGTGTTTGCATGTCTGTAAAGGATTTTATTTCTCCTTCACTTATGAAGCTTAGTTTGGCTGGATATGAAATTCTGGATTGAAAATTCCTTTCTTTAAGAATGTTGAATAGTGGCCCCCACTCTCTTCTGGCTTGTAAGGTTTCTGCTGAGAGATCCACTGTTAGTCTTATGGGCTTCCCTTTGTGGGTAACCTGACCTTTCTCTCTGGCTACCCTTAACATTTTTTCCTTCATTTCAACCTTGGTGAATGTGATGACTATGTGTTTTGGTGTTGCTCTTCTTGAGGAATATCTTTGTGGTGTTCTCTGTATTTCCTGAATTTGAAAGTTGGTCTTTCTTGCTAGGTTGGGGAAGTTCTCCTGGATAATATCCTGAAGAGTGTTTTCCAACTTGGTTCCATTCTCCCTTTCACTTTCAGGTACAGAAATCAAACATAGGTTTGGTCTTTTCATATAGTCCTATATTTCTTGGAGGCTTTGTTTTTTCTGTTTCATTCTTTTTTCTCTAATCTTGTCTTCAGGCTTTATTTCATTAAGTTGATCTTCAATCTCTGATATCTTTTCTTTTACTTGATCAATTTGGCTACTGATACCTTGTGTATGCTTCATGAAGTTCTTGTGCTGTGTTTTTCAGCTACATCAGGTTATTCATGTTCTTCTCTAAACTGGTTATTCTAGTTAGCAATTTGTCTAATGTTTTATCAAGGTTCTTAGCTTCCTTGCGTTGGTTTAGAACATACTCCTTTAGCTCAGAAGCCTACTTCTGTCAATTCGTGACACTTATTCTCTGTCCTGTTTTGTTCTCTTGCTGGTGATGAGTTGTGATCCTTTGAAGGAGAAAAGACATTCTGGTTTTTGGAATTTTCAGCCTTTTGAGTTTTTTCTTTTTTTCATCTTTGTGATTTATCTACCTTTGGTCTTTGCTGTTGGTGATCTTCATGTGGAATTTTTGCATGGTAATCCTTTTTGTTGATGTGGATACTATTGCTTTCTGTTTGTAGTTTTCTTTCTAACAGTCAGGCCCCTCTTCTGCAGGTCTGCTGGAGTTCGCTGGGGGTCCACTGCAGACCCTGCTTGCTGGGTATCATCAGTGGAGGCTGCAGAACAGCAAAGATTGCTGCCTGTTCCTTCCTCTGGAAAGTCTGTCCCAGAGGGCACCTGCCAGATCCAGATGGAGCTGTCCTGTATGAGGTGTCTGTTGACCCTAGCTGGGAGGTGTCTTTTTGTGAGGAGGCTTGAGGCTCAGGGATGCACTTGAGGAGGCCGTCTGTCACTTAGCAGAACTCAAGCTCTGTGCTGGGAGATCCGCTGTTCTCTTCAGAGCTGGCAGGCAGGAAATTTTAAGTCTGCTGAAGCTGCACCCACAGCTGCCCCTCCCTTCTACCAAGTGCTCTGTTCCAGGGAGATGGGAGTTTGATCTGTAAACCCCTTATTGTGGCTGCTGCCTCTTTTTCAGAGATGTCCTATGTAGAAAGGAGGAATCTAGAGAGGCAGTCTGGCTATAGCAGCTTTGCCATGCTGTAGTGGGCTCTGCCCAGTTCAAACTTCCTGGTGATTTTGTTTACATTGTGAGGGAGAAACCACCTACTCAAGCCTCAGTAATGGTGGACTCTCCTCCCTCTACCAAGCTCCAGTGTCCCAGGTCAACTTCAGACTGCTGTGCTGGCAGCAAGAATTTCAAGCCAATGGATCTTAACTTGCTGTGCTCCGTGGGGGTGGGATCCACTAAGCAAGACCACTTGGCTCTCTGGCTTCAGCCCCCTTTCCAGGAGAGTGAATGGTTCTCTCACTGGCGTTCCAGGAGCCACTGGGGTGTGAAAAACAACTCCAGGAGCTAGCTTGGTGTCTGCCCAAATGGCTGCTCAGTTTTTTGTTTGAAACTCAGGGCCCTTGTGGTGTAGGCATCTGAGGGAATCTCCTCATCTGTGGGTTGTGAAGACCATGGGAAAAGTGTACTCTCTGGGGCAGATAGCATTGTCCCTCAAGACACGGTCCCCCATGGCCTCCCTTAGCTAGGGTAGGGAGTTCCCTGACACCTTGTGCTTCTTCAGTGAGGTGATACCCCACCCTGCTTCTGCTCACCCTCTGTGGGCTACACTCACTGTCTCACCACTCCCAATGAGATGAAACAGGTACCTCAGTTGGAAATGCAGAAATCATACACCTTCTGCATTAGTCTCACTGGGAGCTGCAGACTAGAGCTGTTCCTATTCTGTTTTTGTTCAGCTTTGTTGTTTTTGCTTAGGATTGTCTTGGCTATATGAGCTCTTTTTTGGTTCCATGTGGAATTTAAAGTATTTGTTTCTAGTTCTGTGAAGAAAGTCAACGGTAGCTTGATGGGAATAGCATTAAATCTATAAATTACTTTGGGTAGTATGGCCATTTTTATGATATCGATTCTTCCTATTAATGAGCATGGAATGTTTTTCCATGTGTTTGTGTCCTCTTATTTCCTTGAGCAGTGGTTTGTAGTTCTCCTTGAAGAGGTCCTTCACTTTCCCTGTAAGTTGCATTCCTAGGTATTTTATTCTCTCTGTAGCAGTTGTGAATGGGAATTCACTCATGATTTGGCTCCCTGTTTTTCTATCATTGGTGTATAGGAATGCTTGGGTTTTGGATACTTTAGGTGTAAGAGCACCATGAGCTGTATAAAGAAGAAGGGAGGGTAGGGCACTGAGTTCAATTTGTGAATGACTCTGGGTCCTTGATATCTTTTCTCTTTGTGCTTGGCAGGAAAACGAGAATGGCAGTGGTTCTGAAGAAGTGTGCTACACTGTCATTAATCACCTCCCCCATCGGAGGTCTTCCCTGAGCTCCAATGATGATGGCTATGAGAACATTGACTCCCTCACAAGGAGAATGAGAGAGTTTAGAGAAAGGTCAGAGACAGAATATGCCCTTCTTAGGACTTCTGTTATTAGGCCTTGTTCCTGCACCCATGAGAATGATTATGAAGTTGTGCTTCCACACTAAAACCCTCAAGCTGCTTTATCACCTTCCAGCAATGCAGATGACGCAGACTAGCAGACTCCGGAGGAGTCCTTCACTCTGAGTGGTGCATGAAATATTCATTTCTGACTAAAGTTTAGAAATATTATCTTACTGTATATCCTTGGGCAACTGTGGAATGTGACATCTCTGTGGTTTAGGTGAAATCATATAAATTGACACAATAAAGTATTCTACGTGTTTTGCTTGTAAAGTTTGAGGACATGGAGGTGGTAAAAAATTAAAAAAAACTTAAGACAATAACGTAAACTGAAAATAAAATCCTAATCCCCCTAACTAACTGAATAGACCCCGTTCTGGGCCAAGGAGACCTCAGATTAACCTGAAAGGCTGAATTCTGGCCATGATAGGGAAGGGGGTGAAACACACGTTGTTATACCCCTCCCCTTTTGGAATATAGGCACAAGTGACCAGGATCAACATTAAAATAAAGATTGTATGACTGATGAAACAGACTGATTGTGGCAATAGGAGTCCCATTCCAACCTGACCTTGGTATAGCATTACACACCGTCTGAGAGATGCTATCTATGAGTCTTGTCTAAACAGCAAAGAGCTTGTTTTCCACAATCTCCTTATTTTAGCGAAAGCATTCTTTTCTACTCACTTCTTAAGTCTTTAGACAAAGCTTAACTCTTTCAACCAATTGCCAATCAGAAAATCTTTGAATCTACCTATGACCTGTAAGCTCTCTCCTCCTTCAAGATCTTGCCTCTTTAAGCTGAACCAATGTGCACTTTCCATGTATTGATTTATGTCTTTACTTGGAACTCCTGTCTCCCTAAAATGTATAAAACTAAATTGTAACCTGACCACCTCAGGCCCACTTTCTCAAAACCTCCTAAGACTGTACCCCAGGCCATGGTAACTCACAATGGCTCAGAATCAACTTCTTTAAATATTTTGCAGAGTTTGGCTTTTCGTTAAGAATAAGCCTCCACAAATATATGCCTCAAAATCTTCAATTCCAACCCTGCTCTCAAGATTTCAAATGCCAACATCTCCCCTTCCAATTACTTATGTCATCTTTGAGGTGTAATCCACTCACCAAACTTTATAAGACGAGTGACCAGACCCTTTGCTAAGCTAATATTCACTTCAGTTTTGCTTTTTCTATGTACTAGAGATTCCTGCTTATAAACTTGCAGTAATAGTTCAAGAATTAATAGTTTTGACATTGGCTTTTCTCAGAAAAGAACCTGAAAGTGTCACACACACACACACAGAAAAAGGTGAAATGAATAATACATATTTGCTCATTGTTGCCTTTCTAGCCAATAGAGAATTGAAGGATTTTGTTCAAAGATTAGTAGAAATTGAAAGTAAACTTGTGCTTATACCTTTGTTTGCAACATACTAGCTAATCTAATTGTGATTAGTTATCGCTACTGAAGGTGGATGCATAGTTTCTGGTTTTAAAATTGAAGCAAACTGGAAAATAATCCACCTAATTATCCTTTCTTTCCCAAGAAGTTTTTAAATGATAGCCCAGCTTCCTAATATGGAGACAAAGGCCTTAACTTACATGCATTCATATTTTTTGGTATAGTTACAGTATACAAGTTGAGTATCCCTTAGCTGAGATGCTTGAGACCAGAAGTGTTTTGGATTTCCGATTTATTTTTGGATTTTGGAATATTTCCATACGCATAATGAGAGAGTTGGAACATGTTATTCAAGTCTAAACATTCACTTATGTTTGAGATAAACCTTATCTGAATAGCATAAGGTAATTTTAGATAATATTTTAAATAATTTTGTGCATGAAACATAGTTTATGTACACCGGACCATCAGAAAGCAAAAGTGTCACTATTTCAAGTTAGTGCTCAAAAAGCTTCAGTTTTAGGCTGGTGATGCGGTTCATGCCTGTGATCCCAGCACGTTGGGAAGCCAAGACAGGTGGATCTCTTGAGCCCAGCAGTTTGAGACCAGCTTGTGCAACACGGTGAGCCCTTGACTCTACAAATAATTAAAAATTAGCCAGGAGTGGTGGCATGCACCTGCGGTCCCAGGTACTCAGGAGGCTGAGGTAGTAGGATCGTTTGAGCTTGGGAGGATGAGGCTGAACTGAGCCAGGATTCTGCCACCATACTCCAGCTTGGGCAACAGAGTAAGACTCTGTCTCAAAAAGAAAAAGTTTCAGATTTTGGAGCATTTCAGATCTAAAGATTGGGGATTTTTAACCTGTACTGACCTTTTAGTCCTTGACAAGCATTAATCAATAGGTGGACTTCAGCTACCTCATTTGTTGTATACACATTTTGCCTCTCTACTCAACTAATTCTCGGCTCTCTTGTGGTGATTTTAATGTGTGGAAGGGAAACTTAATAGAAACCTTGAAATTCTAGAAAAGTAATTCTATCAAAAATATGTCAGTCTTGTACAAATTAGCCAATTTAAAAAAAATGACAAAATTTTTTACTTTTTATATGCCTGTGTAGCTATATTTATGCTATGAATACCATATTTGTAGTAAGATTAATTTTAATTTGAATAACAGTCTGCAATTATAAGAGAAGGGGTAGGCAATAGGTTAATAAACAGTATTGATTAGTAGAAAAAATATTGAAATCCAAGGGCATGTGTCTTCTGGTGGTTCACCGTAAGCCATGGAAGATGTCTTAATGTTTCTGAGATCTGGTTTTTCAGCAAAGTAGAATTTAAAAAATATAACTGTCTTATGTAGTTGTGAAGAACAATAAAATCATTGCTGTATAAATGCTTTTTAATCTGTAAACTGGTGAAGCTTGTCTTATCTTTTATGCATATAAATATTTGAATATTTTAAGTTGTTTACATTTTTTAAACAATTTTACTGAAGTATAATTATATACAAGAAAATTTAACCACTGTAAGGGTGAGTTATAAGGATTTTGTTAAATGTAATCACCTCCTTATGAAGAGATAGAACATGCGCATCATTCCACAAAGTTCCATAGTGCTCCTTTTCCCTCGGTTTCATCAGTCTTGGCAACCAACGATCTGCTTTGTATAATTATAACTTTCCTTGATATTGTAGCGATGTATCCTTTCTGTATTTATTTTGTGTGTATAAGGCTTCTTTTATTCATTATAATGTTTTTGAGATTCATCTATGTTTAACCTTTTATCAGTAGTCGTACATCTTACTTGTCTTAGTATGTCACCATATAGAAATACTATCATTTGTTAATTTAATCACTTGACGGATACGTAGGATATTTAAGTTTTTGATATTATGAATAAAATGAGTATAAATGGATAAAGAGACTATAAACTTGAATATCTAGGTGTGTTAGTTTACTGATCACCATAACAAAGTATCATAGAGTGAGTGACTTAAATAAGAAAAATTTGTTTTCTCACAATTCTGAAGGTTAGAAGTCCAAGGTCAAGGTATTGGCAGAGCATGTCTCTTGAGGGAAAAAGTGTAAAAACTTTCAGTTGGTTTCTCTAAGGGAAAATCTTTTCAGTGCATCTCTCCTAGCTTCTGGTGGTATGCTGACAATCTTTGGCATTTCCATATTTATTGATGAGATGTATACATGCCAAGGGATGGGAAATTCCTGTGACAATAATCAGAGATCTTCTATTTCAGTGAAATTTCTAGGGTCAAGGGGTGTAAAGCGTGTTGAGATTCCCTTGTATGATGAAGAATAAATTGTGGTACCTGGTTTCCTTTATGCCCAAAAAAGAAGTACAACGTCTAGTGTAACCCCCTTTGGATCTTGGCAGCAGCATATGCTTCATTTGGGTGTGTTACTCTAGCCAATTTCCTAAGCAACTTGCTAGTTCTGAGTGGGAACTCAGAATAAGAGCAGGCTCTGCAACAGGTGCAGGCTGCCGTGGAAGATGTTTTGCTATATGGGCCATGGGATTCAGCAGACCTAATGGTTCTTGAGGTGTCAGCGGCAGATAGGTATTCTGTTTAGGGCCTTTGTAAGGCTCCTGTAGGTGAATCACAGTGAAAACTCTTAGAATTTTGGAGCAAAGCCCTGCCATTTCCTCAGACACCTAAGCTTCTTTTGAAAACTGCACTGGGCTTGCTCCTGGGCCTTAGTAAAGATTGAATACTTAACCATGGGCCACCAAGTTACCACGTGACCTGAGCTGCCCTCATAAAAGGGATGTTGTCTGACCTACGAAGCTATACAACGGGGCTTATGCAGAGCACTTCATTATAAAATGGAAAGCATACATATGAGATCAGGTTCAAGCAGGTCCTGAAAACACAAGTAAATTACATAAAGAAGTGACCCAAATGTCCATAAGCCCCACTCATGCTACACTGCTTTTCACTGATGGCCTCACGGGAGTTTCCTATGGTCAACTGAAAGGCCCTAAAGAAACCTTGGGCCTGGTTCATAGATGGTTTTGCACAATATTCAGGCACTGCCAAAAAATGAACAGCTACAGGACGACAGCCCCTTGCTGGGACATCTGTGAATAACAGTGGTGAAGAGAAATCCTCCCACAGAGTGGAACTTCAAATATTGCATCTGGTTGTTTGCTTTGCTTGGAAACAGAAATGGCCAGATGTGTGATTATTTATCAATTCATGGGCTATGGTCAACAGTTTGGTGGATGGTGAGAGACTTGGAATGAATATGATTGGATAATTGGTCACAAGGAGGTCTGGGGAAGAATTATGTGGATGGAACTCTCTTGACAGGCTAAAAACCTGAAGATACTGTGTTATGTGAGTGTTCACCAAAGAGTGACCTCAGTAAAGGAAATTTTTTTTTTTTTTGAGAGGGAGTCTTCCTCTGTCATCAGGCTGGACTGCAGTGGTGCGATCTTGGCTCACTGCAACCTCCACCTCCCAGGTTCACGCAATTCTTCTGCCTCAGCCTCCCAAGTAGCTGGGACTACAGAAGTAGTGGGCCAGCTTGATTTTTGGTAGATTTTCACTATGTAATGTTGTTTATTATCAAACAATAGAAGTCAATGTTGGGAAAAAAATCCCCATTTTTAGCAAATTGTTTGTAAAACCAAATTTATATTAGTGAATCTACAAGATTAATGGCTATATGTTTTTATTTTATTTGGATGTTTAGTATTAAGTTGATATGGTTGCAAAGCAACACGATCTAAGCAGTGATACTTCACCTTGATGTAAAACAAGTTTATATTATTTTCTAAATTATGAATCTGTTGATATTTGTAGAAGAAAGTAAATAACCCATAGATTGGTTTGAAAGAGACTTACATCTTATCATGGAAACCCAATAGTCTTTATGTGGCACTATTTTAGATGACAGAAAGAATACTTCTTTTAAAGTTACTGGAGTCAGAGGATATAGCCAAACAATACAGGAGGATATGGTTGGAAATAGAATGTTCTCTCGTGCTGAGGAGGGCACAAGCATCTCTGAACTTCAAGTGAAATGCGGCTGAATTATCCAGACAACATATGAGGGAGAGAAAAATAGACTTATTAGGCAGGATATATAATTTGGAAATTGTTAACAAGCACAACTATGTAATTAGGTAATCAAGAGAAAATGGAGACTCTCCTATTTTGAGCAGCAATCAAACAATGATTTTCTACTTCTGTAAGTCATTTGAAATATTGTAATAGTAGAGAAGAGGAATCAAGAAGGTAATTACTGGGGTTTCTCACCCTCAAGTACTTTTCTTAGGGGCAAGACACTGGGGATAGCTCACTTTTTTTCTGACACATTTCCAAGAAGGCACCAAACTCTGGTTCAGAAGCCACTTAATTCTTTCTATTATTTGCAATGGACATTTTCATGTTGTACCAGAGACTACATGAATCAGGAGTGATACCTTTTTGAGTCACTGCAGAGAGATTCAACTCCCAGAGAAGTGGCATCTAGCAATGTGAAACTTTTTTTTTTTAGTGAAAAACAGTCTTGCTCTGTTGCCCAGGCTAGAGTACAGTGGTGCGATCTTGGCTCACTGCAACCTCTGCCTCCCGGGTTCAAGCGATTCTCTTGCCTCAGCCTCCTGAGCAGCTGGGATTACAGGCACACACCACTGTGCTTGCCTAATATTTGTATTTTTAGTAGAGACAGGGTTTTGCCATGTTGGTCAGGCTGGTCCCGAAGTCCTGACCTCAGATGATCCGTCCACCTTGGCCTCCCAAAGTGCTGGGATTACAGGCGTGAGCTACCATGCTGGCCCGCCATGTGATACTTCTTACTCATAACTGAGGATCAAACTTCACCTGTGCACCAAACTCTAGGATGTTTTTAACATCTCATAACTCTTCCAGGTGGGGCATAAAGAGTAGGTATTTCATGTGTTCTGTACATATTGACATTCAGTTTATGCAGCCGTCAGTGACAGGAATCTAGAACACTGCTTCTTCTTTTCAGGACCTCACATTTGTTTCCAGCTTGAGCTTTCTTGAGCAGTTTCTGTGGCTCTGGGACCTTGACTTGAACAAACCTTTTTATTTCCTCTTTTTTTTCCAGCTACCTCCATAGGTAGCTGGAGATACCAGGGGCAAAGAGGCCAGAAATAGGTACGTAGACAGGAGGGACCCAGTCCAGTGATGATGGTCAGGTTGTACGTTTTATTGCATGTAACAATGACATTAAAGCCATTAAAGCAATAAAACAGAATTGTGAGGTCTGTGTATTTTAAAGTGGTAATTTCACGTTCATCATGTTTCTATTTCAGAATCTTTTTTTCTCGTAAATGGTCGTAATTTGTGTTTTTTTTGATGCACTATATTATGTCTGCTCAAAGCCAGCAAATAAACTATCAACAAATGAATGAGTAAACAAAATATGATAAATATATACACTGGAATGCTACTCAGCTTTTTAAAAGAAGGAAATTCTTTCGTTTGTAGCAGCAGGCCAGACTTGGAAGACACTATGCTAAGAGAAACAAGTCAGGCCTAAAAAGAAAAATACTACATGATGCCATTTACATGTAGAATCTAAAAGAATTAAATTAATGGAGTTAGAGAGTAGAATGATGGTTACCAGAGGCTCGGAGGCAGTAGAAGGTGGCTGAGAAAAAGGCAGATGTTGGTTAAATGGTGTAAAGTTTCAGTTAGGGGAAAATGTTTAGGTGGTCTCTTGTACAGCAGAGTTGCTATAGTTAATAAGGTATTGCATATTTCAAAATTGCAAAGAGTAGATTTTAAATATTCTCACTGCAAAGGAATGATAGAT